GGAATTTCCGTACACTAGAGTCGAGAGTGAACTTACCTTAGGAACGGCCATGCTGGTGGTGTACCTGTACGCCATGCGTGCTTCGAGTCGAGCAGGTATTTCCAAGAGCTGGGGCAGTCGAAGGGTTGCACATGGTTGTGTAGTACGAGCACTGAGTGCCTTGGACAAATTGCCTGGCTTCTCACTAGTTTGAATATGGCATATACAACCATGGGGTGGGCACCGTATCTAGTAGTGTGCATGTTGATGAAAATTTGGTCATGATGATGCAGTATGGAGTACATCAACGTGTTGTTGTTTACTGCGCTTACCCCAGGGAGGTATAGAGACGCAGGAAATCTCAAACGGGACATTGGTTGAGTCAATCACAGAACAAGGAATGTGGATGTTACATGAACGCTCTTCTCCGGAACGTGACATGACAAAACATTTGAGATCGGTGAGGAAAGCGCTCCAAAATAGCCTTAGCGCCACACTTTAGTCAAGCCACATTAGATGGTCCAATAATACTTCAGAAAACAGATCTGCCCGGATTTCCATTGGCAGATCCCTGGTTTTGTAAGCGAATCGAGGCGCAGCAACCTGTTTTTACACCGCAACCTACTCCATCCAAAATTCTGTTTTGTTTTTCCCTTTTCCGTCTGTCCCGAGTGCTGAATTCTGATGCACGATGATGGTATCATGCACTATGGATGAGACGGGATATCCACAGTACTGCATGGCATGCCAGCATAATCATGACTCCGTGATTCTGGTTGAGTAATCCCCTAAAATTGACTGATGCTTCTACTTGTATTCTAAAGCGATTACATTGTTCGCCTGCCTGTTGTTGCGGTGAAATACCCTTTTTCCTGACCGAAAGTCACGGTGAGAAAAAAGGAAAATGGGGCCATGAAACTCTCTGAAGTAGGCACCTCCCTGGTGAACTCTACTGTGGCGCTTTCTGGCATCGTTGACTGTCGGGCCGTTAATCTCGACTCGTCCTCACTGGTTTGTGGTCCTTGCGTTTCCGGCCGAAAATCCACGAAGGAATGCGGTAATCTCCGTCCCAACGAATGTTCGACATACTGAAAGATTTTGAGGCTCTGCTACCCAAGATATACCCTACAGATAATTGCCAAGAGGGTTAGGTAGCAGCCGTTGAAGCGAGCGGGTTGACCAATTGTTTCAAGTACAAAGACAAAGTACGCAAGAACAAAATACGATTGCATTTTCGCTTCTTGTTTGCTGACAAACCCACAGTGATTGATAATTAATCAATAACAAATCACTGATAATTGCCAACCAGACAAGGATGCGTCTGGCGTCTGAGTGAAAAGGATACGTACTTACAGATGGGAGAGCGGCATCGCCGAACCCTGGCATTTGCACGTGGGGGATGCATGTCGCCGGTCCGATCATAAGGGGATAGGAAAATATCGTGGCTGCTGACAGTGGCTAATTACCAAGTACCCAAGAAATAGTTGTTACATCAGGCCGTAACGGTCATACCTAATGAAGCTCAAAAGAAGTTTCGAATACTGGTATTCTGGCATTGAGTTCAATGCTGGTTTGGCCATGCTGCGGAAAAACCAATGCTTGAATGTTTCAACAATGATGGTGTCTACTTTTTCCCCGTTGTTCCCCAAAAAAAACTCAAACAAAACCTAAACAGCAAACAAAGTCTGAAGCCTTGGCAAAGGATTGTCTCAGCCCTATATTATAGAGTTTGAGCATCAGCAAATGAAGAAGCTGAACATACAGTCTAAAAATCCCAACAAATCATCCCTGTCTTCATGTGCCAGACAAAAACAGTTGTAACATTACATACAAACTCAAATCCCTAACGGTGGAAGAGATGATCTGGCTACTCCGTACTCGGTACCTTGGCCTTGTAGTATCTAAATGGGCAACTGGCAGTCGAGAACATCTATATTAAAATGACATCTTGGCGTTGGGAATCGCGGCATCTAGACACAAGCCTCCTCAAGCCTCAATAACTGAACTCCAAATCGATTGTTGGTTGTCAGCTGATCCTTGTGTGATGCTTTTTTCTGTTCTAAATTTTCATGGTTATGTTATTGCACAGCAGTGGAAAGCTAAACATGTGGCTTCGCTAAGGTTGCTGATCGCTTGTAAGTTCCCAATTCTCTGAGAGCTCCCCACCCTGAGCATCTCGGAATCCGCTTTCCAGGTGGCTTGTTACTAGTCTTTTCTTGATCAGGTGCACAGGTATCACCTTAATCTCAACAAAATTAACAATAATACCATTTGAGACTCGACAGCAGGATCGAACTTTCGGCCCCAACTATACGCCAAGAATTCTAGTCCTATTTGGGCAGGCGCTACAGAATGCCTGCCGTGTAACCCATGGAGCAGTTGCTCTCTGAAACATTCCCCTGCTTCCTCGTGGCAGGAATCAGTGCTTACCGGACACAAAGAGCGCATTACCAGGGCACTCTATAGATAGACAGGAAGCACGGCGCTGTATGACTGCAGTGCCATTAGACAAGGAGCTACGTACGATGCCTCCTGGTCTTCGTCCTGGTCAAAGTCTTACGTGCATCTTACATTGCAGGAGCAAACGCTGGTAGCCACTCACAAGTCAGAGGAAAGATTCGAGAACAAGGGAGCGCAGCGAGCGTTCTAATCTGAAACAGGTTGCTGGTGATTCTGCAGTCATTGAGGCTATTGTTGCCATGTGTTGCCATGCGTTTGCTATCTTGAGGTTCTTCCAAGGGCATTGCATGCCTGTTAGATGTAAATCCCGAATGGAGTTTCAGTATGGTGTACAGAGGAACTGACAGGATTCTACCCGTAGTCTCAGCATCTCTACGGTATCGGTGAAGCCGAGAGTCTGTTTTTGGCATCGGGTTAATACTTGCAACTGAATTGACCATGGGTAAATGTACGCTGAGCCTCAATTCTAGGCAGATACCTGTCATTTGTCGGAATGTGATAAATATAGCTAGAGTGCAGACTACCTTAGCTACATATCGCTGCTGATATTGGCCTCTCTGATCGTCTAACATACTTCAGATAGATTAATTCCACTGCGGAGTAAAACCGAAGATGAATGCAGGTCACGAGACCTCAGGGGAAATTGTCTCTTTTCCAGCATCCCTGCCAGATTATGGAGTATTGCAAGGCATACATTCTTTTACCACAATCAGTGTCTAACCCTCAAAGAAAGATAGGTATCATATTCGGCAATCTAGATCGCTCTGGATTTGAATGCTTCCCCTTAATGCCCGTCGCAACCACATAGAACTGTCGGAACTAGCGCATTAGTGCCCGACTTGATCCTGGTCCCGCAGGGACCAAGCAAAAGATTAGAATGGGGCCGGAAGTGTCATGTGTCATGTCTGGACTTGCACTTTGAAGCTATGGACGGTGGAGTATGGGGGAGCGTATCTCACAGTGTGCCTCTTAATCAAGAGCTTACCAACTAGGTACATGATCTGAGGGCGAAACTAGTACGGAAATATCAGAAATAGGTATCAGCTTGTCCAGTTTCGGTAGCTTAAAGAATCAGATATGATTATCCAGGAAGTAAACACGAGATAGACTCACGATCACCCACAATGTCAAAGTTACTGGGCTCTTGAATAAGCTTTGGGTCAGGAGGAACTTGGGAAGCCAGGAAAAGAACTCCGTCATCAGCACGGACAAAAAGGGGCCGCTACTTGGGTTGCCATTTGCCATCAGAAACACGAGTAATCACGTAAATACATATCAAATCTTCTGAATTCGGAGGATATGACCATCGCCACTTTATCTTCGCCGGTCTATCAAAAATCCAAATGTGACTGCGCCGACCATGATGTCAACGGAGTTGAAGGATCAAGGGTCAACATCCTAGATCTGGCGATCCTAAAGCTTTAGATCAATTCAATCACTCTAATGGGTAAATCTGTGATCGGAATGCAGTAGCCCGAGTGACTTGGTGTATGTGTATGTGATCAACTTGCATAAATCAGTAGTCTTCTCCGTAGTCCCCGGTAGACCCCGCAAGTTTAATATCTTAAGCACCTTGGGGAGTAGGGGTGCGCTACTATCATCATATCATGCATATGAGTGTTCCTGAGGCGACATTTGCAGCTGCACCATACAGGAGGTCCATGTGACATCTGAGTATCAGGCTCATGCGCTTGAAAACGGTTTACTGTGATCGCTGGATCTACCATAAAGCTATTACACATCAATATTCGGAGCTTAAGGTCATATCACATCCTGGACTCCCGAATGTGTTAGCAAGGATGGAGCGGCCTATAGCACATGACGCTCTTAATTAATTCGAGTTACGTTTGAATCATGTATGTTGACCTGTCAAATCTGCAAAGCTACCTACTTCGTACGGCGTACGGAGTAGATTATCATTCAGTACCTTGCTTCTATCCTCTATTGGCCAGGAAGATACACGTACCTGATGCTTCAGGCTAACCTGCAGTGTAGATCCAGTATCATGTCCTCATCATGTACAAAGAATCACACCAATAAACCCAACATCTTCCGCAATGGAAGCCTTTTCCAGTATGTGATCTGCGGATACTCAGACACCAATATATCTTGCTAGTCATTGGTTCGGCTCTCGCATTTCCTGGTATCTGGGCTGTATCCGTCGCAACAGATCATTTCTTTTGGTCTATTTTCAATGAGTGGAGTTTTGTGATGTATCTACCGTCAATGCCCCGTAGTGTACGGAGTATTTCTATCAAATTCATAAGCTGTTTCAGGATTTCCGAGAACGTGAGCCGAGAAGACTGCACTAGAGGATGGAGTCGTCATCGTGCTCCATTCTTGCTTGGGAATTGTAATTGAGACTGAAATCCCGTCTGCCAAGCCGAGGATAGTCCATGTCGATCATCTATGATCCTATCCCCATGGAGCAAGCGCCATCTTGAAAGGGAGTACCTTAGCGCCGGCTTTGGACTTATGGTATCTTTCTTGGTATCGGTTACTCCGTTCCTTACAATGATACGATCGGCTTGTATCGTATGTACCAAGTTATACATTCTTGTCAGCAAACCGAAGAGTGGCTTGGATGTGGGCCTTAGGGACAAAGTGGCTGTGCAGACACCGTACTGACGGAATGGCTCCGCTGTGGGTTGTGGCTTTCCTGGTCATGAGCCACATGACAAGATTTCGGTGTTTGCTAATTCTAGTTTGTTGGTCCGCTTGACTCCGCTAGCCTCCGCAACCTGCCTTACCAGGAGTGTACCTCAGGACGGACTCAGGCACTGTGAGTACGATGATGTACATGAGGCGGTGCGCAGGTGACACAGACCTTGTTGTATGATTAGACACCCTGAGTACTCCGGAGTTGGCGGTCCGCAGGATGCAGTCCTGTGCGTCTTGCTGGACTGGCTCGAAGAAGTTTCGGCAACCCCGACCGACGGACTTATCAACAAGTCGTCTAAGTAACCCACTTCAGAATAGCCGGCCCATTTGTCAACAAACGCTGAAGGAGTCTTTTGGGAAGGACTGAATTCAAGATGACCATAGGGGAGATAATCATTAATCTTCCCTACTCAAGTGTCCAGTAATCCGGGAATGTCAGCTTGACTGTTGATAATTACAAATCATGTCATCGAGCGGTGCCGTGCCTGTAGTACTGACAGGATATGATGAGTAACCAGCTCGATCAGCAAAGATACAGTCAGTCCCTTTCGAATCAGGAAAAGTCCTACAGTCAGGATTTTCACCCCGATTAACGGACATGGTACACTAGTTAAACGGAGGCATTGCGGTGTTAATTTATGAAATAAAAATGGGCAGTCTAGCTGAGGACATACGCAATGGTATTTCATCCTTAGATTGTCGCATTTTGGTTCGGGCATTGACTGAGGGTTGTTTGGTTTGTGCCATTCGCCAGGGCTGCAGAAATATAGGGTACTTGGGCGAGTGTCGTAGGAAACAATGATAAAAGTGCGACCTTGTACTTTATGATGGCAAAGAATGATAAGAAAAATGAATATTTTGGCCTTGGAGAAACCTGGGTTGAAGTAATTGCAATGGCTACAAGTTTGAGAGATAATCAGTCTAGGATGTCTACCATGGTAGGTTATATATGTTACAAGCTGAACCTGTGATTCATGTGAGATCATTTCCCTTTGGTATCAGAAATGTTCGAAGGATGAATCCCAATCCTGAAGGGTTTGACACCATGATCAGATGCAGCCCTCTATGGCTATATAGGGCTGCTGGACAGGTAGAATTCAGGCCCAACATCCTTTAGAAAATCCTGAAGGATGTTAATAGGAATCTACTGATTTTCACTTAACCTTTTATGTATCACTCAAGACTGCTAGATGCACCTTTATCAAACCCTTTCTTCTGTCTCTAGAGCTCCGCAGTACTAGCGAAGGTATCCTATAGGGCTAATGAGCAGCTAGAATTTGCGCCCAACATCCTTCAGGAATCGGGATGTTGCCGATGGTCTCCGAGATTGGGAAGATTTGACACCGCTGATCATCTAGGTACTGTGTTTGAATTCTCTATGATGTGCGAATGCGACAGGGCAGAAGGATCGCCTTCGTGGGACAATGGTAAAACCACGACATGTGCCGAAGGCCACAAGTTACTCAAGGAACCTGCACATCTCGTGGAAACCATCGCATGTGGCTGAGTCTGGAGGAATGTACCTCAAGGAATACAGCAATAACAACCGCTTTCTAACTACAAGTAGGTTGACGCTGAGACTGATATGCATCCATGCCAAGATCCATGGTCTTGGTCAGGATTGGCAGTCTGCGGAGGATCCAAACCACGGGCTCTTCTCGAAGACTCAGATATTTGTAGCGAGAGAGAAAGGCCGAAAAGAGGAAATCTCCACGCTTCGGCCGGGGGATATCAGCCAATCATTACAAGTCTCGAGCACGTTTCCTGGCTCGATATCCTGGATGGAATGAAGTTGGCAGACCATTCGGTGTACAGCCTGGTGCATCTCAGTCGTGGGTTGCATCAAAATCAAGACTTGAACATCAAATACCAATAGGCAAGAGCACTTTTCACCGTTTCTTTAACCCCAGGAGTCTTATCCGACTCCATGGTAAGAATCGGTCAGCGACACTTGTTCCGGGGTACTGATCAAGATTCAACGAATGGTATCAGCGTGGCCACGATGAAACAAGACAGGACATGGTCCGTGTCTGTAGGAGAGACGGCCATCTCATCCTGTCCATGAGTGCATAGGCTTATTGATACCGCGGCAACCTGACGGATTTGACACCTCCTGGGAACTAAGGTATGGAGATAAATTCCAGGGTGGGGTAGATGCACACTGGCATCAGGTACTCGGTACACCTCGTCACTTTTCAGAATTTAGTGATGAAAAGCCCCCTGCCTTTGGTCTTTTCAGCCTCGTGACTATTTCTGTTGGTTTGCCAGGACGTGGCTCATGCAGTGTAACAGTTGACTCGAGATTTCAGTCATGACCGAAATCCTGTACAGACTAGATTGGCCATGGCCAGTGGTCACTCTGACCCAGGAGAAAATAATCGCCCCGGCCGCGGAATATTATGCCCCCTGACTACATGTACATACACTCGTATGCGATCGAGAAATATCATATCAACATGTCAGACAATTCGGTTGCTAGCGTTTGCTACCAAGGTGTAAGCCTGTCAGGCTGTCAGCCCTACGACGACCCCGGACAGGGTACGGAGTATTCGCCTTCATTAGTGTGTTATCCACACTCACTCAGAAAAATTCAATGAACACGAACCACGGTCCCTCGGAGACTCCGGAAAGGCACCGCAGACTAGACCGTCTGTTGCGATGAGCCGGAAGCCTCAACCCCGTGGTATGAATGGTTCGAGTGACGGTCAACGAACAGCCTAGGGTAGGCCCATAGCAAGTACACTGCGCATCAGGTCTAATTAATAATAATATGAATACCAAACCATGACAAACTCAGTCACCAACAGAACCATGGATCCAAGCGAGGAACCGAGAACCTTGTCATGCAAGGAGCAGACACTGCAGCAAGCTAACCACCAATGAGCACCTCAATAACAGTCCCCTGTTGACCGACCTGGAACCCACCAAAGTAGGGCCAAAATGATATGAACCAATCGTCTTGAGGAGGCCGTCTATACCTACTTAGGTAGTAGTAGCGCATTGTGGTTCAGGGGCGTTGGTGATCATTAAACAAATGGATGAGGTCCTGTCGTGGTTCGCTATAGCAGACAATGGTTGCACCTATGCTCTAATCAACAAGACATAGAGTACTGTAGAGAGGAGAAAGCCATGACTCACTCACCGTTCATTCTAATCAGAAAGTAGAGATTGACTAACAGCTGGCAGAGAGTACCTAGTAAAGCGGCCATACTCTCTAAGCATGTTCTGAGCATAATAGCAACGACCTTAGTTGATTTTAGAGTAGACAGCATAGTCCCAGCACCCACCTGTTTGCATACCCCATAAGATCCAAGCTATGCCTCGCATCTTAGCATACAACTTAACACGATTCATCCTTCCAAATCACAGAAACCAGTTGACTCCGCTTGTCAAACTGACAGTCTACTCAGGCTTAAGTCGAGCAGGAGAATAATGCATATTCCGCTATACCGTGGTATTCTGGTCTTTCTTGGCAATTCCTCATCCTGAAAACTGATTGCTGATGTCTGTATTGGAGCGGGTTGTATTTACGTCGCATGAGATGGACTGATTGACGGATGAAGATGCCAAACGTGGTCGAACTGCGCGAACTACCTGAGAGGAAGAGATAGCCCTTAAAATACTGGGACACTATGGTCATGTCAGCAGGGTTCAGACTGCTCAAAACCTATGGACATGTTTTATGGACATGAACAAGTGCATAACTCCTCTTGCGTATGCGCAAGGATGCCAAACATTTAAGACATTTATACGTACTATCTCAGAATAAGGGTACCCGTTGAAGCTTGATTCATCGGCAGGAAATTATTCAGCTAGACTTAATTAAGCTCAGTAACCTGATCAAGAAGGCTTAGAGAAGTAGACAGCGGGGCTGTTAGTATGTACATGGGTCAACAGCAGCTGTCGCTAATAAAAACAGAAGTTGATCAATGGGTTACACGACAGCACTCTGGTTATAGTAGAGATCGCACGCGTGAGGGTGCTGAAGACAGTACTTCGGCACCAGGTTGCCGGCCTGAACACCGTTTGCCAGCAAGTACTCTCGGAAGTTGAGGATACGCTGCGTCATGAGCGTAGTCCGCTTCTTCCCATTTGCATCGCGGTTGCCAGACCAGACCAGTTCGGCCAGGGCTGCGGCGCGGGGCCAGAACTTGCTCGACACAGTCACATCATCCACCTGCTCGCTCCAAAGAGGCGCGGTCGCACCGATGATGTGCTTGGCTTGCGCATCCGTCAGATTTGTCGTGAAGTCGTAGTCGTAGATCCGCTGCCATGTCTTGTAAGGAGCGCACCATGATCCTCCATTGCCGCCATAGTTGAAGTTCGGGGTGCTGGGATCCGGATTGCTCATGACGTTGTACCTGGGGTCATTGGTGACGTATCCTCCAGAGCCGCAATCAAGATAGAAAAAGTCGGAGGACGATACGATGACATCGTAGCCCCGGGCCGTCAGGTTCTGAATGTATTCCAGCCCGTTGTTCCAGGTCTGCATGACAATGTCCTTGGGCACGTCGTGGGCGTGCTCCGGAGAGAGAACGATATCCTCCCACATAATCAAACGGCGCTTCTCGCTGACGTTGCGGAAGATGGGAACTGCATGATCCACCCAGTACTGAGACAGATCGTTGTAGGTGCGCGAGGGATCTTCTGCGAACCATGCCTGGACATAGGTACTGAAATTGAAGCAATTGGGTTGAATCTCGTCAGCTCCGACGTGGAACCAGTTGTCAGTAAAGACCCCCGACAGCTCATTGTAAACATCCCGAACGATGTCGTACGTCTTGTCGTAGATAATATCCAGCTGGCCCGGGTTGGGTTGAACGGCCGTATGATACTGCCAGACGTCGTTGGACCACCAGGAATCGGCGCAAGTCACCATTTTCGGGTCCGCCTGTTTCCAGCCAGACGATGAATGGCTAGGCATATCGACTTCGGGTATGACACGGATACCTCGAGCACGAGCGTAGGCAATGATGCGGCGGATGTCAGCGTGCGAGTAAATCTCCCGGACCGAGTATGCATCTTTCACCATCTCCGGATGTGCGTTGATCTGTACAGGCCACGACTGCGTGTCATCCAAGTGCCAGTGCAGTACATTGAGCTTGGACAATGACATGGCGTTCAACTGCTCCAGGATCTTGTTTACGGAGATGAAGTTGCGACCAGTATCGATCATGATGCCGCGATAAGGATAGAGAGGTGCATCCTGAATACTGACGGGCTGCTCGATAATTAGTCCACCTTTCCCATCCGAGATGACGATCTGCTGAAGGGTGGTGAACGCATGCAGAGCACCCCAAACGGTCTTGGCAGTGATTTGAATGGTATTGGAGCCTTCCTTCACGTCCAGGGTGTAAGACTCGTCCACACCGTGCTGGAGATCGGCTTTGAGATCGTCAACCTTCACATCGACGAATTGTAGCGTAGACGAGGCACGTTTGCTCTTCGTGGAGGCGGAAGATGTAGCTGTTGGGAAAGGTTGGAAGGAGGAGATCGGCGCTTCAGTCGCAGCAGGAACCCAGTGAAGCGAGGCGATCGTCTTCCAGGCGCGATCCCATCCTTGCCAAATGATCTGGCTGTTGGAACCGCGGTCTGTACGCAGAGTGAGATGGCCAGCAAGGCGTTTGGGCCCCGATGACGCCCAAGTGATATTGCGAGGAGCCGGCAGAGGATTGACGCTGACAGCGGCGACCGACGAGGCGACTGTAAGGACTACGGCGCAGATGCTGGAGATGAGCATGATCACAATAATCAATCCAACAACATAGGCATTGAAGAGGTTTCGTTTGAGGGATATTTGTAGGAAAGGCGGCTTGAGTGAAAAAGACATCGGAAACCGGAGGAAGAGCAATCTATTTAAATATTAGCCTTGCAGGGTGAATCCTTCGAGCGCGCTGATCGACACCAATAATCTCCTGCATTCCAGTCCTACAGTCCATCTTCGCAACTTTCATTCTGCCAACGCGTCGATTGAGCAATCAGAATGGGAAGCTACAGCTCAAGGTCCGTCCATCCTCCAATCTCTGGAAGGCAGCATCCACGCTAATTTGTCCAGAACATACACGTTCTCTGTCGATGGTTAAGTCCATGCTTCAGAATCTGGGGGCTGGACGCCAATCACGGCCCACTGGTTTTCTCTCATTTGCTCTTGTGACAGTGATCGTAGTTATTGGCAAAAAAGGTCAACACTGCGCCTCGAATTGTTTAGGACTCTACCCGCGCGATCCAAGAATGCTTTGGTTTCATCGCTGGTTCCGAGGGTTACATCCGCCTTTGTTCCCGCGCTGCAACCTGGATGGTCCTTCATTATCGAAGGTCCTTAAACTTCCAGGTCTGTTCTGATCGGCAGATACCACGCGATATGGTCAGTGCAGATTTATCGGCTTCGTTCCTGTGATGATACCTTGCCACAGCTCGTATCTGCAGATAAACGGCCATCTCCCCGCACAAGCTGGATGATCAAGTGGACAAATTCACAAGGTGGAGGGAACTAACGACGGATAACAATGTGACCAAAAGGCTTCGGAGATTGCAGCTGCTAAGCTGTCACAGTGACATCGCTTAGATGGACAAAATCGAAGATAACATTATGTGGTCTATTGGACTGTCTTGTCAAGAGTTTGGAATCCTCTTGACACACTTCACGCGATCGCTTCTGTCAAAGGCTCGTATGGCGTCCTTAGGTTTGATTGTCGCAGACATGCGAGCAATTGCTTCGTAAAGGACAAAATTGCTCTTGTGCAATTGCCGCACTGACTTGCCTATACTGTCGTTAACCTCTAGGAAGGACCCAATTTTCGGCATCAGACAGACTTCTGTGATCGAATACGGACTACAAGCATATCTTTCCACAACCGACGTCATGTTGTGGGCTCTTGTCAAAGATGGAACGACGGGCCTTCCCGTTTGTAAGCAAATACCACGGTTCCAGCAGCCATGGGCAAAGTCCATCTCTCAGTGTATCTCATTTGGGACAAATTTCGTCTGCTCTCAAGCTCAAGTCTGCTTCTAGCCAGATTAGAGTGGCTTTCGCAGAAGCGTCATCAGAGATAGCAGGAAGCTGAGTATATTCAGTTTGAATACTAATACAATCTACTCTATCTCACATGCAAGCTACCACTTTATACCCGGAAAAAATCAATGACAACTCTTCCCATACTGGACCAAACGCCAATAATTATACGGCATCGGGGCCAAAAATCCAGCACCCATCGACACCAGCGCAGCCGCCCAGAACCGCGGATCATCCAGCAGCACCACACCTCCGGTGAGATGGTAATCCACCAGATTCTGCACCGTCTCCATGGCCAGCATGGAGACGAGGCTCATACCCGTCGCAGTCCGAAACGCCAGTCCCCAGGGAAGCTTGTCCGCTCCACGTCGGAGCAGGACAGTCTCCAGAAGGATTGACGTGGTGATTCCACTCGCCACTGCCACAACATCAGTCATCCGATCGAGCCTGAGGTCAACGATTAGGGATTCACATACTAGAAACACCCATAATGGCACCCATCCCCCAATGCCCATAGAAACTTTGCAGCACCCACAGCGCCGAGAAATCACCTAGTGTGCATCCCGCCAGGCAGCGGAGGGTGTTCACAGCTGCGCGCTTCCAGCCTTGTTTAGATGACCAGAAGGATAATGTGAGAACAGATTTTCGAGTCTCATTTTCCTTTTCCTTCTTCGAGCAGCATTTTGTAACCTGATGCTGCGGTTGGGATTGAGAAGTGTAGAGTCGCTGAAAGCGGGTTAAGGGTCTGCTTGAGAAAAGCAGCTGGCGCGTACTCAGGCGCGAAGTGAACGGTGAGGATATGCGGAGCATGATGTTTTAAATCTAAGACATTTGATCTTTTATAAGACAGCTCAAAGGAAACAATTGATATTTAGTTTGAGGGTTGAGGAAGAGGCATGTTAATGTATATTTGTAGATAGTCCTCGGGAGGCAAACGCCGAAGTCTAGAAAACGCGAAAACCGCGCAGATGATGAAACTGGATTGGTCAGTCGGCGAAGTACGTCGCTCGGAATTAATCATGCCCCATATCGAAATAGAAGAATTTGTCCATGATGTAATTAAATGCTACTGGGTTATATGGCCTGGAAGATAAAAGTTTGAGGAATTGACGTTGGGTAGATAGTTCGACATGGCACGGCAACTCATAACATGCTATGCTGATCGCGGCCGTCGGGCATGTTTTCATTCACAACACAGACTAAGGTGCTCAACAATGCTATATCATAAAACTCATACAAATTACGCAACCTCGAAACTCCGCTCCATCTCCATCCCCTCCTGGAACGCATTCTTCAATGCAGACGCCTCCTCCGCCGAAGGCGCCACACACGGCCGCCGCGGCAGCGCGCCGTACCCGCGATACGACTGCAGGGCGCTCTTGACCGCGACAAACCCACCCTTGATCGCCAGCCAGTCGGCTCGCGCGACGACCGCCTGCAGCGCCTGCGCCTCGGCTATCTTCCCGCTTTGGTAGAGCTCCATGAGGCGCACGCACGAGCGCGGAATCAGATTCGCCACGCCGCCGATGATGCCCGCGCCGCCGGCGATAAGGGTCTGGAGGGTGAAGTCGGCGGAGCCGCCGAAGGTGAGGAAGTCGGGTTTGGCCTGGGCGGCGATGCGGGCGAGTTTGCCCGTGTTGCCGCAGGTGAGCTTGACGCCGACGATGTTGGGGTGTTTGGCGAGGGTCAGGATGTCGTCGGAGGAGAGGTCGAGGCCGGAGGAGGCGCCGGGGAAGTTATAGATGAGGAGGGGGATCGGGGAGGCAGAGGCGACGTCGCGGAAGTAGTCGAGGAGGGCGGCGTTGTTCACGAGGGACTTGTAGTAGCAGGGCGGCAGGACAAGGACGTAGTCTCCTCCGGCGTCGGCGGCGTCCTTGCAGAACTGGATGGTTTCGCGGGTGGAGGACGCGCCGCAGCCGACGATGAGGGGCATGGACGTGGCTCCGGCGGCATCGAGGGCGCGGCGGGTGGCTGCTGTAATGAGTTTGCGTTCCTCACGGTCGAGATGCACGGCTTCGCCGTTGCTGCCTTGGACGACGAGGCCGGTGACACCGGCGTTGGCGAGGTAGGCGGCGTGTTTCTCAACAGTGGGGAGATCGACCTCCTCGTCGTCCTTGAAGAAGGCGACCGTTGGCACGTAGATGCCGGGGACGAGAGGTCGTCTTGTTGTTGTTCCGTTTGTGGTCATTTTGTCTGTGGTTGTATACGAGCGGTATTCTGTGGTGGTCGTGAGCAAATGACCTCAAGGGTAGTCCTTCTTGGAACAGTGTTACCAGGTGTAGGAGCTCAGTTTGGAGGATTTATCGGGATTGAGAAGAATAGAAAAAGGGAGGAAAGGGTTTGTTAAAGAGAACAGAGACGGTGGGACGCCTGCCATGATCAAGGAATGGGAATGTGGTTCCAGTGCCGACCCCAATTGAGGCGATGATTGAAGATTGATCGCATTAAGTTCAAAGGCCGTCTACAGACAATTCGGCAAGTGGAAAAGAGTGGACACTGAAAAACCCCCACGTCTGAACCCCACAGAATGGAGGCCTGTTAGGGGTCGGAATTCAGGATACGTGGAACGAGACTTTGGAGAAGATCAGAGAGCAATTGTAACTCTTATTGATATTATTGGTGGTTGAGTTGCATCTGATGACATTGGAGCATGCGTCGAAACTGATGCGGCAGCTCAGCTCGATTCTATGTAACCCACGAGGACTTGGAGAAGATGCAATACTACTATTTGCTACGGAATAGATACGTTTTTGGATCAACCTTTCAATGTAGTATGGAACCGAAAGAACATTAGATAACTGCTATGGAATGAGGCCCTGACCCCCACGTACTCCTCGATCCGGGGTCATCATTGTAGCCTGTGAAGGCGGGGAATATCTCCATTCTCCAAGAAGTAGTAGCAGCAGCAGCAGGAGGGCATTGTATCCCGGTAGAATACTCTCGTAGTAGAAGTACAACGATTTTCCTGGTCGGCAAGAACTCCGATGAAAGCCCTACGGAGTCATCTTTGAGGTCGAGAAATCAGTCTCTAGAGTCTACAAGGATGAGAATGAGTCGCCCATCTTCCCCTCGTTGTGTGGGGGTGGGGGATATTGTAACTTGCAACTGCAAGAAGGCAAAAGGAGTCTGTGTGTTGCTGTTTGACGATCATCTGATATAATCTGACCTCGAATACTCTATCATATGCATTTTATCAACCTGTGAGATTGTCAGTTAGTGCCTGGTTAGTTTCTAAACGGGTTGTCTCCAGTCAAGCTCAAAATGGCCATTGCTACTTATTGTGTACTTTTTGCAGGTATCCCCGCATTTCCATATGGCCACGTTGAGAGACTCCTTTTTACTATCTACTACAATTTTTTTTGTGAAGTATCACATACTGACAATGCATCTAGTTATTCTCATTCATCTGTAAATCCTGATTTGAATATACAATGCCTTATTGTTCTCTAATCCATATAGATTGGGGATGACAATAGTGATTGAGGATGAGGACATTCCTGTATTCTGCGGACAGAATAATACACCTTCTCCCATGTCCCCGAGAGCTCCTATTCCACAAATACTGTATTGGGCCATACCACATATCTGTAATTAATGGCGACCGCGAAGGGAAAAAAAAAAAAAGAACGCGAAGACGACGAGAACAGGGCGACGAAGCAGAAGAATAGGTTCGATTCACATTTCACCTCCAGATGCAATGGCAATATAGAGTCAATCAATTGAGCAACACAAGATGAATTGAGACACAATCACATAAATTCTTACAGCATGTCCCTATATATACCCTCTCCAGTTGCATCCTATATCCAATCTCGTCCGCCATCAGCATCATCATCTTATTGCATGACGAGTCCATCCCATCGAATGACGAGTTATCTACCGCTGCTGCAATCAGATCATCATGGCCGTCCGATCGAGGTCGTCCCTGCGCTTCTCAGTGCGACGGGATGACAATGCCTCTGGTCATGATGACGAGCATCAGGACCACCACACGTTGCCGTCTTCTCCTCCCCCTGCAAAGCGGCCTCGGCTTCAGCAGCAACAGCAACAGCAACGTCGTCAGCCACCTTCGTCCCGCCATCGCAAGAGCTCTCCCGACTTACTTGATACCACTATTGAAAACTCCAGTCATCGTGTCCCCCCGTCATCCAAAACTCCTCAGGTCGTGCGACAGGCTGCTCACTCTCCTCTCCCTCCGCCGCCGCGCTCATCTACGCGCCGGCCACCTGCTCCCTCCACAGCCGGCGACAGCGCATCCTCCTCATCCTCGTCCTCGTCGTCCAACTCCGACCGTGTTCCGCTTCCCGGCACCCCGCACACTACGGGACAATCCCATGATCACCATCGCACTCCGCTTTCGGCTTCTGCCGCGCTGTATATGCGTGGTGGTGGTCGCGAATCGCCGGATCCCTTAGATATCATCTCTCCTGCTCCTACCACGGCCAATTCACAGCCTCGCAAAACACCCACTACGTCCACTCCAACCTCTGCCACCCGTTCTACGCGCCGGTCTCGCCCGCGGCAATCTGTCGCATCGGACGCGGATGCGCAGAAGCCCTCTGAACAGACGAGCAGTCGGCGGAAACCCAACTCGGCCAATTCTCAGACGGAAACGCAATCGCAGCCTAAGGAGGAACCCGCCCGTCACAGTCCAGCCGCTCCAGAAGAGCGCCGGTCGCTTCGTTCCAAGGACAGTAATTCACGGCTGCGGAGCGAACTGGCGTCGTATTTCTGGAACTATGAACAGATTCTGAGTCTGGACCCTCCGAAGACCGTGGAACTACTGACCGAGAACACCACGATCAAGTTGATTGACGACCTGACCGAGCCTCTTACCGCCATACAATCCTCTACTCCCGACTCCGAGTCCCCATTTGGAAACCCTCTGTTGCAGCTCCATGACTGCGAAAAGATATCTCTGCCGGAACCAGAGCCGGAGCCCAGTTCAGACGCTGCGCCCGGAGATGTCAAAGAGGAAGACCCTCTTAATGAAGGACACTATTTCCGCGCCCACCGGAGAATGGAGCGGCAGGAGAAACAGCTCCGCAACATCGAGCGCGAACGCGCCCAGCATGAGAAGATGCAACTGGAGCGCCTATTAGACGAGCTGAAAGGCCACGACTGGCTCCGTGTGATGGGTATTACTGGTATCCACGAGCACGAGAAGAAGCTCTACGAACCCAAACGCGACTATTTCATGAAAGAAATCGCAAGCCTGATCCAGAAATTCCAAATCTGGAAAGAAGAAGAGAAACGCCGGAAGCTCGATAAGGACAAGCCCTCGCTCCGCGCCGAGATATCGCCATCCACCGCCCCCACGAGCAGAGACCGCACGACCTCCCAGAAGCGCAAACTCAGCGATCGCACCCCAGATACTACCGCCGAACGACCAACACCCAGCGGCGCAGCCACCTCCGACGCCGAAAGCGACGGCGAACCCCCAGACCCAAGCGACGTGGACGCCTGGGCCGCGCACCAACTCCAGCAGGAAGCCCGCTCCGCGACGGCTGGCAAACGACCCAAACCATCGACCGAGGCCCCACGACGCCGCAAATCCCCCGCCAACAAGTCCTCCACCGCACCGCCCGCTGTCGCAAAACCAGCAACCCCCCTCCTCCCGATAAACCCTTCACCTCATTCTACGCAAAGCCTCATCTGCGCGATGCCGCGCTCTCGCCGCACCGCAAGGGCCGCGTCCGCCTGGCGTTCGGCCACCCCATCCCCAAGATGGAGGTGCGCGAGTTCCAGCCACCTGCGGATATCCTGACGCCTGAGGCGATCGACTCCTGCCGCAGGAAGCGGAGACGGATGAGAAGGGAGAGTCGCGGATGAGGGTGACCTATCCTTCTTTTGATCTGGTCGTCGCTTCTTCTTCGATTGTTGTTTTCAGTATTTCAGGCACCGGTGGTGTTTTAGGTTGGTGTTTACGGGATATCCAGTTTAACGAATGGCAAAGGCGCATATCTAGCATACATAGCATTATTACTTGAGCGCTGCAAGCATGTTGGTATGGAATGTTACATTACATTATTTTTGATCCCTTCTTCTGTTCTCCGCATACATACGGGCCCGAGCAAATGTACTCTGTACAATTACCTCAACTCTTAACTACCCGAATTGGAAACAAACGAATATAACATAAACAAAGAGGTATCTCATGTCTATATAGACATCGGATGAATCGATATATACAGGGCAGCCGATGCCACTTGCCCAGTAACCAATTCCAAGGCTCATATATACAAACAACAAAAGACCCAGAACGCCATGCAATGCAATGCAATAATCGCCGTAAATGAAAGATTAAGCAGTATTGGCGCATGAGAAGCTCGCGCTGCTGGGGTTATCATGGATCGCCTTTCCAGAGACGTACAAGCCCAGACCACAGAGCCCAGCGCCAAAGACCAGGCAGAAGAGATTCACGACTGTCAGGAATATCTTGCGCGGGGAAGCCGTATACTGGCCCCAGTTAAGGTGGAGCCAGAAAATACCACTGAGCCCGTAGGTGAACCAGGAGGCGAAGAGGGCAACCTGAATAAGTCAGTAATGGAGGTGAAGAAAAAAGAAGGCGACGAGCCTTACGATCAAGCTCAATAGGCTGCTGAATACGGGAATGGCTTCGGCGATGATCCAGGCGATGATCCAGAGGGAGAGCGCGATCGCGACCCAGGAGCTGACGGCGACCCAGTCGCGCTTGTGGATTCGGTTTTTACGAGCGAAGATGCGGATGTAGACGTATTTAAAAGCAATGTGACCGTTAATGACGCCAGCGATGATAATCTGAGCAGCATTAGTACTGGAGCCATGTTTTCAAATGCCAGTGTGGACGTACGGTAGGCAAGGCGATGCCGTAAGCGACCTTGGAGACCATCGGAGAAGCACTTCCGAGGGCGGGGGACGAGACCGTGGCACCGCCGTAGATGTAGATGACGATGGCAGCGAGGATGTAAAGGCAGATATCGACGCTCTGCAGCAGCATCAGGGCCTTGGGGAAGTCGCGAGGATCTTTCAGTTCGGACATGAGCCCGAAGTAGGCGGCGTGTCCGGCTGCGAGTCTGTTAGTCGGGTCGAAGTTTGAAATCTAAGGTCCGGAATCGGAACTCACAGAAAGCAAAGACGATGTTAGTGACCGCAGAGAACCCATGAACCAAGTCCGTGTCGACAATTGCCATCACATTTTCACCGGGATGCTTGTGATTGGTAGCCAGGCCGATCATGCAGATAATCACCGCAGAAATGATGCTGGTAAAAGCTAGATTGCCACTTAGCTACCAGATCCAACAGCAGACAGGAGGTCATCTTACAAACGAGAGAGAGCCAGGACATCTTTGCCAGTGTCCGCGGTAAGGACAGGATGAACGAGATAACTGCTCCCGCAACACCAAACACAATTGAGCAGGTACCGTGACCCGTGATTGTGTTCATCGCAATGACGAAAGTGAGCAGATGACTAGCCATGATGAAGACCAGGAATAGCATCTGGGCTGCTCCAAGAATCTCACGGCCCCAGCTGCCAAGGAGCACCTCGCCCGCATCGGCCATATTCATAATTTCCCGATGCTTTCTGAGCAGCATTAGTACTGGAGCCATGTTTTCAAATGCCAGCGTGGACGTACAGTTTGAACTGCCCAATCGTGTAGCCGGTGTAGGTGGATAGCAGACCAAGCGCAACAAGGAGAATGACAGAACTAGGCACAATCAGCAACCGATCGAATCCAGGCTCAAAAGTGGTCAACATACGGAACCAGGCCCAGGCCAGCGACAGCAGCAGGCAGCGACAGAACACCCAGAGAGACAGTTTCGGCAACCATCAGCAGACCACATTGCCTATGAAGGGAGATAACGTCAGATGGTGGTTATCCTAACAATTGCGGGGACCGAATATCAAATACGTACCACCACTTCATGACCTTATATTTGACCTCCGCATTCGACTCGTCACCAAAAGCATCCTGCTTGTAGGTAGGTGTGGCGTCATACTTCTTCTCATCCTCCGCCAAAGACGCATCACGGCTAGCAATGCTGTTCTCTTGTGGATTCTCCGGGTCGGATACAGGAGGAACATCGACGATCTGAGTCATGATCGCCGATTTTCCCTGGTCTAGCAACGTCTTCCTCAACCGAGACAACAAAATATAAATCCTGGGGTATGATAGAAAAGAATGGAAATGCTAGGATGTTCCAATGATTCAAGTTGAAGGAGCGATTATATAGAAACAGTCCTGTTGAGAGGAAGTTTCGACCAGGAAAAGAACGGAGGACCTAGGAAGATAAAGAGGCAAAGAACACGACGTAGATCTCATCTCGCCTCGGATGTTATATTTTTTTTTCTTCTTGCCCCTGTTGGCCAGACTGAGATTCTGACTCTTCGTCTAACTCAGACCGTTCGACAGAAGTGGAGCCGCATATTTCCATGTTCCATTCCATGATGCTTGAGCCCTGCCCGCCACCGGCGATGATCGCGTGGTTGCAGTGGGCCAGCAGAGATCCCACTCCGAGCAAGCAGGACGAATCATGGATTTCGAACGTAACAAAAACTGTTCACAACGGGGTATGCATCCCGAAAGACAGCAAAAAAGATCCGCTGTGGACCTGGGGAAGAAGAAAAGTAAAACACGAGGCTATCCGATGTCGGTCTGCAGTTGGACCTTGCAGAAAGCCAGCTTTGGGCGTAGAGAATTGGGATTTGCAAGAGGTTTACACACGGGGAAAAAAGGAGCACAATTGGTGAAGTCAGAGATCAGTTACCGAGACACCGAGAGATAGGATCTAAGTTGGAAATAAGAATGACGCTAAAAGGAGCAGCAGTCGAATAAACTGGTCGCATCCTTCTCTGCCCGGGGTCCAACTCTAACTGCAGCCATCGCCGATCCAGGAAATTGTTCCCAGAGATCTTACTTAAGCCTTTTCCGGCGACGCTTCCTCTTCCGACACACCGAACTCTTAGTCACTGCTACTGTACAGTCGGAATTCCTCCTAGATGGATTCGATATTGCATATTATGGCGGTTAGAATTGCAATTGATATCAACCGTTGAGATCTGTCATGACCGTATTCCTGCAGAATGAATGAATTCAGATCCTTTGGATTTATCTCTACCCAATGCAGATCTGCCGTAGGACGCTAGCAAATTAGGTTACGCCTTAGTCATCCATCATCCCTCGTCATCCATTTCTTCCCTTGCCTCGATACCTGCTATCAAGCCTATCATTCCATCTACTCCGTACCTCTCTACTTGGTACAGGTTACTCGTTGGGCTTACTACTGACATAGCTACTGCACTAGCGCAGTCAGATTGTCCGAGACTAGAGGGATCATCTCGTAATTCAAGCCTTAACACAGGCTGTTTCAGTGGCCGCTACTCTGGGTGATAGCCCTTGTTCGACCAGTCATTTCAATGATCGCCCTCTTTTAGATGGTGTTCAGTAAATGCAATGTCTCCTTCATTTTATCTCAGAATAATCTCGACATGTCAATTGCAACTGTGTCTATCCAGACTCAAATGATCATCTTCCGCTTGTCCTAACCCAGCCTCAAGCCCCAGCACTTTGAATTTCCAATGAGGCTTTTCCTCTTAAGGTACCTTTATTTTCTGTAGCCAAAAAGCCCCACTGTCTGCTTCTTCCACCAACAAGAGGCCAATAATTAAGCCAATGAGAAGCTTTACCTTTGTAAGGTTACATTGAGCTGTTGATCAGGCCAAGGCGGCAATCGTCCTCTCCGACCCGAAGAAACCGGGCTTTGATAACACGGGGATAAACGCACATACGAGGACGACTGCGCTGCTAATGATAAGGAGCCATCCACTAAGAGGACAAAGTACGGGTACAGCCAGGCGGCTTCAAACGGACTCATAATTGCTCTGGAGGCACAATGATCGACTACCGAACTCCACAGGTCGAATCGGCCTGTTCAATCGGGTAGTCTACACGATTCAATCTCGGGTACGAACTGCCGCATAGGCTTGTAATGCTTCAATCAAATCATGGCTACAGGCGGATATTTTGGTCGGAAGTGACATGGTTTCTCCCTAACCTGTGTAGTATCAACCCCAGACCCCGGATACAGAACCCCAGTCCCCACTGCTTCCATTTTTCGATAGTGCGTGGAGATTCTCCATCAGTTACCGCGTTGACTCGGATTCTCGAGCGGGGAAGATAGGTGTTTTACCTGATATTCTCGACGAGGTAGTTCGGAGATTGCCGTCCGTTCGGCCAACAACCATTATTTTGCAAGTAGGTAGGCGAGACAAGCCTCGGATGAGAATCTGGACGGCTCGGGTTCGGTTGACCACGGCTCTTTACGTTTCGACGATGATCATCCGCGTTCGGCTGGACTATCTCGATCAGGTTGGAGTTTGCACTCCAACTGGTGTGCCTGCTACATGGAGATATCGATATGATTAGATACTTGTGAACAGGGTCCGTCCTTGACCCATCGGGCTCAGGATTTAAGCAGCGACATGTCGCAATGTTGCCCCCTTTTCGTTTCGCAAAACCTGATCATTGATGAATTCAGTCTGTGATCTGTTGTGGAACTGGTGGCAGCCGAAGCACCCCAGCTTCTTTCAGATGCACTGCAGATTTTCTATTCCAACATGGCCTCACACTGACTCAGAATCTTGATCTTGATCATCTCTTACTCTTGAATCATCGGCTCTGGAGCATTTGCATGCTGAGCCTCGCAACCGACCACACTAACGGACCTAAATCCCATTTACGAGTTGCTTAGTATTTCAAGACGTCTTTTGACCTGTGATGCCGATATAGAGTAGTCCGGCATCAGCTTTTACTGCTCACGAAGCACCGTCTAGAGCCGTCATATTCTGAACACGCCTTGTCAAAGAGAGACAACCCCAAAACAGTTGCAAACAGACCATACAGTCAATACTTGCCTATGTTTCCGTCATCAGACGCAGCAAGGATGTCAATCAACAAATATCGGAATCAAGAATTTATCCAGCTGCTTTCAAGTGCTGACGTCTCCGCAAAAGTGAGCATGCGACAGTAATGACTCCTCTGCTACTTGCATTTGCCGAAGTGGATGTCAGATTCGATGCATCAACTGCCAATGCACAGTTGGCTGGTGCGTGACCCCCACACATCAAAGCGTTTGCGGGGCTGTCACTTGTCACATCTTGCCTCCATACACCCCTGTGACACGCAACGGCAGTTTTTTAGTCAATGAAAGAGCATGTCCACACAATCATTAGAAGAGAAACTGAGAAAAGAACTGTTCGTGATGCGGCATAATTTCTATGCAGAGTTCGGGCAACCTGCACTACTTCCAAAAATCGGTACGCGGAGCGCCGGCCACATGTCCGTCCTTAACTCGCTTACGCGATGTAGCCGCGATAACCTAACTAACAGTAATAGTAACCACAATGACTCAGGTGAGAGGGGCACGAGGAGCGATACCAACTGGCCATGCATATTTAACTGTCAGCACTGCCAGCAATGGCCGTGGACCCTCCCGCGAAGCCATTGCAGGCTAGAACCTTCAGTGGACCATGGACACGGAGAACCAGAATGACAGCAGCGTAGAGGACGTGGAAAGCTCGTCTCCGAAGGACTCGTCTTTCTTCACTCAGAAAGATGCGAGCCAGGTCGTCGGCAGACTGATCAGCACCAATTATGCGGTGATGATGGCCGGTTTGAACGGTATGTCGTTGCTCACGGCTGGGGTGTGAGAAGGATCCGGACTGATGAATGTTCAGACGCTGCCACCGGTGTGCTCATTCCATATCTTCAGCCCGCATATGATATTGGCTTGCTGAAAGTGTCCATGGTCTACCTGATCAATTTCGCCGGATGGCTAGTGGCATCTTTCGCCAACATTCACGTCTGTTCGAGGCTGGGAAGCGGCGGGACACTGGTTGTCGGAGCCACTATCCAGTGCTTCGGGTACGTGCTCATGTTCTGGAAACCTCCATATCCTCTTTTCATGACTGCCTTCTTCTTCACCGGCATGGGTGTTGCTTTCCAAGACGCACAAGCGAATATTTTCACGGTCACGGTCAAGCACGCGCATCGATGGCTCGGCATTCTCCATGCTGTTTACGGAGTCGGCACGATTATCGCGCCGCTGATCGCGAATACTATCGCCTCTCGAACACCATACTGGCACTATTACTACCTCACGACGTTTGTTCTGGGAGTAATCAACATTGTCCTCCTGGCCTGGACGTTCCGGAGAGGTCTATTCAAACCAAATGTCCAAAATGCTAAAGAAACGGCCAATGCCGAAATGAAGGCCACACTAACCAATAAAGTGGTCTGGATCTTCAACGGCTTCTTCTTCCTATATGTCGGTGCTGAAGTAGCGTCGGGAGGTATGTAGCCGATTATGCCATCACCGTCTGCCTGCAGAAGAGCTAATATCGGGGCCCCCCCAGGCTGGCTGGTCCAATTCCTCGTCTCCGTCAGACACGGGGACCCCAAGAAAGTAGGCTATGTGGCCTCTGGGTTCTGGTCCGGGTTCACCCTCGGACGGGTCCTCCTCGCAGACATCACGCACAAGCTCGGTGAGCGTCGGATGGTGTTTTTCTATATCGCTCTCGCCATAGCGCTGCAGGTCATGTTCTGGCTGATACCGAACATTATCGCCAATGCAGTCACCGTTTGTCTTCTGGGTGGGTAGCTCTTTCAAGTCGACTGCTTGCAATCCATCTCTTGAGACGGTGCCTGACATGATCAATAGGCTTTTTCATCGGCCCATTCTACCCTGTCGGACTATACGTCCTGACGAAAGTCATCCCACAGGACCTTCACATCGGTGCTCTAGGTAGGTCATCTGGGTTCCTCCCTCCTGCTTTGGATCCTTGTGCCTGATTTTCACGCCGATAGGCTTCACAGCGAGCTTGGGACAGGCTGGATCGGCTGCATTTCCCTTCATGACTGGAGCAATCGCTTCAAAGACAGGGGTACAGGTTATGCAGCCAATTATGGTTGGCTTGTTGGTCGGGATCGGGATATTCTGGGCTCTGCTCCCGAGGCAGCCCTCAACCAAGCCGGATGGACAGTCTGATGCCCTCACGGTCACGAGGAGTTGAGATTGGAATCGAAAGTTGGAACTTCCTACATTCACTCTTCATATTGGGATAGGGAAAATGCGGTCCATGATGCAATGCAGTCAGTAATCATGGCTGATCAATCTGTCGACTGACTCCCAGATCAACGGACAAAAGTGGCATTAGCAATAGTTACTGAAAGAAATACATTACTGAGTAGTAACCGTGCAGTTGGCATGCTACATGCTGCATACGATCATAACAATGTAGCACAACGGCGGCGTCTTGCATTGATGCATACAGTACCCTTTATTCTAACAGCCATCCTCTCCGGGAGGAGGTAGTAATGGTGAGATGAGTGCTAGAATTACTCACCCAGATGTCAAAGTATACTGAGAGTAAGTGCAAAAATAAAACAGATGGGACGCCTGGTTAACGTTTCCTCTTTCGTATTTCTGTTTACATGTTTACATATATATGCTCACCAACTTACTTGATCGTCACTGCATCAGTGTGTAGATAGAGTCTGAGCCGGGTTCAGGCCGCGTCAAAGTTCAGCAGAGTGTTTCTACTGCTATGGGCTGTTCCATCATCCAACCTTCCAATGTATGCAGTCCACGATCCGCAAGAGATCGAATACTCACAGGTCCCCCAGCTTATTCGAATACTACAATCCCCCGGCTGTGTCAGATGGCAGGTTCACCAAATGAACACCCAACTACGCCGGCTCAACGTAAACCTCAGACGGGGGGCCCGTGTGGCCACATCCAGAGATGAAATGGCTGCTATATTCTGGTCTAGCCAATTGTCGCGTCTTGCACAGCCGCGGTGTTGCCTGCTACGTCTACTCGTCAACAGCGTTGACCGCCAACTCAAGAGGTTGCCCAGGTAGTACTGTATAGCTGCCTGCCGGGTGAACGCCGGGGACCATTGCAGGCTCTTTGTAGCCCTCCTGAACGTCTCCGCTCATGGGGTAGATTCGAGGAGGAAATTACTTTGCCGATATTCCCTTTTTAGCTCCCCAAACGATCGGCAAATTCTAAATGACTGGGATAGTTAGTGATACCTTTAACAACGACAAAGACAAAACGGCCGCGGAAAGAGTAATGTCAGAGAGAAGATTAAAGTCGTCAGAGTCTTACACACCCGAAGATGGTATGACAGTCCGACTAAGGATGACTGATACATAAATTTCATCACAGAAAAGAAAGCGAGTATGCACAAAAAGGAGCACTCACGCAGACATTGGGTGAACCAGTCTCCAATTCTATTGTCAGAATGGTGACGAGAAGAAATCTGACATGAGGAGTGTCAAGGCTGAAAGCCAGCCATTGCAGAATGTCATATGACTGTTTGTCGATGCAAACCGTTCTCAATCCTCGTAGGATATGATTCTGCGTCCAGCAAAGTTCGGACCACGCCCATGTGCTTCCCGCTGCACTGTAGCATTGTCATCATAATCAAGACTCTCCCGTGAGCCTGCCTCATCCAACCGCTTCCTTTTCGACGAATCCTGTGCCTCATTTGGCTCCAAGCCAGTGCCTTCTTTCGCCTCAGGCATCTTCTCCTGTTGACCATCTGGGATACCAGAGGGCGTGTCTTCTTGCCCTTCAGCAACATCACCAGCAACTCCCTTCACGGGCGTTAATTCACGGGCCTCCTCAGCCAGCTCCTCTTCTCGTAGTTGCTTCTGGCGAAGTAACGAGTGGATTTCGCTATGCCTGAAAATGCGGATCTGCTCGTCCGTGAGAGTACGCTTCACGCCATCTGCGTAGTATCCAAGGCCGTCATCATCAATATCTTCATCTACAGTCTCCCTATAGGAGTAGTCCAGCGACGTGACTTGTTGACTACTGGGAAAATGCTTCGCTTGAAAGGCCTGCAAATCTTCCTGGAATTGGAGAGGTCATTAGCTTTCTCGTATGCATATCATCAGCATAGGACAAACTTACTATTGTAACGGATGGTACCTGTAGATTCGACATCATGGTGAGTGGTATGCGCCACAAGCAGACTCTCGATTTTCAAAAGTTGAGTGTTTGAGTGTGAAAGAAGGATAAGTGAGGATGACGCGTTAGCGCGGCTCGGGCCAGCAGTCTTAGTATAATACGGTATCGTATTGCGCAGTACACAGCCTAGTGCAATCGAGGATCATTGAGAAGGAAATCTTGGACACAGGTCGCGCGACCTCAGCGCAGCACTGCTCACCTACTAGAACGAGAAAGGCAGCAGTCTTGGCGCCCGTAGCTTTTGGCTCGGGAGGCACCTATCTAGGTACATTTAGGACCACTATATGCAGCTCAGGGCGCGAGGTAGAATAATTTTGGAAGGCTAATGGAATACTAATTGAGCAGCCGTAATACACCTTCCTCTAAAAGGGGGCTAAGCACGTATCATTCGGTTCTCACCAATTTACGGTTGAGTTATATCACAGGAAAATTTCATACAGTCGAAAGGGGTATGCTCGAGATATTGTTCCCAATTTTGACCTTCACACAGTCAAATTGAATGATCAGACTTTGTAAGCGGCGAAGATCTATAGCCTCAACTTTCTTCTTCTGCTCCGGCGTTGGTTCTGTCAAGCTCCAGGCGAGGGAGATATGGAAACAGTGGGAAAGGTCTTCGGGCTGTGTAGCTGGTTTGACGCTTTCATGTCGTCCATGACTGTGAACTGGGCCAGCCGAGATGCCCGCATACAGCGGTGGTTGGCCAAAATGAGCTAAGGAGCGATTTGACAGGCCGAGGAGACGGTTCAAGTTATCCTTAGCGGGCTTTGTCACCCGTAGGACGAGGAACCACCGCGTCCTTTCGTAATTAGAGACCCAGTCGAGGCTGTAAGGGTGGGCAGAGAATCTGGGCTGTCTGTTAGCAACCCGACTGTCCATGAGAGAAGCGTGAAATACTCACGCTGGGACTGTAGACTCTTGAAGAGCCGTTTGAAACATGGATATGAAAGCCTGTCTCTGTTCAGTGCGAAGAGCCACTGGTCTGGAGAGACTGATATGAAGCGGGAGCTGGACACCCAGATCGCTTCTTAATAAGCTATGGATCTCTCCTGCATCTTCTCCCAACTTGACTTCGACTTGTGATAATATAGCATCCAAGACAACGAGCTCTGCTTTCGACGGACACCCTGTCGAATTCAGTCTCTATTCGTAAATTAGGCATGAAACTCACACTCTAGGTATATATGGGTGGGCCAGTTCCCTTCAACATGGGGAATGACACGCTTACGGCCTCCATGAAGGCTCGGGTCGTCTCGTACACTCACGCGAGTGCTCGAGGCATACAGATCACGAAATGCACTTGGTAGTGGGGGTAGAGATGATACTTGATCATCGACGGACGAACTGTTGAGACGGGGTCTCTTTGCTGGTCTGGGTGATTCCTCCCCGCTCTCTTCTGTATCTGACTCTGTATCAGAGTATTGCACCAAAGCCATCGCGGCAATGGGTATAGGTTGAGTCAAGAAGCGCGTTGAAGAGAAGCAAGCGTAAACTTACTGTCATGGTATTACTGTTTCTTACGGGTAACCTAGGACGCTCCCGTCACCAGCAGAGTTACTGATTGGCTGGTAGCTTTATTCTCCCATCGAGAGTGTCAATTGTTATCATAATCGTCTCTATGCTTATTTCTTAAGTTACGGAGTAGATTGTTACCAAAGGCGATGTATCATACGTCTGGAAGTCGAAGTGCGGAAGAACCATGAGCCCAATGGTTACATATAGAGAGGGAGATATAGAAGCATCACATTTGGAGCAAGAGAATACATGCTTGAAGAACCATGGATCCATGCTATGAGACTATCGTTAGGCCTGCAGTTGTCCCCAGAAAATACGGCGAGCAAGCGGCTATAAAACTTGATCAGTGTACATATTTAAGTGACCTGATGCGACGAAAGTTGTTCTAGGACGAGGGTGGCCGTGTCATAGAAGTGTGGGGTAATGTGGTAATGGTAGCACTGACATCGAAGCATTGCAGATTTTTCCACAATCCATGACGCTCTTATAGCCGCGAGTTCTGACGGCTAGACCGATCTTGTCAGTAGGTCTGATGACAAACTTTTATCTACGGAGTAAAACCCAGGTAATTGTAACAGTGGGAGGGTGCTCTATTTCTCTGCTTCGACTTAGTTTATCTGCACTTTGCCTAGACTACAATGGGCCTTAGTAGTTAGTAGTGCGCTCCGAAGACTTAATGGTTGACGCCACGCCCAGACTAATGATGAGCTTAATCTTTGCAATATAAATCTAAAGGAAGCCCATGAGATATTAGCAATGGACTGCTTAGATACTTTGTTTTAGCTGAATAAGAAGAACAAACAGAACAAAACCTTGTGGCTGTCATATGTGATGGGTTCTCATGCTGACCCAACAACGGTCACAGGGCTTGTTCTGTGAGATTCTGACGACCTTCGACAGGAGATCATTGAGTCATATTCAGGCACTCGAACGTAATTTCCATCAAAATCCATGGATCGACGGGATCGTCGGAAGCCGTTTGAGGCGAGTTTTCCACGGGTTCTCGTGCTTGATCCATCAGTTTCATCATCGAGTCCCGTGGCCGATGTAACCGAATGGGTCTAGTCATTCGGCAAGGCCCATGCACTAAGCCAAACAAGGGATGGATTATATCACTAAGCCCAAGAGGGAGGGGTGGACCACTTATCGATAAGCCCCAGGACCCTTGGGTATAGCCTATGTACTCATAGTATACGCAAGTCAGTCACGTCACTCTTTGGTCGTAGTACACTTTGTAGACAGTCCTTTCTCTACTGTCTCTTGAGTGATCTTTCTCCTTCTCTGATTCCTTCCTCGAACGTGCTTCTTGTGCCTCTTCTTTTGAGCTTACAACCGTCGACAATCATCTTTTCTTTGCTTAGAAACACCGCTATTTCCCTTGATCACATTTTCAGACCCCAAATCGGACAGTCAGCCCCACATCATCAGAAAGTATCGGTAATCTTGCATTCAATAGCGCAGAGTTACTATTTAGACACCTGCGTCTCTATCCAAGGGAGGGAACCCAGAGATTAATAGCCGGAGGAATTTCTTTTCCCTGAGTCCACCTCGATCATCTCCTCAAAGTCGAACAGTCATGATGTCTTCCGGCGACTCTATATATATGGCTTCGTATCCTTCTCGTTGGAATCAGCCTAGTCATTATCCTGTGAACGTCGACATGGCCATGGAGTTGCGGAGCAACAACCCCTACCATCGCTACATCTCTCCTTCTCCTACTCTTTCTCCCTCTTCATCTACTTCGACTCTCAACACTCTCAGTTTGGAACGCTCGCCTTCTGTGCCTTCTGTGTACTGGTCTGGTCAACTTGAGCACCAGCCAATAGAGCCAAGGAGAAGACGGAACACGTATCACCCTACGTACGCTCAGCAGAGCACTCAAGGCAACCGCCATCGCGCCAGATACCGACGCGGTTCGCTTCTTGTCACTCCAGATGTCATTGATCGCCTGGACAATGCAGGTGTCTTCCATTACCACCATGAGAGCCCATATGACGCCGTCTATGCGGAAAGAAATCATGACGTCAAAACTAGCCCGATTGCAGCTCTCGAAGACTCCACTAAGGAGGCTCTCAAGGCGACCCCAGAGGACAAGATCGCCGATTGTCTCAACAGCCATCGCCCGTTGGATGGAGTTGCATTCTATCCTCCTGGAACTACGGACAAGGAAGGACGAACCTACGAGTACGAGGAAGGCACCAACATGATGAACGACTATGGCAATTTCGTTCGTATCCCAGGCTTGGTAAGTCACCTCGGTGCTTATTCGTAATCAAATTTCAAAGTACTGATCAATCTATTAGAAATTTACCGAAGAAGACTTCAAAAAGGACCCTTTCTACAACAGTCCGCTTCCAAAGCCATTCGAGATTATCCGCAAAGCATTCAATCGTCATTGCCGCAGTTGGAAGCGCAATAAGACCACCTGAGCATTGAGCAATACAGCCTGCCTGCAGATCGCTACCACTATCATTGAACGCACCACTTCTTCGCTGTCGCAACGATCATCAACCTGCCAGCGGTGTATCATTATTGTCACCCAACAGTCTCGGTCTTCACCATTGCAAATGCAGAGCTATATGCTTGGTGACACAAGTGAAGAATATGTCTGAATGACTACTCGACCTGCTTTATGAATTCACGACTCGGAATATATACGACACGACACCTACGCTACTACGACTATATACCCTATAGACTGGTGCAATTTCATGATACGAGGGGTTATTTTGCCTATTTTGAGCTTTTCCCCGTCACCGATGTCTCAGTCCGTCCAACAGTCTCAGGAAACGGACAAAATCGCGAGACGAGGGCTTTTAGGAGCGGCAACTTTGGAATTCGGAAGAGATACCCGGACTCTTGGGCGCAATTTGGAATCATGTAACAAGGGTTTTTTTATGCCGCATGAGCTTTTTTCCCTTCTTCCTTAATGTATGTAAGTCTTGGTATCTGTGACGGCATTATTGGAGTCGGTCACACCTGGAGCTTAAAAGGTTCTTTGGGATATAATTCTCGGGTAACGGATTACGCCTGTACTACTACAATGAAAGGCAGGTTCAACTTCATTCTTCTAGTCAAACCAAAAGAATGGATTGAAATCCGTCTTCTCCCGCTCTTCCTGATCCCTCCAGAATTCAATAGGCAGCCATGTGCTTAGCCTAGACATGTAGATTTGGTCAAATACTGACTATCCAATTTGGTAATGCGCGGTCACGGCGTGCTATCAGCCTATCACTTGCCGCCAATGTCTGTTGCCTCCTGGTAAGCAGCTTATATAGTTCTTGCGTCATGTCCATCATTCTGATATCAAATCGCCCCAATACTAGCACCATGATACGGTCTTTGTTTGCCTCTAGGCAGATAAGATAAAAGTATGTTTTGCTGCATGAGGTCTCCCCTTCAATATCATTTGCATCCTTTACTACCAAATCTACGGCGACACGTAGGATTTTCTAACAAAGCCATGGCTGCAGTGCATACGCTGCCTACCCTTGGTCCGATCCACCCCCCAAAGTCGAGAAAAGGGCCATCAAACCCTCGATCGCGAGACATGTCAACATCCGCGTCAACGACCCGCTCGATCATGACGCACCGGCCATTCTACATGAACCTCGCAGCTATAGCTTCAACGAATCCAAGGGATCAGCCGTCGTATTGGTCAGTGGTGCAGGAGGCGGGGTAAGCGGCCCTGGTGGTGAGTATCTTATCTTTGACACGCTGTTTGATCCTTCAATCTACGGAATATCGGCAATTAACTGCAGTGTACTGCGTAGCTATCTACCCAAGCCTTGCTGATAAACTCGCCCTTCTACTCGGTATCCCGTCTATCAGACTTGACTACAGAAGACCTGCGAGGACGGAGTACTGTTCCGCCGACATCGTAGCCTCTTTCACCTACCTGCGCGAGCACTTCAATTCATCGGCCTTCGTCCTCGTCGGCTGGTCCTTTGCTTCACCGTCGCGGCCCAGGACGACCGCGTCCGCGGCGTGGCTACCGTGGCATCTCAAACTGCGAATACGGTGGGGATCAAGAAATTGAGTCCGCGACCGGTGCTCTTGCTGCACGGGACCGATGATACGGTGCTCTCGCCGACGTGCTCGGCGACGTGCTCGGAGACACTGTATAGGGAGTACGGGGACGGTCCCCGCGAGTTGAGACTGCTTCCCGGGGACGACCATGGACTCACGAAACATTCGACTGAAGTGGAAAAGATGATCTTTGAGTTTGCTGCTAAGACGCTTGGCTTTGAGAAGCTGTTGAATCAGACGTTGGATCAGGCGGGAGAGGATCTGGTTGAGAGTCGGGATGAGCGAATTAGAGAAATAGTCGAAGGGCACGACCTCGAAGGGGACGAGAGGTTGCAGTAGATGAGTGTTCGTTGACGTTTCCTCTGAGTGCGTGCATGTAGAAGTGTCTGTCCATAGGATAAGCCAGATAGGTCAAATTGCACAGCTGTCCTCTTTGTTCTTATTGATTTTTGATGAATAGCGAGGTTCCAGAATGGCATGATCTGGCCGCCTTTAACAGGTAATAAGAACGGACTCGACCAATGGAAATACCAGTAGTGTTAAAAGGAAACCACCTAGACTTGGAATGCACTGGGCAAATGCGGCGTGCATTCCATAGCCGTCTTGGCGATCATCATCCGATTACTACTGCGACGAAGGCCACCTTGTCCTTCTGAATAAATAGTCTTATTGAGGAACTTCAATATACCACGCTGTAATTAATCAATCCACCCTACAGTATAGATTTGCGTTTCTCTTTTGCTCCTCTTCCTTGCATAGTACCAATATCCTCTTGTACCTTCGCTATTGCATGGTCTTTCAGTTTCCTTGGCTTTGTCTTTGCTTTGATTGATAATCCTCGACAGGCCCACTTGTCTGTTTTTATGTGAAGGACAACAAGGCGACTAATCAACTTCATCACTCTTGATCTAAAACACATACTAGTACATGCATTTCTGAAAACTTGATCGCAAAATGCGCTCCGCAGCCAGGGTCTTCTACCTGGCAGTGTTCGCCTTTTTGAGGTTTACCAGTGCTGACGATGATGGAGACAATCAGCGATATGACCACTCTGTTTGCGCAGTAGGTGGCCTCTTCTACCAAGAATACTTCTATGACTGTTTCTGACTATGTCGTTGTCCAGATTGACCCCTCCGCCACCGTCTCCGATGCCTGTGTTTCCTACGTCACCGTTGATTCTCTCAACGATCAGATCTACAGCCTTCTCCAGTCGATCACGCAAGAGACAGATTTCTTTTCATACTACCGCCTAAATTTATTCAACAAGCAATGCCCGTTCTGGGACGATGCCAACAGCATGTGTGGCAATATCGCTTGTTCCGTCAATACAATAGAGTCGGAGGAGGATATCCCGTTGACGTGGCGCGCGGAGGAGCTTAGCAAATTGGAAGGTCCCAAAGCAGGCCATCCCGGCCGCAAACTTCAAAAAGAACGGCCCAGTGACAAACCGCTTCAAGGCGAACTCGGCGCAAATGTCGGGGAAAGCTGTGTGGTCGAATACGACGACGAGTGTGATGAGCGCGATTACTGTGTGCCGGAAGATGAAGGGGCCAGTGGTAAAGGCGACTACGTCAGTTTGGTAGACAATCCGGAACGATTCACGGGCTATGCGGGACCGGGAGCCCATATGGTCTGGGACGCCATTTACCGGGAGAATTGTTTTCTGAAGTCGCCTCCAGCGATGGAACTGTCCCCGCATCCATCTCTAGGAGGCTTGCAGGCCGTCAACGACTTCCGAAACGTAATGCAAAAGGAGATGAAACGGTCCGAAGGATTGCCGTTTGACAATGAGTGCCTTGAGAAGCGGGTCTTTCATCGCCTCATTAGCGGCATGCATGCATCCATCTCGACCCATCTCTGCTGGGATTATCTCAACAAGACCACAGGACAATGGCACCCCAATTTGCAATGCTTCAAAGAGCGTCTGCATGACCACCCAGAGCGCATTTCTAACCTGTACTTCAACTATGCGCTCGTCTCGCGGGCCGTGGCGAAGCTGCGGAAGCACCTTCAGAATTACACCTTTTGCACAAGCGATCCACTTCAGGACAGCGAAACCAAGGAGAAGGTGTCCCAGCTGACTGCGATCCTCGCCGATCGGCCGCAAATCTTTGATGAAAATATCATGTTCCAGGACCCGAGCGCACCCGGCTTGAAGGAAGAGTTCCGCAACCGCTTCAGGAACGTGAGCAGATTGATGGACTGTGTTGGCTGTGATAAGTGCCGACTGTGGGGCAAGCTCCAGGTGAATGGATATGGAACGGCTCTGAAGGTGCTGTTCGACTACGACGAGACCAAGAATGGCGAAAATCCACCACTACGGCGAACTGAGCTGGTCGCGTTGATCAACACTCTGGGCCGCATTTCCCATAGTTTGGCTGCTGTACGAAGCTTCCATCGTGCCATGGACCTTGGACAGGGCCAGACTTTCGCTATCATGGCGGGAACTCCCATGTTGAAGGAACACCCTGGCGGTCGGAAAGCGAAGGTCCTCTACAAGGATGGAGGGTCAACGTTCTATTACGAAGACGACGAAGACGACTTCAAGTACGCGGCGGAGAGATTGCCATGGGAGAGAAGGCCGCATAAGGAATCGGATACTGCGTGGGACAGTTTTACGGCCGAATTCGAGGTGGTGTGGAACACATTCGTCTACGTCCTGAAGAGTTGGTGGAATATGCCGAAGACTTTGTAAGCTTTCCCTAATTTCTGTCCGTCTGCATGGTGACTGACCGCTGATTCTGTCTTGCAGATGGGAAATCTTCGTCCTGGAAGCCAACAGGGCCTGGAGTTACTGGCTGGGTCTCCCTGTGCCGCCGCGGTCATGGAGAATTCGGCTTCCTCAACGACCCCAGATGCGCAGTCGTGACGAGTTATAATCGATTCCAGCGTACTAGACCATCTATTTCATGACCATCGGCGCCTGCCGAACTGTATAGACAACGAGGGTTTGATTTTGTTTCGCGGCGTCTAGAGTCGATGTTGCATCTTGGGAGTTCGGGAGCGCATGTATAATATGGGTATATCTACTCAAATTGACGAACAGTCTTAATTGCATTGAAACGGTCAGCTGTGGTTCGGTGGTGATAATGTAGGCGCGTATCTCGTATGGAGAGTAGCTGTACTTGAGGCTCAAGAACATTGTCATATATCAAAGTCAAGTCAACTGGAAGAACATGATGAAATACGGTAGTATATATGGTGCAACCGATGGTACAAAATATATCTGTCGATCTATAACCAACCTCATGATGATGATGATGATGATGAAATAGCCACGGCGTTCTCCGGCTCAGAATGAGTTTCTGTCGGCAAAAGCAGACAGCCTCGGCATCTGCGGCCACATGCGCTATGTAATTTTGTCCTCCAAGCCAAACGGCTCCACCCCATCTCCTCTTGACCATCTCCTGCGTCCCCTCTCTTCTGCGCATCCACGTTTCCACCATCATCCTCATATCAACCTAGCGACTTGCCATCTAGGTCCAACTCGTTACCTGATTATTGGCTGGGCTCAAATGCGAGGCTGGTGAGAATTATCCCCTCCGCAACTCCATGGCGTCGGTTTCGCCACCTAAACCGTGGGAGAGAGCAGGCACTGCTGGCGGTGGTAGGTGACCCGCTGCTGTTGAATACTTATTCTGTGCTGTCTCTATCATCGAGAACTTGATCGCTAACATTGTTGCTTCACTTCATCAGGCACTGTGTTATCAGCGTCCCCGCGGGTAGTTCAACCATGACTCCAACAGCCGCCGCTGCGACAGCGCCGACCGCTACCTCCTCCATACCCACATCCACCTCAACACCATCCTCTACTACTCCCTCCTTACCTTCTCGCCCTGACACATTGAACTCTGTTGTAAACCGGACAGCGTCGAACTACTCCCCCTATGGCACATCACGGTTCGGTACCACGCCGTATGGAACCGGCTATGGCGGCTACGGCGCATATTCATCGCCATACTCTCGCTTCGGTACGATGGGCTCCATGTATGGAGGCTATGGTGGCATGGGGGCATGTACGGCGGCATGGGGGCATGGGAGGCATGTACGGTGCCGGCATGCCTGGCGACCCCAATGATCCCAACAGCTTGACGAATTCGTTCAGCCAGAGTACGCAGGCTACCTTTCAGATGATTGAGAGTATTGTGGGTGCATTTGGTGGGTTTGCTCAGATGCTCGAGAGCACATATATGGCGACTCATAGCTCTTTTTTTGGTATGTCCCTGTCATCAGTGACTACTTCTTTGGATATTGCTAACTTCGTCAAAGCCATGGTCTCCGTTGCAGAGCAGTTTGGCAATCTGCGAAATACTCTCGGATCCGCCTTGGGTATTTTCACAATAATTAGATGGTTCAGGACGTTGATCGCGAAGATTACGGGGCGTCCTCCGCCGGCTGATGCTGCCTCTCTTACCCCCTCTGCGTTTGCGGCCTTTATGCACGGGCGCTCGGCGCCTGCTACGCTTCCAGACGGCTCTCCTGCTCCCCCCAAGCCTTCGAAGAAGCCCTTTTTCATGTTCCTGATCGCCGTCTTCGGTCTCCCCTACTTGATGGGCAAGCTCATCAAAGCCCTCGCGCGCTCACAGGAGGAGCAGCGTAAGCAGATGATGCTGGGACCAAACGGCGAACCCATGCAAGCGCCATTGGATCCATCGAAACTTGATTTCTGCCGAGTCTTGTATGATTACACTCCCGAGTCTCAGGAAAGCGCCGGCATCGATCTGGCCGTTAAGAAGGGTGATATTGTCGCTGTTCTCAGCAAGACAGACCCCATGGGCAACGCATCTGAGTGGTGGCGCTGCCGCGCTCGGGACGGCCGTGTTGGCTACCTCCCAGGGCCCTACCTCGAAACCATCCAACGAAAACCTGCGCAGCAGGCCATCACCTCCGGCAGCGAAGCGGGCAGCCGCAGCAATACTATGACATCAGTCATTGAGAAGGCTCAGGTCGGTGATGAGAAGAAGCCAGTCTTGAAGGGGAAAATGGGTGACATCTCGCCGGAGAGCTTTCAAAAGAGTGCATTCTACTCATAGGCTGTGCCATGACATTTCGTCGTCACCATATCACCTTTTATTATTATCACGATAAACCACGAACAAAAGATATGGCGGCATATTCTGTTCTGGCTTACTTATCCCACTCTTTCTCTCTCAGTCCTTGTCGATGCATCGGTGTTTGACGGATTATGGGCTCTGGGAGTATTGAACGACGACGCCAGGATACTGTTGTTTTTGGGTACATCTGGACATGGATGGTTTCTTTTTCTGCGTTTTATCTGTTCTTCTTACGTTTGAGCGAGGGTTCCTATCTATATCATCTACTTCTTATGCCGTGTATACTTTACCCAATGACAACTTAATACAACCGACATGCAGTTCGACTGTCTCATCGCACACTAGGTGTTGCAAAAGTACATTTTGCGCACTTTGTAACGAAAGGTACTTTGTTAATCAAGTCCTCCAGCCATATCTGTAGCGCCTGGTCGCAAATATGGAACTGACTGTGATATAAATCCGAGACAGCGAAGTATTTGTTCACCGTATAGATATCAAATAGTAACAGATATAGCTGATACGCCGCTATTAACCATGATTATGAATGAGCGTGTTTGAATGAAGTCTTTGGCCTATCACCTCCTGACCTATCAGCCGGCCCTCGACCTTTCGCAAACCCGGTCCTCCGTACAGGCAGTCCAGACTCTATACTCCACCACGCGTTGTAGGCGTCTAGGAGAGTGTCGTGTCGTGTGTCCACACACTAACAACAGGAATCGTCGTCAACGTACGCACCATCCCGTCCGCAGTCCGTCGTCCGCACTCGCCCATCTCGCCATTTGGAGTAAATATCCTTTCAGTCTACAGTAGACCTAGACAAGAACCTGGTAAGGTATCTACCTACTATGTAGAAAGTACTAGATAGATATCTTGATAGTCAAAGGATCCCCGCGCAAACGTGTCTTGAGCCAGCCTCGCCCGCCTCGTCTCATCTTGTCTGATTGGCCTGACATAATGCGCCAGGGCCACGACTCCAAACGGGAATCTGGATAGGCGTACTCTATATCCATTACGATTTTCATCAACTTGAAAACAGTCAACTCAAAACGTTTTGGGCTCGTAGGCTGTAGCTCCGTCCTAACCTAACAGTCCCTGTTTCGGCCCTATTGACTTGGCGGGCGTTAAGTGATAGTCGCCCCATCCTGGTAAGTTGTCCGGGGCGAGGAGGGTCTTTGTCTGCAGCGTGCTATGCAGTGCCTGGGCGTATGATTAGGACGGATTAAAGGCGGAATCTTTTTCCGGGGTGTGTGTTTGGTTGTGGTGTTTCCTTTCTCTTTGTGCTGGGATGGGGGCTAGTGGTATGGTGTACTGTGTTTGGTGTAGTGTTACTGCTTGTGCGAGTTTGGAAGACTAGTTTCTTTGTTGTGATTGGGATCTGCGGGTTTGGTCACCATGGTGGATGAAAAACAGGTGCAATTTGTAGTACAGTGCTTCTACTTCTGTGTTGCGATTAGGAGAGCTTTTTATATGAAAAATTAGAGAGGCATTGGTCAGATATTTGTCTACCGGTAGATGAGATGATCGATCCTCTAGTACTCTATAGATGGCCCTCGTAATACACTGTAGTGGTTGCACATGAATTCCCTAACGCAGTCTCAATGTTGGTTACTCCGCCTGAGCTTCGCCCATAACACACGCCAGGCTTGTCCTACATGCTCGGGGTTGCCTCGTACCTCTGTAAAACCAGTCTTGTATGGAGCAGCAGCACCATGGGTTCCTGCAGTTCCTGCATTCCATTCCTTTGACCCCAGGCGGAATACCCTGGCCAGCCGCAGTGTCTCTGCAGAGTGGATCCACATAATCATCTTCGATGACCACAGCGTATCTTTCAAACACTCGTATATCAGTGCACGCAGGGTCCGCTTGCATCCTGAGCCTCAGTCGTCCCCAGACCTCCAGTGGCTGTAGTAAGAACGGTCCTGATGAGATGACGGATCAGGAACGATCACAATTTGACAGTATTCGTGGAAGCGAGACATCAGGCAGGTGATTCCCGTCGGTGTTGTCTGGACCTGCTGTTTGCGGAGCAAACAACTCAGGCGACGTCTTCTCGAATGTAGCGCGCCTGATATGCAGCAGGGTGGAGAGATAGATGGAGCATGGATTTCGACGGACCCAGAGCGCTCTGTAAGGGATGGGTCCTGTAGAGTTGGATGCGAACTGGATGCGACGGCGAGGCAAAAGACAGCAGACAAATGGTCGTTGAGCTACCCAGCCGCTCCTATTGCCGCTAGCTTAATGGCTCACTTCTCTCCTACTCTGCACCATCTTCCGCTCAAGTCAAACCATAGTTGTCTATGAAATCATCCTGCAGAAATGACAATGAACGAGACAAAATTGAGTGTTACACGGAAGGGCAAACGCAGTGATGGGTAACATGCTATAGGGTGGTTAATAGGCAAAAAGAAAAAAAGGTGATCACCATGATCACTTGGTGTCAAACCCCGCGGAAAATCCTGTGAGACCATATTCCAGACCGGATCATCAAGTCCTTGCGGGTTTCGAGTTCGAGGCGACTGCCAGTAGCTTTTCAGCATTCTTCTCCGGGTGTAATGAAGTTCGACATGCTCTCCTCGAGCTTCTTGTCGAGGGCTAAAAGACGATCTTGAAATGAATCCAAAGCCTCCCATACATCTTCAGTCGTCGTCAGGTCTTCCACTGGCTTTGGTGTAGGGTGTGTCGAAGTAGGACTGAGAGTAGCCACCGACAAAGATTGGTTGTCATCCAGTTCAGGACTTTGAAGAGGATCGATTTTGTTTTCACCTGTTGCTTCTTGTCAACTTGGTTCAAGACAGTAACATGTGCTATATCAAAAATTTGAGATCGACTGCGGGGAGAAATCGGAGATGTCAGACGAGAGATCGAACAGGGAGAAATGGGCTGCTCACGGTGCATCGATTGAGATTCCGGTAGAGGGGATAAGGCCGCAGATCGATCGTCCGGTTCGGGGGTGTAACAACTCATGTCGGATGGGGTATCTACTAGCGGAATGAGCAACAGGGGTTCTGTCGAAACACTTTCGTAAGACGACGCACCTGGTTCAGGACTCGTCTGATGGGAGTCATTGCGAGTGTTGTCCCAGGAAGCACCGTACCTACGGACAAAGCGAGCGATGCGTTTGGAGTCGACTTCCTGACCTCCGACTCGAAACGCGGTTTGCTTGCCTCGAGCAGCTCGCTTTTGCTGCTTTCGGATCATCACATGGACTTCTTTGGCCTTGATGTTTTTTCGGACATGCCATGCCGCCAAACGGTCTTTGAATTGCTTTTCTCTGGGAAGTCCAAGTTAGGCAAGAAGTTCAACCATCGGATGCAGTTCACCACAAGGTAATATAGAAACAGAAATAAAAACAAGTCAAATGGAGAAGAGGAGAAAATGGTTTCCCTGTTCTTGCTCTTTGGACGGGATCTAGAAAAGCCCTCATCTTGAGGATAAAACAGGCATGATCAACTACATGAAATGCTCATGTGATGTTGACCACCGTCCACCAAAAATGGAAACCAAGGGAAGGAGAGGGAAAAAACGAAAGAACACGAGGGAAAGGAAGACAGTACGATGCAACGAAGTTATAATCATGTTCCATGATTCGTTTCACATCTCTTAGTTTCAGCTGATGGTCGCGGTAAAGACGCTCAATAACCGTTCGGTACTCATTCCAGTCGTCAGATCTGCGGGGGCGAAAGATTGCTGAAGACGAAGACGATGAGGAAGCAGAGAAGTTGGACGACGAGGCGATGGAACCATCCATCATTAACGAATCACCAGAACTACTCTGGTAGGCATACTCTAGAGCTCACGAGGGCGAGATAGCCGGGGATGATGATCGGCGCGGACGGCGAGGAGTTATAGAAGGGTGAAAGAAAACGAACGTTGGGGAAATAGAGGACCAAATAGAAAAGAGAAGGGCAATGAGGCACAATAGAATTACAGAAAGACTCTTATGTAGTAGAGGAGTGTAGCTTGCAGGTTCGACAATATCGACAGTTTGTCAGTTGCCTGTTGCAGCACAAGCGGCAGTGAGGTAGATTCCAGACAACCGTATGGAGTCGTAGGTAGTTGTCAGTCGGATCCGGTTCAGATGCAGAAATCACTAGTCTGCAGTTGGGTGAAAGACGAGCCAGTAGATATCGTAGTGACACACGTTCTATTACTCAGAGAGCAACGAGTGGCAGTCAGTCAGCAGTAGAAGGGAGGTACATAGTAGGCAGGCAATTGCTTCAGGTCGACTGTCAGAGAAAGAATAGCTAGCAGTCAGGGTAAGAGGGCAAGTAAAAGCATGTGGTCTGTGTCTTGTCTGTCTGTAAGTAGGTGGTAGCTAGCAGCCTCGCTAGCATCCAATAATGATAAAAGAAATGAATTTTCGAGCTGTTTTCTTATGGGCCATTGTCGTTCCTGCTTCTCTTCCAACAGAAAACTGCCAGCAAATCCTTCTATAAAATTCGAAGAATTGAACTATCTGGGATAATAATGAGAATAATAATAATATTCGAATACTTATTGATGCTAGGAAGAACATTTCAAATTAGATATAGGATTTCTTACTACTGAACCAAGAGGAAAAAGAAAACATGAAAATCAAAAAAAGAACTGTCTGACTGTGATTGTAGATCAGGTGTGAGAAAAAAGGGAGGTAAAAAAATTAGAAAAATAGCAGCAAAAATACAACGAGGCTACCCAAAAAAAAAGGTTCGAAACGAAGGATACAACCCGGGGCCAAAAGGAGGCTAAGGGTGTCCACCCGGCGGCCTAAGTACGGACTAGGACTTCCTAGCTGGTCGTGGTACTTTTGGCTTGGATGAGAGACCAGAACAGCAAACAGATGATGAACAGCAAAGGGCAAAACGTCGGAGTAGTCCAGAATATAGATTAATAGGTTGGGTCCGGAATCAAAGAAAATAGAATATTCATAACCAAACCGAGACCAACACCAATATAATATATAAATAATGAAATGCTTATGGCTCTTTTTCAAGGGGAGGAATGACGATAGATCGCTGACAGGTAGTGGACGACTAGCAAGGACCTCTGCTTGCCCTTTGCGGCCACTTGCTGCTGGAACGCCCGCGGATATCCCGATCCTTGCTCCCGTGGGCCAATCGGTGGGCCTGTAGCTAATAGTACTGATGGTCCGTGTACTTTTGTTTTGATCCCCCGGTGTTGTCGACAGAGGTACGGAATACGGAGACATCATATATTACACGGTAACTCCGTACTATCTATTATTTTCAAGGATTTCCTCCCTTACAAAACTATTATCAATGTGAGTTTAACAGTTAGTTAAACTCTGCCTTAGGTATGTCTACCTAACTGTAGTCTAGAGAAGTGGGGAGGCAAGTTTGCAGTAGTAGTATGGAGATAGTAAAAACCAGCTCATAACGATGAACACGGGGATAAACGGATAATACCCACTCTTCTCCAGTCCACACGTAGCTACAAAGCACTAAGAAGTCTAGCCCTCCTCAAGCAAGACTTTTCAATAATAGGCACAGTTCTTTGTCGTGTGAAGTCAAGTCTAGGGCAAGGGGCTTGACCTCTTTCACAGGAGCACAATGTACCATATCCTCGGTATTTATCGATGATATCCATACTACTGCGATGCTACTAGGTACATCAATATTGCTAACTGTCAATATAGGTACGGAGTAGGGGCAAAAGTGTCATCTTGATCGCCTGATCGCACTTCACGCTTCGTGCTTCTTCCTCCGTACCTCTGTCGTCCGTAAAGAATGAGTTACGTACCTTCTTTACGTACTTTGTGTTTGCCTGCGCTAATCCTGCAGGTGTACCATTGCTTACATGCCATCCGATGCAGCTACTACTTCATCAGGACTAACGTGACTCCTGTGGGTGTAGGGTATGATCAGGGATCGACTTGACTTCATTAAATGACCGACAAGAAAAGAAATCATTGACGGAGTAGCGGGTTAAACGGAATTCTCTCAATAATGCAAAGTCGCGACCTAAGTTTTGCCTCTGAAACCCTGGCCCCCATCACCTGTTGACGGGGACTTGGGATGGAGGGTACCATGACCCCCAGCATATGTATGAGGACACTGCTAACTATGTAGGTACCTGGGAAATGGTAGGCTACAAAAGTTCGGTATGGGGCAAAGCAGCAAGAATAACAGGATAGTGGACAGTAAGCGCTCATCTAGAACTAGAGAACTCACGTCGTCTGTTCAGCTTCCAAGCTATTATTTGAAATCGGGGTGGCACCGCCTAGTTGTCTCGAGTCATGGTTGATGACATGATGGCGAAGAGGTCTAAGCTCCAGGTCAGTCCTCGCGACTCCGTATTGAGTCAACTGTTCTACCAGCTAAGACTCCAGTGCTCTGATTCTCAGCTGATTGTTTGCTGAGATGATGATGCCATACCAAGTTAACTTCGTCACGTTTCTCCTTTGCTCTCAAGTGGAAGTGACACTACAGCTGCCTCATAGTCGAGTCCTGTTACTTATCCTGAAGAAGTAAGCCCTGAAGACTGTAAGGCACCCTTGCTCGGCTGGATTGTCCACTCTTTAGGAAAGAATCGGCGGTGCGTTATGCTGGTGGACCAGATCGGATGTGTCCGTCCGGTTCCATCGACCTACCGTAAGGTACTTCCTACTATGGAGCGATATCTACTCGTACTTTGCACTACCTACCCACAATATCTCGACACTGATACATACATACATACATACATACATACACCCACCCATGAGACCATCGTCGCACAAAACCCGGAGATTATCACCTTTAAACGAACGGTTACTGATGTGCTTTCATTGATTAGATCTAGAGAATATTGTTGACAAAGCTGCCCACTTCTCCATCTTCCAGCACACCCCCTGGTGGAACGGGGATCTGGCCAAGACATGGGCTGCTCCGTAGTGAGTTACAGACATCCAAAGGGGCGGCGCCAACACTGGCCAGAAGACAGAAAACGGTCACTGAGTACAGGAGACTAGGTATGGAATTCACTCATGACCCAGTTATTTCGCATCCATCAAGCTCGGCACTACTCCATAATGGGGTGGGAAGCACTCCCTTACTTCGACGGTTTAAATTTGAGATGACATATCCCTCCTGGGCTAGAGCAGCACTTAGCCACAACGTCAATGGCGACCAAGCTGAAGGAGCAAGGACCCTTTTCATCGACAGCCACTACCTTGTCGCTTTCAGTCTATCTACTCCGTACGCTGATTCGTGGCGGAATCATCCATCCTTTCGCCAAGGGTGGTCTAAAAAACGAACTGGTGGCAAATGCGATAGACTGTGGTGAACTGCATGCCAAAAGTCCAGTTCCCAGCGCCGCGGTTTCGTGTTAGAATGATACACTACCTTGGTCGGCCTCGCAAACTTCAATATGCAAGGTGGACACACACTTGACTTTCGACTGTCGACAAAGAAAGAGAAAAAATAACATCGTGTGTCGGGAGCGGCCCGAAACAACCCATTCCTTGTTGACGTGTAGGATCATTAATGATCAATCATCAATAATAAGTAAAAGGTTGACAGTCCCAGCAGCATGGATCACCAGAATGAATGACGGTCTCACGGACCGTCTGGTTTCTTTGGTTCTTGAGGTTGCTGCTTCGACCGTCGTCGATTGGCCCAGCGGCGTTTGGTGGGTTACATAGGATGTGATTGGAGACAAAGAGACGCAAGACGGACAAAGAAAAGAAGAAACAATGCGCTGGGATTTGACCGTCGTCTGGCTAGACTAATTGACAAGCGGTTTCGTAGTCCGTACAGTAATATTGTTACTAGGCCGATGCAAGACTCCCTGACACCTGTCACCTATAATGGTCGGAATAAGATTGCGTCGCGCCTCCTCCACTTCCCAGGTTGTTACGGGACCGTGTCATCATCACGGCCGCCGGGCTAATGGACGATCTCCCGTTTCCTTCATATGGCATTCGCTTGTAAGTTGTAACAACTAACGAGGAGTAGATACGACGGGGTCTGGTTGCCATGATACAACAAGGATCAACTTCCAACAACGCCCTCGTGGACCGTACAAACCGTCCTGTCAGCAAGTGTCCGGCTACCGCTATGGCAGATCTCGGATCGTCATCTAGTTTCCCATGGTTCATAGGAAGGTATGTCCGAGGGCCATCGTCCTGCACCAGAACCACTTGATGGTTGAGCAAGAAGAAGAAAAGCCAAAGACGCTGTCCTCTTTACCGCATAGAGACCGCCTGGAATGCCATTAAAACTGCGGAGTACTGTCGATCTATGCCTTTCCTATGAGATAAAGACCACAATGGTCGTGCTACAAGGCACAACGCAAGGGCGACAGACTGTCGTCCGCAACTCTCGCATAGCGAGACAACGCCAAGTCGAGCCAGTCGAGGCCTCAGCTGGAATTCAGATCCTAAGGGGGTGGACCGAGTACTTGCGTGCCAAATCTTGACTAAACAGGTTGTGTCCGGATACGCTTTTGCCCTTCCCGATTGGCGCCAGAGCGCTGGAAGGGGATGTCACAAGTGCAACTCCCATGTAATTGGCCATAGGCGGCACTGCGTGGTGGATCTACTAGCGAGATCCTTGACACCAGCTTGATGCTGGCTGGAGTGAAGGCAAATCAAGTAGGAAGAGCTGCCTGAGGCTACACAGCATGCGATACACCCATGTTGCCCTGTATGACGCTGGTCCTACTTTCGAGTCGGACTGGCCGTTGCGAGTCGAGCCTGTTCGCCCGCTGCGACGGCTGCAGCCGCCACAGCTGCGGAATTACTGGATCCAGCACTGGCAACATTGCTTGCATGAGCTAGCAAGAATTTGCAACAGGTCAGCGTGTACTTGCACGCACGCGTCCAGGTCTCGTCGTTTTGGTTGAAACCAAGTTTGATGCTCGCATCGCCGATTTTGTCCCGCTTGATCTCGTACGGGAGTTTCAACCCTGCTACGGGAGCATTACCGTGACCCCGACGAGTCGACGAGACAGGTGCTGGCGTCGTCTCCACAAATTCTCCCAGCTGACGTAAACATTCCAGGAAAGCGACCATACCTGCATCAAACCGGCGGTGAAGCCAAGGAAGATTGAGCGGAAGATCTCCAGAAGAGAAGAGATCGAGCGTGGTGATTTTTGCCGCCGGAGAGGTCTCTGCGCTACCCCACCCAGCGCGGACTGAGCTGGTGACGTTCGTGGATATTCGATCTTCTCAATCCGTGACATGGATCCCATTGGCTTCAGTCGATACCCCTGAAACTGGAATCCCAATTTCTCAGCGATAGTAGCCAACAGTAATGTCGTCTGACCCCAAGCTGCGTTGATTTCCGGCCACTCCACCGACGGATTGGTCAGACGACCCAGTCGCAGCCCGTTGATGGTCCCAAAGTAGCCGTCGTGTCCAATACAGAAGGCATCATTGTAGACGTTAGTGCGTTGTAGTCGTTCCAGCTGCCGTGAATCGTGATCGTACCGCATATTCAGGGCATCGCGTTCGTTTTGAAATTCGGACAGCGTCAAAGCAAATGCGTTCCGGTCTCGCCAGAACTTCTCCTCCTCCAGGTCCAGCTGTCGCGACTCTTCCTCCAAAGCGGCGATTTCCTCGTCCAGGGCGGCCTTTTCCTTCTCCAATGCGACAAGCTCCTCAAATGCCGCCTCTTCCGCCGCGAGAGTCTCCTTGAGCGACTTTTCAGCCGCCTCGACTTCCTCCGCTGTGGGTGCTGAAGAGTTCAAGCCTCTTAGAAATGATATGTAAGCGTCCCGCTCCTTGGTGGCAGACACAAGCCGTTTCTGTAGCCCATCCACGAGCATCTCCGTGCACTCAACACAAATCGGATGGTCTATATCAGAGCGAGCTGATATGATTTCAAATAGCCGATTTGTTCTCTCTACTTGATCCGAGAAAGACCCGTCTTCTGGTTCCCGTTCGTTGTTCGGGGCGCCAGACGGCCTTTTGTTCGCCCACGACTGACCTTCTCCATTGTTGCTCGAGCTGGTGTGGGGTGGGCCGACCTGTGACTCCGTGAGCATGACGAACGACATGTTGCCGCTGTCTCCTCGGCCCAGTCTGGGAGGGTTGCTTTGCCCGCTGCCCGTAGGCCGCGGTGCCGGGATCGATCTTCTGTATACTGGCGACGTAGCATGGTTGGAGACTCGATCGTACAGCTCTCGTCTTTCTGGGGGATAGGAAGGTAGTGTAGAGGATGTGCTGTTATTCTCCGGATGAGTTCTGCCTGTTGAACCTATTTATCGATGGAAAGGACAAGAGTTAGCAAGCGTGTACGATTCGTCCATAGGGAATGCACCTGGAGCTTTACCGACGAGTAAGTCAAAGGCCGCCGGATTGAGCGCCTCAAGGGAGCCATCCAGCTTCAGCGGTGTCCGACATTTCTGGCAATACATGTTTGTAGGGTGTTGAAGATGTCGTTCCATGCATTATGCGCGAGAGAAGAACCCGTCAGATACGGATAAGATGAGTGTTGTTCTGACTAGACTGAAAAGCGCATGGGGGAGACCTGCACTGAGTTCCGCAGGGAGGAGACGTCATGCAGCAACCCGTGCCCGGCGTCGCGTGTTTTTGTCCGCTGTCCGAGCCATGGAGGGAGCAGATTCAAAGGCTTGAATTCGCACCCTTATTGAAGGACAATTCACTCTATAGAGAAATATGGCTATAAAAATAGTGTCTTGCTCATGAATGGGTCTGCCATTTACTTTGTCCTCTCAGTGATCCATATTATGTGAACCATATTCGACCTTCGTTTGCTGCTATTCAGATGGGAACAACACATGTCTGCCTACATTACTGCAGCACAACTTTGCGACCTCTACCTTCTATGGACGCTCTCAGCACATAGCCTTCAATGACTCTCGCGTCGTTCCAACATCCCTCGAGCAGGAAATCCGTCAATTCTCCCAACCCCAACCGTATCTCGAAAGCTCGAATACAGTTCTTTCACCTTCAGTGTCTGCCTATGCCTACGAATTCTACAGCTCACTTGGCCCTAAGTCATCATGGAAAGGCCTCAGAAAAGACCCCGCTTATCCTTGGGTGGTCACGGCGAAGACCCGGACGATATAGACCTGCAGGAAGCCAGAGCCCAAAATGACCTCCGCCTCAAATCGATCTTTGAACGCATCTTCGAAAAATACGGAAAAGATTTCACAGAAATTGGGGATGAAATCGATTTACAGACAGGGAAAATTGTGGTCAATAATGGTCACTTGCAGAGAATGTCCGGCGAAGATGATATTGGGGAAGAGGATGACGAGGCCGGGTGGTTGTTCAAGGAAGACCTGCCCACGTCTACGGTTCAGATCTCTAAAGCTACGCTGGCAGGATCTGTACATGACTCGGAGGCAGAGACAGGGACTGGCGGTGACGATACGAAGGAGGGAGAGCAGCTACAGCGCCCGCTTACGTCGCCGCAACCGCTCCCAGCGCTTCGGTTAGGCCGGGCATATGATGAAAAGCAGCCACCTGAGACAGCCGAGGCGGATTCGGATGACGATTCGAAAAGTGTGGATTCCTTGCTGGACTGTGCATTGATCGTCCCCAATGACTCGGATAAACCTGATAGTCAAGCCCTGCCGCTTGAAAATGAGGCTTTTCCCGCAAAAGCAAATACTACGGCTGATACGCCCATCCAATCCCCACAGACCCGTGGAGACAAAGCGAACGAGCCAGTGGAGTCTATCTGGCGCGTCCCTGAGATTAAAGGCGAGTTCTCGACGCCCATTTTCTACCGATCACGCCGCAAGCTTCCTTTGACTGCTGTCCGGTCTGCATCTCCTCCAAGAGCGGGGTCTCTGTGGGCACTTCCTGGACAATCGAGGCGCAACACAGACGGCAGAAAAGAAAAAAGCAGAAAAAAGAAACTTGGAGTCAGCCAACGAAAACACAAGCACCAATCAAGCCCCGTCTTGCACGACTGGTCCTTTGCAGAAACCCCTGACGGAAGCGAATCGGACGATCCCCTGCAGGAAGACTATCAACCATCGCCAACACCGAAGAACCCCATTCATATCAGGGGCAAAAATCATGTCGAAATCACCCCGAGTCGCACAAAGGATGAGCGCAGACCGCTTCTCCCTCAGCTGAATCCTGATTGCCAAACCACCATGAATGCTCTTCGTGGGGGAACAGAGCCCAAGATCGCCAGCAGCGCAGCTTCACAGTTACAGCCTGAGGCCGTTGAAAAACATGCAGATCAGTGCCTTTCCGTAGATACACCTGTTTCTGCAGCAGAGCAACACGCAGACCCGGTCATACCGCAGGCGTCCACTCCTACTAGAGCAAAAAGGACACTGATGACGCCAGACGAGGCAAAACTGATCGTCCGCATGAGGCAGATTGAAGGAAAGAAATGGAAGGAAGTCCAAGAGCATCTTCCGCAGCGAAAACTAATTTCACTCATCCAGTGGAACCAGACGCATTGGACTGAACGGCATGACAAACCGCCTCGAGTCTCCAAACCTTGGTCGAAGGAGGAGGCGGATAAATTGCAGACTTTCAAGGACCAACAAGGTTTAACTTGGCCCCATATTCGTGCCGCCCTTCCCGGCCGTTCACACGCGGAAATAGAGTTCGCACTGTTGAGACTCTGGGCTGAGCTGGATGACGGTTCAAAGTACGGATTTGCGAAGCTCGTGGGCGAAGCGAAGCCGACAGGCGGCGGAGCCCATATCCCGGAGCAGTTGACTCTCGATCGTGTCTCTCTGGCCAACCCCAGAGAGACGCGGGAACAGGACGATCGCGAGAAGGAGAAGGAGAGCGTGTGAGATGTACTCCCAGGAGTTCGATTGCGGTACGCTTTGACTGCAAAGCCCTGCACCTTTCTGAAACGCGAATCCAAGAATTGCCTACTTTGTACCGAACAGCTACTCGTCATCTTTGGCGTTCAGAACGTCCTCAAGCTTGGTATCCACCACACCTCCGACATCTCCAGCCTTGGCCCAGAATCGAGATAGGTGCCTTGAGCCAGAGTCAGACAGGACTGTGACGATCCTATGGCCAGGACCAAGCTTCATCGCTGTCTTGACTGCCGCAAAACCTGTATCATAGTGATTAGCAAGGTAGCAGACTAGGTACCAAGAATATACCCACAATTGACAGCACTGCTACTTCCAACGAAGATACCATCCTTTTCGACTAACCATCTAGCCATGGCCAACGCCTGCGCATCCGTCACTCGCACAGCATCGTCCACCAGCTCCTTTCCTGCTTCGAAGTTGGCAGTGACGCGGTTAATCCCAATGCCTTCGACAATCGTGTCAACCTGTCTTCGCCTCCTCGTGCCTTCTCTCTCCTTCAGATCAAACATGACGCCGAAGCGTACTCGATTGTAGAGTCCACTTCCCTGAGGATCGGCTAGCACTACACTCAAGTTTGGAATCCGGGGCTTCAAGAAGAGGGCGACGCCAGAAATTGTGCCCCCAGTACCGGCGCCAGCGACGAACGCGTCGAGTTTACCGTTGCACTGCGCATAAATCTCCGGCCCCGTACCGTTGTAATGAGCTCTCCAATTGGCTTCGTTTTCGAACTGGTCCGCGAAGAAGCCTGTTCCACCCGAGGGAGATAGTGTCTGAGCTTGAGCTAGGGCGCGCGCGCGATTGACAAAGTTGTCCTTTTCAACGATCGGTGCGGGAGGTACACGATCTACTATTGCGCCTAGTTTCAGGAGCAGGTTGGACTTTTCGATTGCTTGGTCAGAGGGCATGCAGCTATTGAGCGTCAGTTGTGGTTTGAACACTTCATGTAAGCGCGAGTCGATACTCACATGTGAGCGAGGTAGCCCTTTGCTCTGGCGAGAGTGGCCAGTGAAATGCCGGTCGAACCGGACGTGCCCTCGTAGATGGTATCCCCGGAGTGAGGTTTCAAGATACCCTTTTGCTCGGCCTTTTGCAGGTTAATAATCGACGTGAGAAGGGACCGAGGCACGTATCACATACAATTTCAATCATGCTTAAAGCTACTCGGTCCTTGGAGCTCTGACCCGCTCCGTTCAGAAACTACAACAGCATTAGAGCTGGAATCCTCTCAAATGTAGACGAATAGACAAAACAACCATACCTCTGCTTTCCCAAGAATCTCGCATCCGGTCGCATCTGACAAGGATTTGATACGTAACAGAGGAGTATTCCCAATGCAGCCTTCAATGCCGTCCACAATTGCAGGAGGCCCTGACCTGGCCGTCAAAGAGTCTGCGGAGCTATCCTGCAGGCCGTTTGTCGACTGGGAACGAGTTCCTCGGAGGCGATTCTTCAACTCCGGATACAGAAGCTCAGTAAACCCCACCGCCAGGAGGATTCCAGCCACAAAGGCGGTTCCTATGCAGACCCTAGAATGATCAGACATACTGAGAAATTATGCTCTGCGGTCGGTCAAAACATAAACGCACACCCAAAATCAAAAGAGCGACTATCTAGATCCCATTCGAGCGAGTGAGGTCAGCGTAGGAAGTCGGAGAAAAAGCTCGGGCCGCTTGAGGAACTCCTCCGCCGGTCTCCATCCATCATCCATCATTATCGTCATTCCTGTCAATTGTCTACTACGTTTGAATTATATCTCCTGGAATACCCGCTGCTCCATCGTCCCATGGACAGCCCGATCCTCAGTCAGCTGTTTCGACAGCTGTTCCGACATCCTGCTTGCCAATCATTTAGAACGTCGTCACCAATAACCCGCAGAGCAAGTTGCGTCCGGTTGCAAGCGCCAGTTCGTCAACAATGTCGTCCTTTTCTCACGCGACGGTCACCGACCAAGCGCAGGAGTACCGATGATGGGATGCATTGGCTCAAACGGGGGGATTATCCCAGGGATATTGAGGAGGAATTAAAGACATATCCGCTTGTCACGGCGAAAGATCTGCGGAACCGTCGCGAGCGCCCGCGGCAAGTGAAGATGTTGACTAGAGAATTCATTGACGGTGCGTGGAATTTTTGCTTGCTCTTACAGGCATGTCTGTCAATGGCGAATGTACTTGGAATGCTGACTAGATCTGCTGTTTATATAGATAGTTTGTATAATCCCCATTACGGCTATTTCTCGAAACACGCGACCATCTTCAGCCCCGGTGAGCCGTTTGATTTCAACAACATCGAAGACGGGCCGGCATTCCATCGCATGCTCGGAGAGCGGTATACAGAATTCGAAGATAAATTAGATGAAACACAGCCGGACGTGGCCCGTCAATTGTGGCATACTCCCACCGAACTGTTCCGCCCTTATTACGGGGAGACAGTCGCTCGATACTTGGTGTCAAACTATAAATTGACATTGTACCCCTATCATGACCTGATCATATACGAGATGGGAGCCGGCAACGGTACAATGATGATCAACATTTTGGATTTCATCCGAGATACAGATTACGAAGTATACCAGCGAACCAAGTTCAAGATCATTGAGATCTCGCCCGCGCTCGCGAGCCTGCAGATGAAGAATCTGACCGATTCGGTGAATGCAGCTGGACATATGGACCATGTTGAAATCATCAACCGATCCATCTTCGACTGGGATACCTATGTACATTCGCCTTGCTTCTTTCTCGCATTGGAGGTGTTCGATAATTTCTCTCACGACGCGATTCGATATGACCTCAAGACGGAACTTCCCCAACAAGGTGGCGTACTGATTGATGCGGACGGCGAATTTCACGAATATTATAATGCGCAACTCGACCCTGTGGCATCTCGGTTCTTGCGTGTCAGACAGGCTGCGGCGCGTCGGCCGTTCCCGACCCCTCTGGGCCCCAAAGCTATGCGCCAGTTGCGTGGTTCCTTGCCCTTTCAGAGCCCTTATACCCTTCCGGAGTACATTCCCACTCGGCTCATGCAGTTCTTTGACATCTTGGATAGCTACTTTCCTGCACATCGGCTGGTGGCGAGTGACTTTAGTAGTCTCCCGGATGCTGTTCCTGGTGTCAATGCGCCAGTGGTGCAGACACGTTACAAGAGACGAACAGTGCCAGTGTCTACCCCCTTTGTAAGTTACTTCCTTGTTTTTGATGGTACGGACGCATTCTAATCGTGTAATGACAGGTTCACCAAGGCTACTTCGATATATTCTTCCCCACCGACTTCAACGTCATCGAGGATCTCTACCGGGCCATTACCGGGAAATTGACACAGGTGATGAGTCACGAGGACTTTGTCCGCCGTTGGGCGTATATAGAAGACACCGAGACGAGGAGCGGCGAGAATCCGCTGCTGACCTGGTATAAAAATGCCAGCATGCTGATGACGGTTTAGACGAATGTATCAGTACTGTAAATGATAGTGAATCATAAGCATATCATGAAATCAATGCTCCTGTATCAGTCCTCTTGATTCAGAGATATAACGACGTCGATCTCGTATCCCCACAGTTCTTGTGACTTGATTAGATGAGCTTGTACAAACTTGGTCCAGGATAAGCATTCTCATCCGGCCTGCTCTGGGTATTCGGCAATTCAACCACCTGCCCCTCTTTGTCCCCCGCAAACCAACTCCCAGATATCACCTAGATCTGAGATACAGCTCACCGTCTGGATTGGACCGAATATCCTCGGTGCAGGAAACAAGGTTACACTCCTCGTATATCTTTCATCGATTAGGCCAATCATCATGCAGCTACCCCATTATCAGCAATCAAGGACATCTATATACAGCATTCCTGTCAACTTCCCATATCTGCAACACCTTGATCCATGACCTCTGACCACACAAACTGATAAACACCATGACGGTCCCATCAACTCCACATTGGAAATCAGCGGTGCAGCAAAAACGCACCGCCCAACTCAACGCCATCCCTCCCTCCTGGCGTCTCCCTTCCACAATCCTCACGCCTCCCCTCCCCAACACCCTCGAGACCATCCGAACATGCGGCCTCCTTTCTGCGGAGGAACTTGAATGGACCGAGACTAACGATGTGTCGAATCTCCTTTCCCTCCTAGCTTCGAGAGAGGTGAGTTCCGTGCAGTTGACCACGGCGTTCTGCAAGCGGGCGGCAATCGCGCAGCAGATGACCAAGTGTCTGACGGAGATCTTTTTCGACCGGGCGTTGGCGCGAGCGAAGGAGCTGGATGGTCAGTATGAGAAGACCGGTATCCTGACAGGGCCTCTGCATGGACTGCCGGTCTCCATCAAGGATCGGTTTGATGTGGAGGGGATGGATACTACGGTTGGTATGTTGCTGCAACTTGTGTGAGACTTGGTTCTTAAAATTGACTGGAGTGAACAGGATGGGTTGGCTTGATTGGCAAGCCAGCACAGAGGTCCAGTTCCATCGCCAGATTGCTAGAGTCCATGGGCGCAGTGCTCTACGTCAAGACCAATATACCACAGTCTCTGATGGTATGCGTGCTGTCTCAAGTCTGCCTACTTCTGCTGACAAGACTCAGATGTCTGACTCATACAATCACATCTTCGGCCAATCCCTCAACGCGTTCAACCACGAGCTCATCTCCGGCGGCAGCTCTGGAGGCGAAGGTGCTCTGATTGGTGTGCGAGGGAGTATTCTAGGTATCGGGACGGATATCGGGGGCTCGATCCGCATCCCGGCTGCCTTGCAGGGTCTCTACTCTATCTGTCCGACAACGGGCCGTGTCCCGTGGGACTGTTCTTTGTGAGATTTATCAAAGCCATGCGTCCTGGAAGAACGGCTGACTGACGCGCCTTACAGTATGCATCAGCACTACCTCGTTCCCCCAGTCGCAGGGCCCATGGCTCGAAGCATCGCGACAATCGAGTACTTTATGCAGTCACTTCTCGATTCGAACCCCTGGGACGTCGACCCAGGTTGCATACCTATTCCATGGAGGAAGGAGTTAGCGGCCTTGCCTGACCGCAAGCTCAAGTTGGGAGTCGTCTTCGACGACGGGGTGGTCAAGCCACAGCCGCCTATAACTCGTGCTCTACGCGAAGTCGTAACGAAGCTTGCAGCAGCTGGCCATGAAGGTATTTTCTCTGTTAGTGTCAAAGGAAGTCTCAGGCTAAATTCTCGTAACAGTCATCGAATGGAACACTTCCCTCCACATCACAGGCACAAATCTTTGGAAGAAAGCTATCCTAGCAGACGGGGGCTCTCACTGCAAACAGCTCTGTGACATTGTCGATGAGCCGCTGATCGAAGGGATGCTAGTCGGGACTCCAGCCGATGCACTTTCCCTTCTGGAACGGGAAAAGGTAGCTCATAGGCCACTAGATCAGGACCCCTCACAAGTCCACCAGCTGACGCTTTACAGCTCGAGGAAGAAAAGTGGCTCTTCCAAGAACGTTATCTAAAGCAGTGGAAAGACAGCGGCATCGATGCGCTCCTCATGCCCGTAACGCCCTGGGTGGGCTACCGGCCAAAAAGATGGGTGACGAGCTATCAATGGCTGGGTTATACGGCCCTCTTAAATCTCCTAAACTATGCAGCAGTAACGGTGCCCGTGACGAGCGCAGATCCCGCTTTAGATCAGCCTGATCAAGAGTGGTTGGCTCATACCCCTCGGAATCAGTCTGATGAGTTTAATCATGGCCAGTGTAAGTGATTCCGCTGCTACACCGAGACTCGCTATCCTAATAGTCGTGATAGATGATATCGACTTGGTCAAGAATATGCCAATCTGCATACAGATTGTAGGAGGGCGATTCGGGGAGGAAAAGGCTGTTGCTGTCGCGAAAGTGGTTGATGAGCTTGTACATTCGTGACGGCAGTTTCAGAGGGCTACCATTTTGATTTGCCAACTACATTACTGTTGCAGACTATGAATATTACAATAACAGTATCGAATCGAGACAGTGTCATCACAATTTCGCCTGCCCCTCATGGGCATTCCCCTGCCAGGCAAACCCTATCTTCTTCCCAATGCCCGGTTCCACAATGACATTGACGACGGTGACCGTATCACTCAAGAACCCCTCCCGCGTAGCAGTCTCCAGCTCCTCTTCCGAGCGGACAAAGTATCCCTTCCCACCGCACATGGGACCGAATTGCTCGTAGCGGGTCTCGTAAAGGAGACTAGTCGACCGCAGGCCCTTCTTGCCGTCATCCTGGTCGTCAGATTTAGTGTCATTGGCCGCTGTCTGAGCCTGTCGCTCTTTCCACGAGCTCTCAGAAGCACTGTCGCCGTGGTATATGCCCGAGTTGTTCACCACGAAAATAAGAGCGGGGATCTTGTAGCGAGCCATGGTCTCGATTTCCATCGCGCTGAAGCCAAACGCACTGTCGCCTTCAAGAGCTACAATCTTCTTCGGTTTGCCCGTGGATGCTGGAAAGGCGTTGTACGCCTCGTGAGCGGCGATGATATACCCCATTCCCACGCCCATCGTAGCATATGTGCCAGCGTCCAGACGCTGACGGGGATGATTCAGCGGGAAGACCGAACGGGAGATGTCCATAGTGTTCGCGCCTTCGGACACATACACGACGTCCCCGTCTTCAAACGGCGCCAGCGAATTCAGCGTCGTCTTGATGATCTGAAAAGCCCGCTGGTACGTCAAGGGTGAGTTCTTCGGCGTAGGCGTAAATGCAGCCTTTTGCGCCTTGGCCTCATTCTTCTTCGCCGACTCCGCCAACAACGACAGGAACCGGCTCGGAGCAGCCGACGAGGCATATCGCCAGTTCGAAAGAGAAACCAGCAGCTGCTCAACCACCAGATCGATATCGCCGACGATCCCCAGCTCCGCAGCGCCCGCATTGCGACCGATCTCCTCGGCGCAGATATCAACCTGTATGATCTTCGCGCGAGGAGACCACTTGGGCGGCTCGCCAAAATGCAGGATCCAGTTCAGGCGCGCCCCAAGCACCAGCACCACGTCCGCGTGCTTCAGCGCCGCGCTCCGCGCGCTCGACACATTAAGAGGATGCGAGTCCGGCACTACACCCTTCCCCATCGGGGTCGGGAGGAACGGAATCTGCGTCTGCTCGACTAACTTGCGGATCCCGCCCTCGGCCCTTGCATACGCCGCCCCCTTGCCGATAATCAGTAACGGCGCACGAGCCGCCTTGAGCAACTGCGCCGCCTTAAGGATCATTGCGGGGTCCCCGCTTGCCTTGGGAGGCGGCGGGACGAGGATTTCCTCTGGCTCTGGCAAGCGGAACCCAGGCGCGGATTTGCCCTGGATCAGGTCGGCAGGCAGGTCGACAAACGTCGGCCCGGGACGCCCGTACCAGCATGTCCGGTACGCGTTTTTGACAGCGCCCGCGACGAAAGCGAGAGACGGCGGCCGCACCGCGAACTTGGTGTGCGGCGTGAGGAACGAGATGGCGTCCATCTCCTGGAAGGCGCCCTTGGTGACGCCTGAGGTCTCCGCTGATCCGGCGAGCACCAGCAGCGGGAAGTTATTCGCGGAAGCATTGCCAATCTGTGCGTTGCAGGACAAAATCGTCAGCTATGGCTGGATGGGTTTGGACTGGCCGCCGCTCACTTACCCCAGCCAAGGTATGGAGGACTCCTGGTCCTCCAACGACAAGACAAACACCAGGTTGTCCTGTCAGATACCCGTACACGCTCGCTGCATAGCTGCATGCCTGCTCGTTGCGGAACGCAATGAAGCGAATACCCAAGTCGATGGCACTCTCAGCAACTTCTACTACTGGAATACCCACTATTCCGAAGATCACAGTGACGCCTAGGTCGCGCAGCGTCCGGGCAATCAGCTGAGCACCACTAACGACAGCCATCCTGGTGCTAGGTATAGTAAATCAATCCAATACCAAGCAGATCAGCTAACCCTAGCAAGGTATATATGTATAGATATATATATGTATGTATGTATTAGGTATTAGATGAGTGATGGAAAGCCATCTTTGGGACATTGAAGCTTCGGAGGATGGTGATGGATGAGGAGATGCTATGGGGCACTTCCGAGGTTACAAATGACGCAAGCCCGGAATGATTCCCGAAATGTAAAGTGGTTCGTTATGAACAGCGACATCTAAAATTCAGTGTCTTCTCTGTCTTTAAACATGGAAAGTTAATACTAGACGGCTTACCAACGATGATCTTCTAGTCCATCGACCGTCGGTAGACCGCGCAGTGAGATATATAAGACTGCCGGAAAAGTGACAAGAGAGTATACAGTACTAAGAATCTATTTTGCCGATACCAATTTCTCAAGGTATGAATCAAATTCGCTACATGTTGACCTCGAGGTACGAAGAAAAGTCATATGGTATCCAACACATCAACTGTCCACGCAATAAATATGCCCGGTCATGCCAAATCCTTGCCCGTCCGTTCTATAGACAGAAAGCGCAGGAGGTATCATCCCTAGAAATCGAATTCTTTCCTGAACACATTCACATCCATCCCTGCCACTACCATATCAGCCAGATCCCGACGGCCCATCTGGCTGAATACACGCCGCAGCGTATCGTACAGGTTGGTGCTCTGGTTCTGGCTGATATGGAGCATCCGCTCAAGTTGCTCGTCATCAATACCGCCCTCGCCACCGCCAACGATCTCACGGGCTCGCTCGCGGCCCTCCTGTTCGACGACACGGTGCATAGACAAAGCGCCTAGGAGGTGCTGTGCGGCCTCAGGATAGCAACCAATGTTGATGCAGGATACGCCAAGGTTGTACCGGGCACGGACAAAGTTGGGGTTGATTGTAAGAGCTTGCTCGTATGCCTGAATAGCCTCCTCTGAGCGACCGGAGTTGGCAAGTGTAGCTCCGAGACGGTTCCAGAGAAGGTGAAGCTGCTCCTTCTGATTCACTGTGCCCGACTCGGTAGATGCCAATGCGGCGGAGAAGCAGTCGACAGCCTTGTCGTATTCCTCTGCACAGTAGAAGAGAACACCCAATCCGACTTGAACATCTGGGTCCATCTGCTCTCCGGAAGGTGACAGCTGGGCCGCCTTGATGAACAGATCGGTGACCCGTTCATGTAGAATCTGGCGATCTGTGAAGCCCAAGTCTGCGTCGGATGACAGATCCTTAGGATCGATGATCTGAGGATACTTGACAGAAAGCCAACGCTCGAGGGTACGGTAAGCCGTCGAGTCATAACCTTCGTTTGTATACGAAACAGCCAAACCCATGAGTGCGTCCAGATTGTTGGGATCGATCTTCAACGCCTGTTCCAGGGCACGAATAGCAGGAAGCTCCTTCTCATTTTGCGCCTGTGCCGATCCCAGCATTGTCCAGGCTTGAACGTGCTGAGGGTCCTTCTGAACAGCCGCCTCGAACGCCAACGCGGCCAAGGAAAGATTGCCGCCTTCGCGCATGATCTTGACGCCTTCTTCAAAGGGATTGGCCACATTCCGGAACACGTTTTCCTCTTCGAACATGTAATCGCCCAGCTGAGGATCTCGGAAACGCGTGTGGAGATTGTCAAAGCCGTCCCACTCGCCGAGGTCTCCCATGTGCAGGTTGTCGTTGATATCGAAAGCCGCATCTTCCTCCGCCAGTTTCCTATTTGTCGCCGTTTCAGCTTGGACTCTTTGCCATATGCTCTCAAAAGCACCGTAATCTTGAGCATTACCGGTGTCAGTAGTGGGGACTGACCTATCGAGATCATTCAGCTCCGCCTCCATAGCCGCGTTGGCCTCATCGTCCAGGCTCTGGTTGCCCGCCGTCTCCATCTCAGCAAACTGTGCCTCCCAGTTCTCATCATCGAGCTCGACCATGCGGCCCTTGCCTTTGTCCTGAGTGGCGGCCTCCGCTGGCTGTTGTTGCATGCCCATAGGTGTATAGGATGGACGCATCATGCCCATTCCTCCCATACCCATGTACCCCATGCCCATAGGACGCTGATAACCCGCCATCATCGGCGACGCGGACGTGGCTGGACTTGACGTTTGTGGCAGGCCCACCCGACTCTGTTGTTGGAAGCGAGCAAACTCTGCAGGCGTAAATGCGGACCCATTGTTCATTAGAGGTCCTGTAGGGCCGGCAAACGCAGCCTCCATCCGGGCATGCTCGCCAGTATCGAACTCAGCGGCCCACCCCGGAGACCCCGTCCTCGGCGGAGTGGTCTGGAAGTGATCTAGCTCGCGCCTTAATTGTTCCATCGCAAATGGTTGCGGTGCTGCCCCGGGAATCTGTCCTGGTTGTTGTGCGGCAAACTCGTCCATCATCTACTTAGATTACCAATCCATTGTTAGCTACAGTAACTAGCAGCGGCTTCAAAGAGAGTGAGATTTCGTACCTGATCTTGACCACCCATCATACTCCTCGACCGCATGCTCTCTTGCATGCCCCGGGACCCCTGCCAACGAGGCGGTCCCGTTGGAGTGACTTGTCGTCCTGCACATGCTTGGTGAACTGTGTGAGCGGGTTTCCCGCGGTAGAGCACTCGGCGCCACCAAGGAACGACATGTTGACAAATTCACCAGAAACCCGTCTGAAAAAATAACATCAATAGTTAAGAAGGGATCTGAGCGGCCAACGATCAGCTTCAATAGAGTCTAGGATAAAAGGAGGAGGAGGATGCAAAGGTAGATGACAACGGTATCTCCGCCAAAACGTGGGGTTTGAAACCGATCGGAGACCTGCTGATGCCGAGGTCCGCCATAGGTCACGTGCCTGGATATCAGGAGATTCCTGCCCATTTTTTCCTCTCTAGTATTATGCTCCAAGTCGTCTCATTAGGTGTTGGCGATTACTCAGATGTATCTTAGATTGAGAGATACCAAAGCTCTATGTTGTATAGAATACACTTGTGAATGCCTGCTATAGTATACATGTTATGCAAAATGGTACATCGTTCGTCAAATTTTTGCAACATAACCAAGCGCATAAAGGCAGAGCCTAATTGAATGGATAACGCGACGATTACTCCTCCTTCGGAACCTCCTCGATACGACTACCCCTCCTGTTGGTATTACTGTAGTCCACGCGAATCCGTCGACCGAAGGGTGCCTTCCCGCTGAGAATCTCGAAAGCCTTCTGAGCGCTCTCGACATCGAGGAATTCTGCATGAGCGAAGCCGCGAGGTTGCCCTGTCCGTCGATCAACCGATACGCGAACATCAATAACATTGTTGATATCTCTGAAGAGCTCGTTCAGATCCCGATCGGTCATCTCAAACGACAGGTTGCCGAGGTACAGCGTCCTCGAAACGGGCTGCAAGGGCCTGGATCCGCCGCCGCTGCTCGCATATTGCGCGGTTATACGGCGGCCCTCATAGACTTGCAAATGCATAGCCTCGACGCAGCTTTTGGCGGCATCAATAGAGTCAAAGTGCACGTATGCAAACCTATTCGACAAAACACAGACAGATTGTTAGATTTCTCTTTTTCCCGCAGAGAACAGTAGGAACTAGGCTCACCCTCTGCTCATTCCTCGGTTATCAGTAATGAGATCGACTCTCTCCACAACGCCAAACTGCTGCATGTGGTTCTTCAAATCTTCCGCCGTCACATCGTAGAACAGATTACCAACGTAGACCGTCTCTTTAGGCTTGGGATCCCCTTCCAGGATCCGGAGCCGCTTCTTGGGTTTCTGAGGCCGCGCATCGCGAGGATCGTGCTCCGCCAAAATGATCTCGGAAATGCCATGATTCTCGTGCTCTGGTGAGCTCGTCGGCTCCTGGCTGACGGAGTTGTCGCTGAACCATCTCGTATGTAATGCTAATTGAGATTGCAAAGGGGATAATACGGGTAGAGGGACGCGAGGTGCAAGGGCCCTGGCTGACCATGCCGGCGAGGTGACCGGCAAAGACAGGAGTCGAGTGGCTGCTCGCCGAAAGCAATACCTGTAAAGAGATGCAATCAGTCACGGTGTCCTTGGTGGTAGAGGAAAATCTATCACAGCATCCATATAGAACAAATAGATTATTTCCTTACATTTTCTGTGTCCTCGTGAATTGAGTCGGTGATATATGACCAAGGGCAAAGGCAGAAATACGGGATGCGTTCAGCAAAAAAAGTTCGCCTTATCGGATACGATAAATGTCACGTGACTGCATCAGGCCATGCACCCCCTTTGAAACTGATGGATTTTACGAAGGAGGGAATGAAAGCTTGAGCTTTTCACCAGCTTTTGTCTCGCGCAAATGAAGTAGAATGAAACCAACCTAGCGCCAATTACTGAGGCAATAATTCACAGTAAATGTGGGAATCGAGTGGAGAAACAGGGTATATACAGTCTTCCGGATTTGTACATTTCCCAGACATCCCAACAAGAGGGTGATTTGAGTCCTTGAGGAAACTCCACACCTCCAAACCATACACCGCTGCGGGAAAAGATAATATTGCTGAAAAGAAGTGAACCACTGGACAACTGAAGCTTCAAGAAATGTGCAAATGTGCTTTTGCGATCGACATGAGTACTTATAAGATGCCCTCGCCTGAAGCATTGTTGCTTTTTTGAGGAGAGTTGTTGTCGTAAGGCACGTTAATGCCCGGACTCTCATACTTCACCGGGTCTGGCGAGAAGACATTGGAAAAGCGAGGCAAAGACCGCATATTATCTGCAGTGTTGCCTTGCTGCATGGAAGGTAATTGTGTGGATGACAAGGACCCCTGAGCTTGTAAAGATGGGTGAAGCGGCGGTTGTGGTGATGGTTGCTGCTGCTGTCCTTCGAACGTTGGCCACCATTGGTTCGGTATGTCGAGATTCGAACTCTGAATATAAGTGTCCCAAGAATCCTGTTCGCGGGTGTTAGTCCAGTGGTGTCAAGGCATGAAAAAGGGGCAAGCGTACCCAATCCAAGTTCAGCTGCATATCAGGCATTTGTCCAAACATTGTGCTGAACGGGGACAGAGCTCCGGGCACCTCTGCCGTGGACCCAAATGCCCCCGGGGCAGAAGGCGTTTCTGACACTTTGTAACCAGTTTCATTGAATGCTGGGGATACTGAGTTTGCGGTGTTCATTCCACTGCTCAATAATCCCAAGGTCATTGCGGCGCTTTGCTTCTCGTCCTGAGGTTCGAAGGCCGGCGCCGTGGCATTACTGTCTGGAAACCCTAAATTCAGTTTGGCAAGCATCACGCCGAGAATGCCAACGGCTTTCCAAGCTTCAAGCGACTCCTCACGAAGTTCCTCCCAAATCTCTCGAGAACGCTGCAATGCCACGATCATCTCCTGTCGTCGCTCCCTGCCCCACGCAAAGGTGTCGCCGGCATCTCTTCCGCCGGCTTGAAATTTGAGTCCATGATACAGGTCGAAGCAGACAATAGTGGCAGCCAGCAAGTAATCATTGGAGCTGAGGGAATTTATGCGATTCTGCTTTGTGCGCAGACGTCCCGTTGGCCTTGTTTCTGCGTGTAGCATTGACTGAAACCGCAGCAGCTCCATGGCTGAATCGATGCAAGTCTTGCGTGAGTAGGTGAATCGCGGATTTCCACGTGCTTGAACGATATAAGGCCGGTGGAGAACACACTGTGCTTTATGGTAGACGCTCATTATCTGCCAACGGTCAGTACTACAACTCGCGATATAACTGGCAAGTGATTGACGTACACCGAAGCGCGACATAATCAGATTGGACGGGTCCAACTGACACTCCTCGAAAGGGCGAATGACAAGATGCTCCGGAATCAGGTCCCGAGCTCGGCGAAGCTCAGCATCCAACTCCATCACCTTGTCATAAGATTCACTTTGCACACTCGAGGTGAGCTCGGTAACGCGGCCAAATGCGTACGCCAGACGGGCTTTGGCAATGAGGTACGAGATTGGTGTCGGTTCATTCGCCGGTCGTGAGGGAGGAAGTTCCTTGCAATTTTCGTCGAAATCATCATCATATAGGTTCCGCGGAAGCTCCGTATCACTATCCACAGTGCGAATCATGCTGGGCAGCCCAACCTGAAACGAAAAGAGCAAGTCGGATTGCCGCACGAAAGTCCATACGCGCCGGCGCATCTCACCTTGAAAGGGGGTAATGTTGGGGAAAACTTTTGAGTCCCGGTGGTATCCCATTCTCATCGCTAGCCTTGCGACAACACCGACAAGCACCCAGACAGAAATATCTGCTTCCTTCGTTTGACGAAAGTCACCATGGAGATGGAAGATGAATGTCTCGATCAGGTAGGGATAAGGTTTGGTATAGTCGGCCAGAGTCAGACATTGAGCCACTAGATTTCGGAAAGTCCCAGCCATGTCCAAAGATTTCCCTCGAAACTCGGGTGGCTCGTCCCCTTCTTGGTTATATGACAGCATAGCGAGTCGCATCATGGCGAACAGCATGCCCACCCAGACAATACAGGTTTGAGAAGGATCTTCCCAATGTTTGTTATACTTGGGGAGGAAGTCAGAAGGAATACGGTCTGCAGGAGAACAATTATGCTTACCTGAGCTTGAAACGTCGGACCGTGAAGAATATCTGTTCATGGTTAGTCATGGATGTATTTACATGCAAGGTCTCACATTTCTGTCGGTACTCACGGGTCGCTGGATCATAGCTATTGAAATAGCGAGCAATAAGCATATCTGTTGTATATCTCGAGGGAAAGGAAGACATAATCTCTGCGCGGCTGGCAGGCTTCATGGCCCCAAGAAGCAGCGTGGAGCCTGGGACATCGCTCGGCAGCTTGGTTGTCTTGAGCTTCTCGGCTTGCTCCTCGTACTGCTTCTTGTACGTGTGGAAGTAATTACGAACTTCGGCGATCTGTGGATTCGTGTAAATGAAGAGAACTCATGAGCGCATGGTCAAGTGCTGACTCACATCGTTGAGGAGGGAAGCCCAGTGCGCATCGCTGATATAGTATGATTTATTGTTGTCGACTTTCATGATACCAAATGACTTGGTAACTTGCTCCGTATCGCTCTCCTCCGGAGCATTTGATGTCTCCTCGTCCAGATCGATGTCGTTACTCTGGTTGAGGGAGCCCCCACTACTGCTGGTCCCGGAAATTGCTGCCATTGCCGCTGCCGGGCCTGCAGACTGTGATCCGTTGGTCATCAGGGACAGTACCAAGCTCTCGAGTCGGTCTATTCTGTTCTGCATATCGTCCGGGGAACTTGAGGCCGAGTTCTGTGTTGCGTTCTTCCTTCGCGCACTTACTTGAGCATAGGTACAGGAAGAAGCATCGCCTCGCTTTACGCAGTTCTCGCATGGGTGGGCGCGGTTGCATTTCAGTCTTTGATGATACGGTGTTAAAGTATGCTCTTCTTTAGATAGAGGAAAAATGCGAATACTCACTTTCTGTGCCGGCAGGGGCCGCAAGAAAGTGGCACCCTGTTTCGTTTTCGGATAACCCTAAACTGGCCATCCGGCGATACGGCGCCAATGCTTGAGGAGGTGGATGGTGGAGTAGGCGACATTTCGGAGATGAGACCTTGGTGAACGGTTGTGCTAGACTTGTTGATATGTATTTCACACGTAGGCCGACTAGCTTCACTTCGAGCGGAAATCCAAATGAGCACGGCGCAACAGTGAGTCCTGAGCGAAACCTGGCACCAAGTGCTTATCTGAGACCGGTGTATCTCAATCCAGCTGTGAAATGTCCGTCGGGTGCGTGGCGCGCTCGATTCGAGAGGTACCTGGCCAGAGGTGTGCGCAACGCGGTTTCTTGGACTTGGGCAGATTAAATTCTCAAGGTACCGAGAAGAGGGCGCGGGTTCAGATACGGCTGAGTTTCTGGCAGCGTTTCGGTGGACGATTCAGCAGCAAACAATGAACCTGAATTGCTAAGCTTTAGTGGGGTTGATAAGTTGCGGCGGCGTCTCAAGTCGATCTCGTTGGTGATTTATGCGACGCTGCTTTTCTGTTGTTGACAGCATGCGCAAACGTCACAGATATGAAGTGCTTAAGCTAGTGTGCGTTAATAATAAGAATCGTAGAAGGCGACCGAAGGCAGGGAAACGATAGTGTGGATGGATGGACGGACGGGCGCAAGCGGTCGAGGGCTATCGAGTGATGTCGTCGAAACAGGGGGGCGACGGACCAATCCTTCATTCTTCTGCGATATGGCGACCCGCGGAAGAGATGGACATTCGTTCAATAAGATGCGCCAGTTCTAGAGAACGAGAATTAAGGATATGGGCGAGAAAGGAATAATGAAAGGACGGTCAACTGTGGTAGAGTGCCAATGATGAGGATCAAGATTACCTACGCATTATCTCCGTTATCACCACGTTTTGCTTGCCTGAGGCCTAGACGCGGTTCTCACTATGGGAGGCTCCTACGCGTGCTTCATACCTGATAATAATAAATGATCTTTATTATCGCCTAACTTTACGAGGAAGAAGGCATACATACTGTCAGAAATGGTACTGTGTCCAGTGAGCTTAACCGAATATTGATAATGGTCCTTTACATATGCAATACGAGCAGATCAGGCATGAAGCAGACCAGATACAGGGCCCCAGGCAGCTACTTAGTTACGCAGACCAAGACAATGACTTCGCAGCAAAGTGATACATGGAGAGTATGGCAGAGACCATCCAGGATCTAGACTAAACAAAGTAGGCCATTGCATCCTTTTCCGCCAGTTTCTTTGTTCTGAAAAGGAGAAGGAAGGAATTTGATTTGTTGAGCGGCCAACGCTAGGTAGATATGTCCCAAGGTACCTCTCTAGCTTCATATGGAAATTGAGTCATCGAAAAGCCACCAACTAACCGACCGATAACATAGCACAGCCGCAACGCCTGTATTCTGCCGTTTCCACTTGCTAGTGATCCAGTCAGCATCAAGCTACCAATTAACCATTGAAGTAGGGAGTGTCTGTCCAAGAAAGGCTTGTTAGGTTGTTGGTCGTCTCAGTGGCTGCTGTGGTCGACGCTCGACAGCAGGAAAGATCCTCTGCAGTCTTGCAACACCTAGTTATGGAGCAGATAGTGGTGCTTTTGAGAACTTTACCATGAGGACCAAGGGATCTATATCTTTTTCAATCAAGAAATGTCTACCGGGTTACTGCATATCTACTTTTCTTGCCAAGACACAGATGTATCAAAGAGCGACATCACACCTTAATGCTAGGTTCAGTGGTGTCCGGAACAGCTGGGAAACAGACGTCATTCTCTGCATTCTTTCCCCTGCTCAGCAGATGGATTCTATCTTATTACGCGAACACTGGAGTAATCTTCAGACATTGTACCTATTTGCAGCAAGACAATCGCACAGTCTCTTTTGTGTACTGTCGATCATCTCTTAAGCTACAAGGGAAGATAATGGTCCAGCCAACAAAGACCTGTCTGTCATTAGCCACCTTCTTACATTTGTGATGCAAGCTCCGGGTTTCGATTGGTCTGAATTGCCATAGGAGATGTGCGATCCCTTTGCCAACTCAGTCTCTTTCTCGCTGGCTGCATATTGCTGTAATAACCGCCTGACGTGCAATATATAAAGCATGGTCAAGTGGGGAAGCTGGAGATAGCTCTGATGTCCCCAGCGCTTAACCCAATCTTCATTAGACCATTCTTTCTCATCAATCTTATTTTCTTACATACAACTGGTGAAGATCATCACTAGTTCCACTTCAGGTTCGATTCTATATGTCCTCAAGAGGTGCTGGGGATTCCCACCCTGGACGGGGTAGAGGAGGCGACCGCGGACGGGGACGCGGTGGAGACCGCGGCGCCGGTGGACGTGGAGGCGGCCGAGGAGGAACTTTGGAGCTTCCATTCCGTCCGAGCGAGTCAAGAGGTGGTTCTTATCGAGGAGATTCAAGAGGTCGTGGAGATGCATCTAGAGGTCGCGGAAGAGGCGAATTCAGAGGCAGCGCCAGAGGGGACTCTGGAGGTAGAGGGGGTAGGGGCGGGGCTTCAGAGGTGGTCGCGGCGACCAGGGGCCCAGGATATTCTCGTATGTGGTTATCAATACTTTCTTTTTATCTCCAACAGTGCATTTGTTGATTCTTTTCCCTTGTTTTAGTCAGAGTGGCCGGGTTGTTGCTCCTAGCCCAAAAGTTCAGCAGACTGAGGCCGCCATAGCCAAGGCTCTGGTAGCAAAGCGACAGAAAACTGTCGGCCAGGCTCGTTACCCAGAGCGTCCAGGTTATGGAACTCAGGGCTCTCCAGTGACGCTCTACGCCAATTACTTCGAGTTGAAGTCTGTTGGGAAGGAATTGTTCCGTTACAATGTCGATATCGTCGCCGATTCAGCTAGAACTAAGCCTACTGGAAAGAAAGCCCGTCAAATCATCCGACTCTTACTGGATGAGCATTTCTTGCAATACCAGAACAGTATTGCCACGGATTACAAGTCCACCCTTGTCTCTAGGGTTGAGCTTCCCAGTCAAGGGCAGTACGACGTCCGTTACCGTGACGAGCATGAAGATGACTACCACGAGCGGCCTAGGGTTTACCGTGTCAACTGCCAGTTCACCGGTAGACTGAACCCCGGCGATCTCCTTGACTATTTGACCTCGGCGAATGCCTCCGCCATGTTCGAGTCCAAGGCGGAGGTCCTTCAGGCGATGAACATCGTCATGGGCCATCACCCGAAGACGGACAGGGCCGTTGCATCCGTTGGTGCAAATAAACATTTTGCAATCCATCCAGATGCAGCAGAGAGATACGACCTCGGCGCAGGCCTTGAAGTTTTGCGAGGCTTTTTCGTGAGCGTTCGGGCTGCAACTGCTCGTATCTTGATCAATGTCCAGGTCAAATACGCCGCCTGTTACCAGGAAGGGCCGTTGGCAAATGTGATCAACGAGTACCAACGTGGTAACAGTCGAAATATTTACAAACTGGAGGCTTTCCTGAAGAAGCTGCGCATTCAAGCAACCCATATCGTCAGGAAGAATAAAAAGGGAAAAGTGGTACCAAGGATCAAGACCGTTGCCGGACTCGCAACTCGGGCTGATGGCGCGTCGCTCCCTCATCCCCCCAAGGTCGCAAGACATGGGGCTGGCCCAAAAGACGTTCAGTTCTTTCTCGATGCGCCTGGACAGAAGAGCGAGGCTGGAGACTCCAAGGGCAAGAAAGGCAAGAAACTTGCGAAAGCTGGCCCAGCGCCAGCCGGCCGGTACATCACCGTCTCGGATTTCTTTTTGCAAGGTAAGTACGCCTAGACAGAAGAACAAACAATGAAGTAGAAAAGCACTGATCAGACTGGCAGAGTACAACAAGACTCTGAATCCCAACATGCCGGTGGTCAATGTTGGCACCAGGGACAACCCGTCCTACCTACCTGTTGAAGTCTGTCTGGTAGAACCTGGACAGCCCGCAAAATCCAAACTTACTCCAATGCAAACGCGCAATATGCTGAGCTTCGCCGTTCGGGGTCCTGCTCCAAACGCAACTTCGATTGTCTCCAATGGCACTGCCGTCCTCGGCCTCAAAGATCCTCTTAACCCCACCCTTGTAAGTTTTCTCTAACCAGTGTAACGGTAGGTCATGTTGACTAATTGATCATAACAGGCGAATTTTGGCATGCAACCAGATCTCCAGCTCATCACTGTGGCTGGCCGCATTCTCTCTGCGCCGCGGATATACTACAAAGACGCTAAGTCGAACCAGAGACACATCGAACCCATGGGTGGCAGCTGGAACATGAAGGCAATCAAGTTCTCCACACCTACAAAGCTGCCTACTTGGACTTGGCTCTATATTGACAGCGAAATGGGCAGACCTCACTTTGAGAACCCGGGTCAACTGAACACTTCTCTTCAGGCCTTCACGGCCAAGCTGAACGAGATTGGTGTCACTGCCGCCGCTCCCAAGCCCGGAATGATGATCAGGTTGACTGGAAAGGACCACGAGGGAGAGATTGACAGAGCAGTGGGCGAGCTAATGGGCCGCCACAATCCCACTCTCATCCTCACCATTCTCTACAGCAGTGACGCAGAGGCGTACAACTGCATCAAGCAGATCTGTGACGTTCGCCGCGGCGTGCGCAACATCAACGTCCTCGCCGAGAAGCTGAGAGGCGCCAACGACCAGTACTACGCCAACGTCGGCCTCAAGTTCAACCTGAAGCTCGGCGGAGCCAATCAGACCCTCAGAGCGAGCGAACTGGGCATCGTCGCCGAGGGCAAAACAATGCTCGTCGGCATCGACGTCACCCACCCGTCCCCTGGCTCCTCCGCCGAAGCCCCCAGCGTCGCCGGCATGGTCGCCTCCGTCGACGCATCCCTGAGCCAATGGCCCGCCGACATCCGCATCCAAACCTCCCGCCAGGAAATGGTCTCCGCCCTCGACGAGATGCTCAAGGCCCGACTGCAGCGCTGGGCGCGTGCCAACAAGAACGCCCTCCCCCAGAACATCATCGTCTACCGCGACGGCGTCTCCGAAGGCCAATACGACGTCGTCATCGAGCAGGAACTGCCTTTGCTCAAGAAGGCCTGCGCAGAAACCTACCCCGCCGCAGACACCAAGAAGAACCTCCCGCGCATCTCCATCGTCATCGTCGGCAAACGCCACCACACACGCTTCTACCCCACCCGCGACGAGGACGCCGACCGCTCCGCCAACCCGAAGAACGGCACCGTTGTCGACCGCGGCGTCACAGAGGCCCGCAACTGGGACTTCTACCTCCAGGCTCACACCGCCATCAAGGGCACCGCCCGCCCCGCCCACTACTTCACCGTCTGGGACGAGATCTTCGCCCACCAGAAACCTGTCGCCCCCTTCCAGAACGCAGCGGATATCCTCGAGGATCTCACCCACAGACTGTGCTACCTGTTCGGCCGTGCCACCAAGGCTGTGAGTATCTGTCCGCCTGCGTACTACGCCGACCTGGTCTGCACTCGAGCCCGCTGCTACCTGAGCCGTGTCTTTGATCCGACGCCGGCGGCTACCCCGTCTGCGAGTGAGATTGGGGGGAGCGGACGTGGTGGGCTTCCGAATGGTAGTGATGTTCACATCCATGAGAATGTGCGTGATACCATGTTCTACATCTGATGCATTGAAGTGGTTATCTGTTGCCTGCTCCGTTGTCAGGTTTCAGGGAGCGAATGGACTTGTCCAAGTCCCGCGCTGTTGTTCGTTACGCGCCAAATTGTCTTGCCAAATTGTCTTCCAGTTAGTTATTACGAAGCGAATCAGATTGCGAGTCTTATTTTACCTGCTAGTTCAAAACAATTGGGTTCACTCTTTGGTACTATTCTATATGCAGGGAAGCAATTCATACACAATCCTAGTACCTACACTAGCTTAATACATTGAAGAATCTGTAAAGAAAATAAAAGGGAAAAAGGACAGTAGAAAATGCACGAGAAGAATGGAAGCAGAGCACAGACGGAGAAACGGAACGAACAGCTTGAGAATGAAATAGAATCATGGATCCGTACAGGCATTAGCCGTTAATCGATGTTTCGGACTCATATTGCTCATTCATGGAGACATGGTATCACTTCTGTTACTGGACTTCGACAATTGTCGCACGTGGGCTCGAGCTCGAGCTGGTAGAACAAGCCGCGCTGAGAAGTCCGGCTTTTCAAATCATATGAGTGATTTATTCCTCATCGCCGAAGCCCCAGTGCTTTTCGTTGACGTGGCGCAGCGCGCGACGCTGAGGGGGAGGTGCAGTTTTACTGGGCTGGGGAGACTCATCGTATGCTTCCCAGGAAGACTCCATCATCTTGACGGCCTTCAAGCGATCTGTCCCCATTGGCTTCTGGTTCTCGTGACTGACCTTGCCATCCGCGGGAGAGGACCCGGTCATGCTCCAGTGAGACTCAAAGTCCTTCTTGCGATTGCCGCCGTTTGGGACGACACCAAGTGGCGCCTTCTCCGCCGCATTCTTTCCAGGAGACTCTTCTTCATTGTACATGTGGGTTTTGTAGAGATTAAGACCCTTGTTCTGGAAAGAGCTGATGATGCGGGACTTGTGCTGCTCGTCATCATTATCCATGAGTTCGAAATGCGTTTCCGCATCGCGTCTGGGCTGCACTACGAAAGGTTTCACGGGAGGAGTTGGCTGAACCTCGTCATCGCTCCATCCAAAGTGTCGTGCCTCCTGAGGACGGGGCTGGCGTTTAGGCTTCTCTGGCGTTGCAAAGTCCTCGAAATCCCAGTGAGGGACGTGGCGCGACATGGGGCGACCGGGTTTCGACTTCACTTCGCGTTCGCTGTTATCGGCGCCGAGCTCAAAATGATCATACCGTTTTGGGTTTGTCTTGTAGGCGATTTGCTGCTTAGCCTCTGCTTCGTCATCCTCAAAGATACGAGAAGCGCGATAGTTCTTGCCTGCGCCCGCTTTGGGAGCAATGGGCCGGGACTTAGACGGCGTAGGCTCCGGTGCATCGTTTTCGTCTTCGCCGACAAAGAGTTCGCTGTAATCGCGTGGTGGGGGCTTTGCGGATGCAGGAGCACGAGGAGGACGCACCGGCTGAGCGCGGTCCTTTCCAGGCGACAAGAGTTCTTCCAGAGACTCTGCCGCGTAGGGATCCTTGATATATCTCTTCGAAGGAGAGGCGGACTTCAGGCGGAATTCTTCGCTGTTTTCCTTTTTTGGGGGCTGAGACGGTGCAGGGCCCTCAATTGCGGGGGCAGAAGCGACGGCAGCTTTGATCAGACGTGTCTGGTCCTTTGCATCACGAATAGGCCAGCCCCGTCCGCGAGCGCCGATAACGTCGACCTGTTTCAAAAGTGAAGCTTGGTCCCAGTATATTCTAACATTCTGAATTTGGTGCTCCGAATCGAAGCGCACGATGTGGACCTATCGAAGCACACCAGGAGGTTTAGCTGAGTGGACAATGCAAGGAGCGTCGGGAATTGAGAACATACCGTGGGGAATGCTGCGACTCGGTCGGCCAGGAAGTTATCGTCTAGAGAGGGGAGATAGGCCCCGCCTCCAGACACAAACTCCAACGTAACCTCTACATCCAAGCATAGAGAATCTGAGCTTTCGATTGCGCCGATAATATCTGCGGCTTTCTTCTTCACGACGGTCTCTTGCTTCGTCAGATGGCTGACGATCGCGTCGGCACCGTCGAAATGGGTGGCCGTGGTGATATAGATCAGGGAGGCATTGGCGGCCAAGGGGACCGACTTTGGATTCGCAAGGAACCTTTGGTACAGGTCCTTGAGAGACATGATTCGATTCCGGCTAAGATTCAAGATTCAAACGAGCGTGGAAGGTGGAAACGAATTGATGAATGAAACTATGGAAGAGGTCGTCCAGAGATGATTGGATCGCAGTCGTTCGCAACAGTGGGCAGGACGCGGAACTGTTTATGATGGAGGACACGAACCACAGTTTTGCTCGAGCCTTTCCAGAGTCTGTCAATCAATGGTTCACTTGCGCATTTGACAACAATAATAGAAACCCGGGAGACGGAGAAGTCGTTTACCTTGGAGTTATGTAGAAGGGAATGAACTCTGGTATTTGAGAATGTGGCAGAGAACCACCAACGGAATATGTCAGTCAAACACTAATGAACAAGGAAACTGTGTTTCTCAAGAAGTATGTAGACTAGGTAGTGAAAGGACAACGATTACAATAGAAACAAAAACAATAATGGCTGTCAAGAAGTATTTGATTGACTGGAAATGCGACGCGTCCGTAGGAAGCTGCTTTATTATTAGCTATCAGCCTGAGAAGTGAATAATAAAACTAAGAGGAGTAAAACTACACAGGGAAATCATGGCCCGGGAGGCATCTTTCACAGGACAATCACAATAAAAATAACGGGATGGCTCATACTCTCCAGTGTTCTGTTATTATTATGGAGTACCTCTGGGTAGCCTAGGTACGCTGGACCTGGGAGTCTGGAATGATGAATCTGACAAGACCAGGGTTCCATCAGCATCTGGACAATCAAACGCTGCTTTTGCCAGCCAAGCAGAAGGTTGGATAGTTCTCGCGCACGGCTCCATCTTCCAAGAAGGACCGCACCAGTGTTTCACCACCTCGGCTACAAAGCCACACTACTGAAGCATCGTCTTTCGGGCAACTACGGGGCCCTCCGTCTTTCCTGGTTGGTGTTATGGCTAAGTACTCAGATGTGCTCGGAGATATGGAGAGCATTGGACGCACTGCACCTAAGTCTGGATAGAATTGCGACTCAAATGGTTGTATATTTGGCTTTAACGCTCATACATCATTGGACAAAAGAGTATTTACCATGTTCAATAGGAGCCACGATCTTCCATTCCCGGTTGGTGATTATCCCAACTGAGTACATGGTTTGAGATATACTTCAAAGCTCTCATTTCGGAAGCAGATCTCCAGATGTGTGCTCAATAGTCCAAAGACTTCGATGCTCTCGTCATACGCTATCGTGCAGCCTTCAAAACGAAGACTATACGGGTGCTTTTTCGGATCCTTTCTTCAAAAGTAGAAGCTGAACGCAACCGCTCCCCCAATGGAGAAGACTACTCAGGCTGCGGTGATGTTTGAGGCATCTTATTGTCCACTTCACGAGCATGTTTCCTGAGACGATTGATCCCTAAATCCAATCGTCCATGTACTCAAAATCATAGTATGCCTCATGGGAATATTGTGATGTGGGTGTTGATATTCGCAAGTGTTTGTCAAGTGGGAGAGACGAGTTTTTGGGCTCCTCGAGGTGTCATTATAATGGTCTAAAGCAAGTGAAACAATGATTAGTGACGATGCTCCTATGATTAGGACATGCAGATAATGCACTCACCCAAGATAATCCTCTTTGATGGTTCCAATAGCATTGATAGCAGCTACGTCAGGCTTGACACCGAGGATTTTGAGCCGTAAACTGGTTCCCTTTTCGATGACCTGGTCGGCATGATCCGTGTACTGAGGAGGTACTGTATTTGGCTCCCACTTAATATCCGAAGGAATGTTCTTGTCAACCGGTTAGCATCGACATCTCATCCTGAAATCAAGTATAGGCGACATACTTTTCGCGCAATGAAAACGGATAGTGGACCGGCCAAGGTGAAAATACCGGTAGGCTTGACGGAAGTAACGATTGCATCGACCTGAAAATCCAAGTCAGAATTAGGAGGACAATTGCTTCTATATTCGTGCAAGCATACCGTCTCCCCCCTGAACGGCTTCCAGATGATCGCACGATATTTGATTGTGTATTCGGCTTGCCCGCTTCCTGGAAGGACCCGACCCTCTCCAATATCTACCATGTCCATGACGCAAATGACGAAATGATCACCAGTACACCGGCCTTCCTCTTCCTCGTTAAGCCTATTGATCAAATACTCCCGCATATTCGGCCCGAAGTACGACGGGTGCAGCGATATCACCTTGGTCTCTTCCTTTAAGAAAAACATGGCGCAAGTCTCTTTCCAAGTCGCAAGGTAATTACTCCGACGACAACACTCCTTTCTCAGCCCTATACGATTCAGTCTCCGATTGAGCGTTTATGTAGTGGTATGCACGTCCGCGCTTCGACCAACGTCCCAGGGCTCGTCACTGGCGATGTTGAGCAGGCAGCGGTATGATCGGGCGCGAGGAGAATTCAAGAAACCGTAGCGACTGCGGTTGGTCAAGAAAGAGGGGCGTGAATGTCTTGGGAAGCGGCAGTTAATGATAGTGAGATCAGTCGCTCATGGTAAGAGGCAGCGACATGCAATTTTGCTTTGGCAGGAGGGCCCCAAAAAAGCGCTAATAGAGGGTATAGAACCGAGACATTCAAGAACAGACTGGTATCAGGTATGGTCAATTTTCTGATGTGAACGCCAGACACAGAAGCTCTGGGTTATGAAGATTCGTCAAAAAGCAATCGTTTGAAGTGACTGCCTGATCAACATTCGAGCTGGATGAAGTCACCTGACCTGGATGATCTGTACGATACCTGAGAATAAGGGAACAAGAAGAATGCATATTACAGTACAGTACAGTTATTCTACTTAGTTACTCTCGTAATTTCTGTAGTAAACGAATCTGATACAACATAATTACCTAGGTTGCATCCTCGGCATACCCCCTCCCACCTGACGTCCCACCATAAGTTGCCTAAGATGGCATATTAGGACATTACTTAAAATGTCTTATTTCTCCACCACGTAGCTGGCCTGATCGTAGCATCCCCGTCGCTTTGAAGCTGGCAGACAAGTCTCTCCATGCTATCCCCTTTGATTCAATAAAGTCGTCGGACAGGCTCAGAGAAGAACGCAACCCAAAGTAAAATGGCGTTGAACCTCGAGAAGCAACTCCTTTTTGTGAGTCTCTTCAGCTTCAGTGATTGATGAACTAGTGCTTATATTTACCTACAGTATGGTGCCTATCACAATAACCCGGTAGGCTCGCAACACCCTTCATCCCCCGCAATCGACATTTAAGCTTATCTGTCCTTAGGTGAATGTGGTCATTCACATCACCTGTGTACCGATACTCTTGTTCACAGGTATAGCTTTGGTAAGTTCATTAGTTCCAAACGCTGACCTCGACAGCACTGACACGCGGAACCTCAGGCTTCGAATTCGCCGGCTCTGTTCAACCTTCCTGAAGCTCTAAGCTTTGAATACCTCCCAGCCAACCTCGGCACGATCGCAGCCTTTATATATGCCACTTTTTACATACTCCTAGAACCTGTGGCCGGGGGACTGATCGCTCCGCTCCTGATCGCTGGCGCAGCTTACGCCAACTATCTGCTGAGCACCTACGGCACAACTGTCAATTACTGGGCCGCTGGAATTCACGTTGTTTCGTGGTTGCTGCAGTTCGTCGGCCACGGCGTCTTCGAAGGAAGAGCTCCAGCACTACTTGACAACCTTGTCCAAGCCTTGCTTCTTGCTCCTCTCTTCGTCTGGTTGGAGATTCTGTTCTTCCTCGGATATCGTCCTGAGCTGAGAGCCAGATATGAGGAGAGCGTGAAGAAGGAAATTGCTGCCTTCCGGAACAAGAAGGGTGGCGCCGCGAAATAGTCTCCTGGTATAGCTCGCTTTTGACCTGACTGGTGTGCATGGCTTGACTGTATCAGCGTGGACATGGTAAGTGGCTTATGGCCGTAGCTGTGATTGTCTTATCCTTCTTTGTATCAGAGCTCGGGTACGTCACAATGGTAAGACTATTCGGAATCATTTGCGACTGCATATTAGACTCAACCCGACTCTATGTACAGCTCATGATGTATCCGTTATGGTAGCGGATGATACATGTGTTTACCCGATGTAAACAGTTTGACCTTCTGCATTGGGCGGCATGGAGAGTATCATACAAGAGTACTCTCTTGAAAAGCACAACAAGCTTTTTGTTGTAGTTACTTCGTAGATTCGATGTTACCGTTGGTAGTGTCCTTGAGTTTGGTTGCTGTGACGAAAAGACGTGGATGACTAAGCCCCTAATATCCGCAGATCCGAGAAAACGAAAAATGGAATTGCCAGCTGTCCCGATGGCCAAGCTTAGAGGGATTGCCCAATTTCACCGACAATACGGAGCTTTATAAGATAGGCTTTTTTTTAAAGTACAATATAGAGACATAAGAAAAAGCAAGATTGTAGTGTAGAATAATTTATGGAGCGAGAGTGCCGTGGGAAAACGACATCATTGACCTGTATTTCTCTGGGGGGTTTGGTGTCCCGTGAACGCACTAGGGCGGCTTCGGAGCCCGTTGGTGAGGCTCGGCAAACTAGGCTTAGTGGCAGTCCTGAGAATCCTCCCAACCCGGACGACAAAGCTCTCCTTCTATCCATCCACAATCCTTTCTCCTCTGCCACCTTCTCCCCAATTATATCTCTCCTTCAGAGAAACCACTCTCCCACACCTCTGAACCCCCATCACAATGTTCAGGAACGCTTTGCGGCAGTCTAGCCGCACCGTTGCGGCTGCCACTGCCACTGGCAGAATCGCCTCGGTGAGTCTCATCCCTGCTCAGGTCGACCTCATCGCATCAATATGGTCGTTTCCATCTCGAGAAAATATCTCAATCGGTGCTCGAATCGCCTCACCATACGCCGACATACTTTTTAAATTGGTTTCACGCATTGTGGTTGGATTTTGCTGGCATTGACAAATTTTGCGTCTCGACAGGTTCGCGCGGCTGTTCCCGGCCCCTCGCCGGTGCCTCCAAGCAGGTCCGTTCCTACGCTGCTGAGGCCAAGGCTTCGCCCACAGAGGTTTCCTCCATCCTTGAGCAGAGAATTCGTGGTGTTCAGGAAGAGGCTGGCCTTGCTGAGACTGGACGTGTCCTTTCCGTCGGGTATGTGCTAGATTAATGCTGGCTGAAAAATTCGCACCCCGCCGCATTTTCATCGAATTATCGAATCCGACAGATATTCCGCTGTCTTTTCAATTGTGACAGTTGACTGATCTGCTTTTGCCTTATAGCGACGGTATTGCTCGTGTCCATGGTATGACCAATGTCCAGGCTGAGGAGCTGGTCGAGTATGTATCAACTTTTGATGAAGTGCTGCGTACCTCAGATAACTGACAGATGATCAGGTTCGCCTCTGGTGTCAAGGGTATGTGCATGAACTTGGAAGCCGGCCAGGTCGGTGTTGTGCTTTTCGGTTCCGACCGTCTCGTCAAGGAGGGTGAGACCGTCAAGCGTACTGGAGAGATTGTACGTTAAGTTTCCTGATATCGTGGCCTTTTACCCTTACGATATACTTACAACGCGCACAGGTCGACGTTCCTGTCGGTCCCGAACTCCTTGGCCGTGTCGTTGACGCCCTTGGTAACCCCATTGATGGCAAGGGCCCCATCAACACCAAGGCCAAGAGCCGTGCTCAGCTCAAGGCCCCTGGTATCCTGCCCCGTCGTTCCGTCAACCAGCCCGTCCAGACTGGTCTGAAGTGTGTCGACTCCATGGTCCCCATCGGCCGTGGTCAGCGTGAGTTGATCATTGGTGACCGTCAGACTGGTAAGACCGCTGTTGCTCTCGATGCCATGCTGAACCAGAAGAGATGGAACAACTCTTCCGACGAGAGCAAGAAGCTGTACTGTATCTACGTTGCCGTCGGTCAGAAGCGTTCCACTGTCGCTCAGCTTGTCAAGACCCTTGAGGAGAATGACGCCATGAAGTACTCCATTGTCGTTGCTGCCACTGCTTCCGAGGCCGCTCCTCTGCAGTACCTCGCTCCCTTCACTGGCTGTGCCATGGGTGAGTGGTTCCGTGACAACGGCCGCCACGCTGTCATCGTCTACGACGATCTCTCCAAGCAGGCCGTCGCTTACCGTCAGATGTCTCTGCTGCTCCGTCGTCCCCCTGGTCGTGAGGCCTACCCCGGTGACGTTTTCTACCTGCACTCCCGTCTGCTCGAGCGTGCTGCCAAGATGAACGATAAGCACGGTGGTGGTTCCCTTACTGCTCTGCCCGTCATTGAGACCCAGGGTGGTGATGTCTCCGCCTACATTCCCACCAACGTTATTTCCATCACCGACGGCCAGATTTTCCTGGAAGCCGAACTCTTCTACAAGGGTATCCGTCCCGCCATTAACGTCGGTCTTTCCGTGTCCCGTGTCGGTTCCGCTGCCCAGGTCAAGGCCATGAAGCAGGTCGCTGGTTCCCTGAAGCTGTTCTTGGCTCAGTACCGTGAAGTCGCCGCTTTCGCTCAGTTCGGTTCCGATCTCGATGCCTCCACCAAGCAGACCCTCGCTCGTGGTGAGCGTCTGACCGAGCTCCTCAAGCAGAAGCAGTACTCTCCCATGGCTGTCTCTGATATGGTTCCTCTCATCTTCGCCGGTGTCAACGGTTACCTCGACGGTATCCCCGTCAACAAGATCCTCACTTGGGAGTCTGACTTCCTTGCCAGCGTCAAGAGCAACCAGCCCGAGCTCCTTGAGACTATCGACAAGGAGGGCCAGGTCAGCAAGGAACTCGAGGCTCAGCTCCGTGAAGTCATTGAGAACTTCAACAAGTCTTTCAACGCATAGGTGAGCAAAAGGCAATTGGGTGATTGATCCACCGTGTACTGTTTTTTCCTGACGCTATGTGTATAGACAAGATAGCTTGTACAATTTGATTCCACTGTTTTTCTCTTGTTTTCAAAGCTGCCGAAACGGGTTCGCCCCAGAGCAAGTGTAATCTCGGCTCGGTCATTGCACTCTCGCCTTTCCTGTAGCGATGAAACTCTAGGATGACGGTGCGGAGACAAAAATCAAAAAGATACGATTAATATCCTGTACGTTTAGATCTTTTTGGGCGACAAGGGAGTGGGGCATGAGGGGATGATTGGATTGTCAGCCTATCCTTCAAAAAAGAAGGTACCGTCCAATTAATCTTTCATAGCGCAGCTTCTTCGTTACCATTATGCAGCCAGCAATATGATTTCCTTTGTTTCTACCTAAATTCTGTGTCCGCGCGAATCGGGCAAGCTCTCTTTGAGCTTTTCACATTTGAGCCACATGCAGATCGACCAACCCCAAGCAGCCGTAAGAGTACATAACTACCATAGGTATCTATTGACAGACATGGGTTTATCGGGATCTCGGACTACTTACAATTCTGTCGAATTGTACCCGACGCTGACCGAATGGAACTGTATGATTTGCGGAGCATACGCTGTTGCTGATTCGCAAAGGCGAGGTAAGCCACTTAGACGAACGAATGATATTGATAACTGTTTCTCACTTTGGAACCTCAGCGACACAAGGAATATATTCTTTTCCTTTGGCCCACAGCTATATCCTTCAATTTGGGCTGGTCTCCTGTTCCCTCTTGCCGTGGGCCGAATGCGGCGTCTGCTTTATCGATAAGCGAGCAATCTTTTTCCGTCCCCAAAATTTGTCAATGCCCCTCCTCCGTAGTTTGATCTCCGCAGAATACCGACTAGTTCTCGCCTATCTCCAGATTATATCACAGTAACCGCGCAGATGGCTACTCACGCAGACTCAGTGCATCCAGCTTGCAAGGTTGTGCTTTCTAAGAACGTTGCAAATAGCCTCGTTGCGGAGGTCCAGGAAGGTGTCAAGACCTTGGAGAAGCCGCCTCATCTTGTCGGATTCCTGGCCAACGATGATCCTGCGGCATTGATGTATGCCCAGTGGACTGAGAAGACATGTCAAGAAAAGTGAGCGTCTATCCATTCCTGCATTTTTCTGCGTCAATTGCGCCGTTTTGTCTCTTGTGTTCCCGACGCCATCAATTGCGATCTCGGAGCATGGCATAGCATCGTTCTGAGTCACCTTATCGTAGCTAACGTAGAAGTTCCTTGATACAGTGGATTCCGTTACTCTTTGCGCCAAGTGTCCCGCGACGATATCGAAGATGCTATTCTGGCTGCCAATGCCGACTCAGACGTTGACGGCATCATCGTATACTACCCCATCTTCAATAATCGCCAAGATCAGTATCTTCAGCAGATCGTCGACGTATCCAAAGATGTAGAAGGTCTCAGCCATCGTTACATCTTCAACATGTATCAGAATATCCGTTTCCTTGACCCTGAAACCAAGCGGCAGAAGTGCCTTCTTCCTTGCACCCCTCTGGCCATCATCAAGATCCTCGAGTACCTCAACATCTACAATACGATCCTACCGTACGGAAACCGGCTGTTTGGACACACTATCTGCGTGGTGAATCGCTCAGAGGTTGTTGGCCGGCCACTTGCGGCTCTGTTGGCGAATGACGGAGCTTGTGTCTACAGCGTGGACATCACCGGTGTCCAGAAGTTCACTCGTGAGGGTCTCAAAAAGCGTAGGCACGAAGTCGTGGACCTGGAAGGAAAGACAATCAAGGATGTAGCCCCTCTGTGCGATGTTGTCATCACGGGTGTTCCCAGCGAATCGTACAAGTTCGACACAAGCCTCCTCAGAGAAGGCGCCGTCTGTGTCAACTTTTCTAGCGAGAAGGTAAGCTTTCGATATTGTCTAAATGCCAACTGGGATTCAGACAAGTTAATGTGCCGCACAGAACTTCGGCCCAGAAGTAAAAGAGAAGGCATCCATCTTCGTTCCTTCGATCGGCAAGGTGACTATCGTGGTTCTGCTCCGGAACCTCTTGGTGAGTGACATCTGGCCAAGCGTATTGATGGATAATTCGGCTCACAATGCGTTACAGAGATTGATTCAAAACCGGAGATTGGACGACGTTAGACCGGCTGAAGCCACCGAGCGTCCTGGAACTCTGGAGGCCGCTTCGTAATTACATTATTCAACAAAATGCGACATGCAACGGGAGACGACAACTAACAAAGCCACATAACAATCATAGATTTCCTTTCTTGTGTTCTGTTTCAATTCTGTTCCTCAAAAGAGACTCAACAATGGTTGTTTTCTCGTGTATATGACCCGTGATATGAGCCTGTTCTATGAAAAGGTCTTCATGTCAAGCCTCTGAAACATATTGAAGTGACCTGCTCTCACAAAGTGTCTCCTTGTCCGAGGGATTTGCTGCAGAGAAAGTACTCAAGAGTATGGACTGGGATAGTGTCCAAATAGACGTCATAGGATCTTTCATGCGCAACGCAGTTATTCAGTTCCAGCCAGATGGCATTTGATCTTGTCGGCGATCCCAGCTAGTAACAGTTCAAATTCATTGAGTCCGAGTCACATTCTCAAGAAAGAAAGCCATGTCATTTACTTCTTGTTATTGGTATCCTGCACTCCTACAACACTTCCAACTCCGCCAGTTTTCCTCTCTGTTTCCTTAGCCGCAAGTCGTAGCACCTCAATCTCGGTGGAAAGCCAGCGTCGCAGTGGTTCAGGGTGGAAAGTTCCGTCCGCGGAAAACCAGTTCATAAATGGGGCTTCGATCTCCTTTTCTTGGAGAATCTTGTTGGAGGGCGATGTGTACTGTACGCGGAGCTTGTAGAGAGGGAGTGTTTCTTCACAGAAGACCGAATTGAAATCTAGTTAGAGAAACAGTGAGCTTGGTTTGTGATTACAGAAAAGGACGCTGTAGACTATACCGTTTCACCCGACTTTCGCTTGCCCCGAAAAACCTCACCAGCTTCAACAGCCCATATCCAGTATGTGAGGCCGGTGTTCAGGATAAAGTATGAACACACTGCTGCTATAACCCACGGGGAGGTAGTTGCTTCCCATCCAAGTTTGCGATCAGCGTAGAAAGTGAATGCAGCGATGGCGACAGCGCTGTAGCCAAGAAGGAATCGGACATTGGATTTAGAGTGGTCTTGTTTGAAGGTATACGGTTGAGGAAGGGTACACAAGTACGGGACAAGGGCATCATCTGTGGTTGATTTCAGATCTAAATATGGTTGTTAGCGACGGTTATCAAGAGATTCGCATACCATGTCCTGTATGAGGAACCAAAATAAAGCTCGATGTAGCTGTTTGGAGTACAGAGGACTAACCGTTAACAGAGTAAACAGGCACCTTCGGCGTCGAGGAGGTTGCCATTGTGAGTTATAGATTTCGATTAAAATATATTTAAAATTGATATAGCACCGAGAGACGCCACAGGGCAGTTCAGATGCTTTATAATTTCAGGCGTGAGAAATCGAGCAGTGATGTTTATCTGGCAGCGAGGAGTTGCGGCGAGCTGGCCCTTTCGCGGAGAGCTGAGCTAAAGCGGCATGCCAGCCAACACTAGTAAACCCGCTTTGTCTGAGCTCGCGGGGGCTGCCGCATCATCACTGGCGACTTTCCTTACAACCTCAATTCTCATTGAACCGGTGGCCAAACGTCTGCTTAAGAGGTCTCTGGGTCAAAATGGCTTTACAAGGGGTTGAGCAGACCATCCTACGGGATCCGGCTCTGTTGTGAGTGGTATCCTCGTTGATATGTCGTGGGCGAAGGACTGACGTACATTGTCAAAAGCTATTGGATCCTGTTCCCTATCACCATTGTCATGGTAAGTCTTGTCGATTATATAGTCTTGTCGCACTGGCTGATACTGATCCTCTGTTAAGATATTGACAGGTATTCTTCGCCATTATGCGACGGTTCTTATGAACACCCCCCAAAACCTCCGGCGACACTTGCCGAATCTAAAGAGCGTCTTTCGCTTCTGCGAGGAGTCAATCTGCGTAACAATGCTCCCGCAGTGCTATCGCGGCAGGGATTTGAGATGCGAAAGAATTATTTGATCTCCGCATACAAAAGCGGTGCCTTCCTTAAAGACCCTTCCAGCCGCGGTCAGCCACCTGCGAATCCAATGACTGATCCTGCGGGCATGGAGGCTATGATGGGGATGATGAAAGGAAATATGATGATGATGATCCCACAGACTTTGATCATGAGCTGGATCAATGCGTTCTTTTCTGGATTTGTCATTCGTATGTTACCTTTTGCAGCGGAGTTGAGCTCGCCTGTGCGCTGACAGAGTCGGCACAGTGAAATTGCCATTCCCGCTCACGATCCGATTCAAATCAATGCTCCAATCTGGTGTCATGACCCGTGACCTGGATGTCAGATGGGTGTCTAGTCTTTCGTGGTACTTCTTGAATCTGTTCGGCCTTCAGTCAGTCTTTGGCTTCATCCTCGGCAGCGATAACGGTGAGTGACGTCCCAGTCTTGCCTTTGCAACTTTACCGTACTTCCTGTTACTTCCCCTCAAATGAACACATGCTGACTCCCTTGATGGTGCAGCTGCCAATCACATGGCTCAGCAAATGGCTACTATGAACCCTGGCGCAGGAGTCAATCCGTTCCAACCTGGCCAGGATCCAGACAAACTGTACCAGAGCGAAGCGGAGAACTTGGAAGTCACGGAGTTCTTTAGTATTCTGGACGGTATTGAGGAGAGAGTCCTACATAACTATGCCTCAAAGGAAATTCGCTGATTGGTGTTGGGTGCGCGGAAACAGTTCTCCCTTATACTGTTTTATATTCATATAGAGGAGAGTCAAACAAGTGTGTCTTAATCCTCCAAACAATACAATATGACTGTGTTGGCTATCTAAACTCCCGCTGTTCTTCATAACAGGCAAAAATGAGAAAATGAATACTTCAGGGGATTGTAGGACATGGCAAGCCTGACGTGAACATAGATTATGGTATATAAAGGAAGTCGTTCAATGCATAACTCATCCATCCCTCCAGATATACATCGAGGGTTTTGTGTGATAATTGCTCGAACGGTGCAGTACTTCGCAAACAGAGGATTTCAACGGTAGTTGACGACGCCGTTTAAAATCCAAAGCTCACCGTTTGTCACCGTCTCAGCGATATTGTCAACCTCGACATTACCCGGTTGGATCTAAGGAGCGTCAGTAGAGATGCACAATAGATGATGAGGGTGAAGAAATACACACATATATCTTATCGCCATCTTTGGTCCACTTCAGTTTCGCCCCTCCAAGCGTCTCCACCTCTTCATCCTCCCTCCATGGACTTGTTGTAATGATGTGAGCCTCGACGAAACGTTGTAAATTCTGCTTCGCTCTATCTTCACCTTCCTGTCCTTCATATGCGCTCACCCCACCAAACTTCTCGTAGTCTTCTGGGTTCTCCCAGGGCTTGCAAGGCAACCTTTGAATAGCACTGTTCCGAGGAGCTAGGACAGTAGTATTTTTGGATGAATCGGTAAGGCGTGATTCAATAGGCTCAAACTGCCGAGTAAGAGAAGCAAATATATTGATGGCACGGTTCTTGGGAAGAACATCAGAGACAACAGGCTTCTCACTGTCGTTCTCTCTTGACGAGGAAGAGAACATCTTGTTCATTACTGGCTGTTGTTTGGAAAGCCAATTTCTTAGTTCAGTATCGTCCTGCAGGCCTTGTTCGTGCCGTAAGTGAGGGATGTCTACAAGTGAACGTGGGAGACGCTTGCGCAGACTGAACCTCGGAGGCAGACTCAGATTTGCAATTACTGAGCCGATGAAGCAAAATGCAATGACAAATAATACAAAGGGTGTCCGCCGCATCTTGACGAGAAATGGTCTCCCGGTTTAAGACGTAGCACGATAGATAAGACATAGCATGCCTTGGAGTTCGAGTCTGTGGCCCATGACGCAACCAATGCCACTGCCACACCTTCCTTTTGTGGAAGGTACCAACACGTGATGTGGAGCTCAACGCACGTGACGTCTATCGATAAGGGCAGTTGTTCGGTGTCAACCGCAAAAAGCGTCATGTCCCGATTGCGGAGGAGGGGAATTTGTCTGTCCCTCATTCTGGTTCCGGGTGCCAATCGATTGACACAATGTCGGCTCTGCAGACTTTTATGTTGGTTGTAGACCACGATAAAGCAGAGGCTAAGCAGGTTGCTGAGCGGGTTGCTCAGGGTATTGTTTCCCCGCGGCCCCAGATCAATACACTTGGGTACTAATGGATTGCTCTTAGATGTGGAGAACAAAAGGACGACACTTATTGAAGTTGTACAGTCACTCGGAGAGTATATCAACGATGAAGATCCTATATTGCGAGGCAAAGCTGTCTCGTACCTCACTGCTGTGATCAGAGCACTTCCTCCGAAGTATCTGTCAAGACAACAGATCCAAGTGCTCACAACGTTCTTCTGTGACCGCATTGAAGATGGAGGGGCTGTTGCTGGACTGGATACACTACAGAAATTGGATCGCTTTAACGATGCGTTAGCCGAGGAAGTAGCACAGGCGTAAGTGCTTCGCGGAGCCTTGACGTATAGACCATACTTCGCCCGGCCTTTAAATCATTCTCAATGCAGTGGTTTAGTCGCAGAAGCAACTGACTATTCTTTAGTATCTTCGAGCGCCTACAGGACTTACAGTCTCGGTCACAGTCGCAAAGGTTTCAGGTATACCAATTGTTGAATGAGTTGATGTCGAATCATCGGGCCGGTACGCATTGCAGCAATTGAACTTCAGTGATATTGCCTATACTGAATTATACTAGCTCTTCACAAGATGGGAGATACATCTCTCGTCGGAATCATTGATCTCATGACTGGAGAGAAAGATCCCCGGAATCTTATGCTTGTCTTCTCCATCTTGAAGGTGGTAATGATTGAATGGGATATCTCAAACCACGCCGAGGTATGCCGTTCGTCTCTGGAAATTACCAGTTCGACAGCTAACGTCCGAAGACTCTTTTTGAAGCGGCTTATAATTACTTCCCGATTACCTTCAGACCTCCTCCAAACGATCCATACGGGATTACGGCGCAAGACCTGAAGGACCGTCTACAGGACTGTATTTCCTCAACTAGTCTTTTCGCTCCCTACGCCATTCCCGCCCTTCTTGACAAACTGGATTCCACTTCACCAAATGTCAAGGTATGCTTTTTCACAACCCTTATGAGCCCTTTCTATCTAGGATCGGACTAAGAAGCCCCTAGAAAGATGCTCTTAACGCATTAATTGCGTGCATCAGATCGTACGACCCGGATACTGTGTCTAAATATTCCATCCAAATATGGGACGTATTGAAATTTGAGATCCTTAATGCACAAGAGGAATTCCTCTCAGAGCTTTCCCTTCAGGCTCTGAACAGCATTGCTAGACGGTTATCCGAGGGCATTGCAGCAACATCCGAACAGTCACCGCTCGCACAGTTTCTACGGCCAATCACGAAAGAATGCAATGAGCAACTGCGAGAACCCCAGCAAAAGCAGGCCAAGCCTGCGCAACAGATCCTGAACTCAACATCGTCTGCTTCTATAGCCTCGTTCACAGTTACTGTGCAGACTGTTGTCGCGCCGCTGTTGACGGTTTATCAGGAGGCCGATGGGCTTGCCAAACAAAGAGCGCTACTGGAAACCCTTGGGGTTCTCTTTGATTCAGCCATCAAAGTTTTTGGGAAATGGGACTCGCATGAGCCCGAACCCGCCGCTGAAAACGCTCTGGTCGAATTCAAAGATCAGTTCTCGGATGTCTTTGGTCAAGCATTGATGGGAGCAGCGAAGGAAGAAGTCTCCTTCCGAGTAACCGCTCTTGAAGGGTTTCTGCGTCTGTCCATCCTGAGAGATTACTTCCAAGACAACGAGATCGGTTTGTTTGTGCAATACTTGGATGAAATTCTGTTAAAAGAGGAATCTGCGGGCCGGGATGACTTGAAGAAGAAAGCCATCGCAGCTTTGGCTGAAATATCGAAGCACAAGCCACGACTGATCATGGATATAACATTCCCTGCCTTTGTTGCAACTCTGCCCGACTCTGACGAAGGGCCCAACACGGACTATATAACGACGCTTGAGAACCTCGCGCAGATCAGTGTTGAAAGGGATATTTTCGAGACATTAGTCCGACGTCTACTCAGCAAACTGACCATATTGCTTCAAAAGGAACGCGCTGGATCTATAGCATATCCTCGCGCAATCCTCATGACCATTCTATATGTGATGAAACAGAGGAATCTGGATAAAGATCCAAACCTGGAACTCTACTATGACAAGATCGTAATAGGCCTCTGCCGTGGCGTTGCAGAGGCGGCCACAGGGAAGTCTACGAATCGGATCTTGAATGACGCAGTTGTCATTGATATTCTTGGAAGACTTTGCAATGTCATTGTCAGGTGTCTGTCGAAGCAAAAAGAAGATGAAGTTGCGCAGAACGTCTACACTCTGTTTGCTAGCTCGAGTACCTTTATACCGGTGCCATTCTCGCAAACAACAAATGAGGATCAACAGCGCACGATGATTATCTCAACGTATCTTCTTGCAGGGCTTCCAGCCGACTGCGCACACCTCCCGTATACCGGCCGCGACTTGTCACCTCTCCTTTCGGACCTTGTGACTCGATCCTTGACAGAGAGCGAGCCATCAACCCATCTCGCCTTTCTTCGTCATTCTGCCTTAATTGTCAACAAATTCCTTCCAAAATCCGAACTTAGCATCGCTACGGAGATATTGAGCAACCTATTCTCTGCTGGTGCCGAGGAGAAAACGGTAGCTTCGGGAACAATCAAGACGATATTTTGGCTCTCGAAGGCTCTCATCCTACGCCTTGCGCCAACGACCACGGAAATACTGACGTCTCTTTTGTCACTACTTTCGTCACCCGATGAGATGACAAGTACCACTGCTGCTCGCGGCTTCGCTATCCTCCTTAAGGACGATGACGTCCTTTCAGCTGACAACGGTGCAAACATCAGACTTTTGGCGAAACAGCGTGTCTTCACGACATTGACCCCCCTAATCTCGAACCGCATTCGCGAGGTCAACGTCGCAGGCGATGGCTCGTCTACGCCCACACACATAAAGCCAGCACATCTCACTGCCTTATCAGGCATACTCTCCACCATTTCGCCTTCATTGGTAATGCCGGAGCTCCCGACACTGCTTCCTCTTCTCCTGCAAAGCTTGGATCTGCAGACCGCAGACTCCCAGGCCGTCCGAGCTGCAACGCTCGAGACCCTCGCCGTAATCATCCGGGAAAATGGCGTCGGCGTTATCGAGGAATGCGGCCATGTTCAAAGCTTGGTCACTCGGCTTCTGAAGACAGCTGCATACAATCCCGCACCTACTGGGCTGCACCAGCAAGCTGCCGTTGCCGGGCCCGTGAACGGACCGCGACTACGGGTTGAAGCACTCAGATGTCTGAACTTATTGGCTCAGACCCCGAAGACAGACGCCCCAGCTGTTGCGAAAGCCGGTAAACTCTCCCCACTTCTACCAGTGAAGAACCAGGTAGTGCGTTCTCTGCGTACGATTCTAGATGATCCAAAACGGGATGTGCGGAAAGCTGCAGTTGATGCTCGGGGCGCCTGGCTTCGAAACGTCGATGATGCTGCTGATGAAGAGGACTGAGGGATTGTGATGCTCGTTCTTTTGATGCCCGTTGTCAGCATGGCAGTGCTGTTTTATATAGTATGCGTGGTATTTTGTCATCTCGCAAAAAATAGACCGTTGGATTCGCCGCAATCAAGCATTCTATGAGTTACATCGGCTCGGTCGAAAGGACTATAGACCTTGATCAGAAGAAGGACGCTGAACTTGTTCTAAAAGGAATTGCATCATGCTCTGTTGTAGAAAAAAGAATATTGCTAAGCGCCTATCTGCGGTTCGTTTCCATATCCTTCTCTCATACTGTTGTTTCGTCTTCTGGTTATAGTCAGTTGTCCCTTCTCTAGGTCTCTTGTCAATAGTCTTCCTCATTCCCAGGGGCCTCATTTTCAATCATCGCTATCTTGTAGAATGACCCAGAACAACGATGGTCAAGCCTCACGGAAGTAGCAGCACCAGCAATTACCAATAGTCAATCTCGAGTTGCTCCTTGTCTTTCACGGAAGACCCACAGGAAGACTTCTTAGTCATTGTACTGACCATGACGCTTCCGAACTCCTTGATGCTTTCGAAATCATCGAATTCCAAGCTTCTGGGCTCAAGTCGGACCGTCTGATCTAGAGAGCCAACCGAGCCGGCAATCGACGGCGCCCGGACTGAATCATGGTCCCAACCGTGGTTCCAGAATCCGACACCGTCCATTTCCTCGACAACAGTTTTTGTCAACCGCAGAAGATCTCCGAGGCCAGTAATGCCAATGGCCTTGGCCACAGGGCTGAGCGCCGTATTCGGACCATAGGTCTCACCGGCATTCCCATGAAGAAGGGTGGCGTCTCTTCCCAGCAGGTCAGAGCTCCGCCATTCGTCAGTTCGTTCTCCAATTTCAAGATTTGCATTCGTACCCAGAATGGCTTCAATAGCCGAGCTTACAAGAGACGCTTCATACCATTGGCGGCCGTTTTCTGTCATTTCCGGCAGCGAAGCACAGCAGGCTGTCACCGCCCGAACGTCGGACGAACTGGATCCAATACAAAGATCTTGCACTTCCATGACTTGAAGAAAGATATCCTGATTCTGCGTAGCCTCTGCTTCGTTTTCCGCGGATGACTTGTCTGTGGAATCGCTATTCAAGTCAGACTCCGCTGTCGTAGCAATGTTGCTCCTGGTATGACTGGCCTGCTTGGCAGCAATGATACTCTTCGGTGGACGGATGAAGCGATGACGCGTCCAACGTTTCATGTATACCTTCTCAATTGTGATCTTGTCGCCTGGAGGTAGCCGTGTGAAGATCTGAACAAGTGAGGTATCTGGTTGAACCCACAGGTGCTCAATGAGGTACTTCGCCGCCCCCTCAAACTCTCGGTCAACAGCTGCATCGTTTGGGGTACCACTAAGAACGACACTTGCATCCCAGACTTGCCGTGGAAAGTGCAAATTGACAGCACCAAGCGCAACGTTGGGCTTTTCGATGTTGAATTTTCCTTGCTCATCCACAGATAGGACACGCATCTGACCGGTCCGAGTGCGACAGTGGAACTCGTAGAACACGCTGTATTCGCTGTAGTTCTGCTCAAAAATGCGCCTTTTCCCTTCAGGTGCGGATGTCTTCAGATCAACCAGATAATCAATATCAATGCCAGAGCTCGTAAGTCGGCTAATAAATTTGGTTGTCGGAGAGGGAATGCCGGTTTGTGACTGGAAGATATCCGTCCATTCGGTCAAAGAGACGGTCGAGTCTTCACTACAAGTCTTTGGCAGAAGCGGTATCAGTATCAGTCCGAGCTGGACTTCCAAGTTCAGAGATCCGTGAAAGTATTCAGCAGCTTCCAATGTTTGCCTCAAGGCTTCAAATAAATTCTCAACATCTCTGGTCATGCTATTTTCTGCTGACTCTGCAGCCAGCTCGTTCGTTCTGCTCCCAGCCATATCGACGGTCTCTCTTTCGTTCTTCTGGGTACTTTTCCGCATTGGTGTCAAAGTCTGCGCATCTGCCGAGGGTTTCTTCACTGGCTTTTTGAAGAATCCCCAAGCATCCTCAAGCGTGGCCTGTCTTTTCGCTTTAATCTCAGATTTGCTCTTAGCTCTATTTGTCGGCTTTGCCGTCTTGTGATTCATGGTACGATAGAACTCTCTGGTGCTTGTTTCGTCGGACCCTTGTCTATCTTGGTCTCGATGGACTGTTTCAAGCTTTGCCAGGCTTTCCTTCACCAGCAGCTTGTTGAATTCATACCTGGAGGTGTGTGTTTGACCATGACCGCCGGGATAGGGTATCTTGTCTGTCCGCTCTTGAAGGAACTTTTTCAGAAATGATAGTCTGTTTTCCTGCTCCTGGTGGGTTTCGTCACCTGCTGCTGCACGGCCAAAAGCAGATTCGGTGCTGCCGGAGCCAGAAGGAATGCTATGGACGTCCATCCTGCAGCTTGGAAGTCCAATCTTGGTGTTCTTGGAATTCGCGTCAGACATCTCCTGCAAGCACATATTTCGGGTGTTCGAGGTAAACGCATTGACCGGGCTGTCGGGAATTAATGGAGGCTGATTGAACGGGATTCGAGAGAGAGTGCCAACGACAGCATTATCTGCCGGCTCAAAGACGTAGATAAGCTCGTTAAGGTTGCTTGAATTCTTCTTTGACTTGACATGCATAATCCTCTTGAAGCTTGGACTATGCTTTTTCTTTTTAGGGGGTTGGCGTAGAGACTGGTTGAGACCATACTTGCCAGCGTCGAAATTGTCGGGAAGGCGTACTTTATTTTCCGGAGTTTGGGGCTTCGCGAATTCCAGCAAATCGCCAGGAAGCTCGAGAATATCGTTCAAATTAGAACTTTCAGAGTTAAGCGCGTCACTGTCACCCGGGCTTGTATCCTCGACGCCGGAACTGTACAGCATAGTCCAACGCTTACGGGGGGTGGCAGTAGCCTCCTTGAGATCGATAGCCACAGGCTTGGCCTCATTTGCCTGAGGTTGCTCGGATGGCGCCGCAAATTTGGCCGTTGTTGCGGCCTTTCGTGTCTTCATTCCAGGTGGTCTTTTGCTTTGAGGGGCAATTGCTGTTTCGCGCTTCGGTTTAGGCCGGTGAACGTCGCGGCTCTCACATTCGGGCTGGGGCTCGAAATCAGACTCAAGCTCAAACTCAGGCTCAGGTTCGGGTCCATGATCGGTTGGCTGCATCTCAGCCCTTTCCACAACCCACTGGTTGACTTGCTTGGCCTTGTCTGCAGTGAGGAAAGGATGGGGAGGTGCAATGCCAGAGATCAAGGTCTGAGGGTTTGAGGGGTCATTCTCGATTATCGATTCGATGTCAACAAACTCGTCCGCCTTCCCAATCTCCTGGAAGGTAAAATCATTCCAGATGCGAGAAGGCCCAGCTTCCTCGCTGATGGGTGGTGGATTGAGTCGATTATCGGGTATAGTCCACACTTGAGAATCATTGCTGAAGGACAGACCCACGGTGACGCACATCCGACCAAAGTCAATGGTGGAACACATTTTTGGATCCTCCAGAACACGACGGGGAGCATCAGGATTCACACTCCTGTAGTTCTGGATACGGAAGCGGCTATCGCCCTTGTGCGGGACAACCATGATGTTTGTGACGTCGGGAGCGAGAGAGAAGGACTATAAAGACTCGTCAGTTGTCAATCATAAGAATGGGTTCTGAGCAGCACGCCTACTGACCAAGGGCTTCTCAATTTGAGTCAGTTTCATCAGAGCATCGTCCACATCCTCGGCGGTCCCGGAAACCCGTATGCCTTGTAATTCATCCGCTATTGCGATTTGGGTGCCCGTGGCAATGGCAACACCTGCTAGGACATCATGGAAGTTGCTGGAAAAGCAACCCAAACCCCCGTTAGGAGATTTCCAGAACTTGGTGGCATGATTTCTCGAGTAAGGAACAATATCTTCGTCGGAATCATCGTCCAGAGCTAACAGACTCGGCCCTTGATGCTTCTCAGGTGAGCTCATGGCCGGGAGACCCTCGTCAGAAAGCATTGCAGGAACATCCAGTTGACGCACTCGTGGCATCTGAATCAAAACGATCATCAGTATAAACAGCTACTTGACGTTTGCACACTCTTATTATCAAACAAAGAAAAGGAATGGCTTACGTCTAGGAGATCTTTGTCTTTCTGCTCTTCGATAAAGCCGGCAAATGCAGATGCAACCTTTGAGACGAAGCTCTCAACATTGCCTTTGGTCACAAGTACCTATTGGAAATCCCGGTTAGGTACGGAAGGTGTGCAAGGACATGGGAACCAACATCGTCTGTCTGGAAATATTCGAGCGAATCAACCTGAGGGATTGTGTTCCTGGTTTTGTTGCGTCAGTTGAATAACAGCCATGCGGGCTATGGTCGATACATACTTGACCTCTACCTCTATCTCCTTAACCTGTTCATACTTTGGTCAGCAGAGGAATCATCGGCATCCTGTCATTACAATGATCAGCTCACCCCGATAGCTTCGAAAGCCCACATGGAGGCGAGCGTCAGTCTTTGCTTGGTCGCCATTGTGTCAATACGTCAAAACTAGCAGTGCCCGCACTAGCTGAGGTCGGTTCAGAAAGGAAGGAAACGTGGTCGAAGAAGCAAGATTAAGCCGATGTAATAAAGAAAGAATTGAGGGATGAAGTGTGATGCTCAATCGAGAGATATTGCGAAGCTCGTAGGATGATAAGGCGCTGCTCCTGACTTCCCCAAAGAAGAAGGAGGAAGACGAACGCAACGGTGCATGAAAACCAAACGAGGAACATTCTCCTTAGTCACCAGAATCATAGAAAAAGAGGTGAATGACAATGGATATTCCGTAGGGTGATTGATTTTGTTTAATACAACAATCAGTAGATCAGGAGGGTAGATGCAGCCACTAAGTGAATGTATAGTCCATCAGTAGGCGGATAGATGCAGAGAAGAGTCAAGGCATGGACAGTCTCCGAAGGGCGAATCTATTCACTTTCTCATTGCATATCTTAAAGGATAAGGACGAAGTGAAAGGCTTGCTATGATATGGTAGAATTCGTGATTGCTTCCCTGTGAATGTAGTGAATTATATGTAGGTTCCTCCTTGGGCTCGATCCAGAAAAAGAGTAGAAGTCTCCCCTGAACCGCATTCTTCAAAGGACATCTGGCCGACTATTCTATGTATTTATCTGGTATCCGTATTTAATATGGTCTATTTGCAAACAAAACGGAACTCTAATCAAAGACCGTCAAGCAGAGGAAAAAGCGTACGTCCTAGGGTATCAAGCGCTCCCAAACTCCGGGAAGTATTAAGCAACTGAGACACCAAGTCAGATGAGTGAGCCAAGAGCTCACTGCGAGCAGTATAAAGAACAATTCCAACATACCGTCGTAACGTCCACGAGTGCATTGCGGTTGAATGAGTCTGCTATGGACGTGGATCGTAGACGGGGATATGGGTAGGAGAATGACACAGCACGGAATAAGTTAGAGGATCGATCTTAGTTCGCTGAGTCCAGAATCGACGAAGACTTTTGCCGACGGACTGCATCGCTCGAAGGCGAATCTGTTGCTTGTTTGGTGCCTCTTCTGCAGGATTGATTATAGGTAAAATGGATCGCTCGTTCATTGGGCGTCTTTAATCTCGCTTTTGACTTGGATAGCCCATTTCATTTTTCCTTCAGTCTCCTTGAGAGAGGCGAGAGCACTATCAATGTTGGCTGCGCCCTGATAGTTCCTCTCGATTAAGGCCCGCACCTCCTCGTCGTGAGCCTTTTTGTATGCTTCGTAGTTCTCGAAGAGCTGATCGAATCTCTCTCTACCTATCTCAATTTCACGATTTTTCTGCGCCATGACCGCGTCCAGGCGTTCTAGCTGTACGTCTCTTTTTTCATGTTCTGCTTTCAAGGCGAGGAAATCATCCCGTATCGCTTTAAGTTTCCTCTGCTGATCTGCGCGTTCACGTTGTCCGGCTTTCGCAAGCACGTCGTACTGTGTCCGGGAGTGATTGGCAATCTCCTGTAGCTCGGCGCATTTTCGATTGAATTCGTCCCGAGCCTCGTTCATCAATTGCTGGAACTTATCGGTCTCGCCCTCTGCTCGACGTCGTCTTTCTTTCTCGCTCTGCACTTCGGCCCGTAACTCCTCAATTTTCTTGTCCTTGCGCCGGATCGATTGCAGGTTTGTTTCGTTGGCCTGCTCAAGATTTCGAAGACGCTCGGTCATGTTCTGTACCTGCATCTTAAAAGCATCGTTCATCCGCTGGGTTTCTTCCGCCCGTGAGCGATATACACTGCATTCGCGAGTCAAACGTGCGATTTCTTCTTGTAGATTATGTATGACACGGCCAGATTTGCCTGTGGTCGCATGGCCAACGGCCGAGGACCATTCGGCGGTAGCAGCATCGCCGTTTGGAGGATTGGAAGTAGTACGTGGGAACGCGGATGTGGAATCTAACAAGATGCGCAAAGACAAATCAGCATTCAGAATTCGAAGCGAGCAGCTAGTTTCAAGTATCGCCAGGTTGATATGAGATGGAAGAGCCTACCCGGAGAAGATTCTACGGCTATAGTTGCCTTTTGGCATTCAGGCGAGTTGGCATCGAATAAACCATTGTACTGATGCATATTCAACTGGGTTTCCACATGAGGTAGGCTGACACGAGGGGGTCTCGGAGAATCTAACGTAGGTGACGCAAGCGTCTCCGGGTTAGCATTGTCACTTTCTGCCCTTGCAGCATTCTTCTTTGATCGCACCAGCCTGGCCATTATAGGGGTCGAGGGGAAATTGGAATGCAGGCTAAATGTTATTGAGGAATGGCAAGCTCGAAGCAGTAGCGATCGGACCTCAGCAATAGCAGCAGGGGAAGAGACGGGCGATGTCGATGGCAATTGCCTGCAACACCGAAGCTATCCCCAATGCCCAAGGAAGGTGCGAAGCGAAGGAGGTGCAGGTCGGGGATCTCGAAGCTCCGGAATGCATGGGAATTGAGGATGGAGACGACGGGAATAAAGACAAAGAGACATACCCTTGTGAAGACCAAGGATGGGATGCAAAGAGCTCCAGCTGAACTATTGACATGATGAGTACTATGCTTTGTCATCGCCGAGACACATAACAAAGCTGCAGTGCGACAGATAGAGATTGGGCTGGAATAGTTCGAAACTAGCAGCTGAAGGCCGATAACTTACTGTCACAAACTGCGCACAGTAGAGAGTAATGAAAGAGCGAGATTGATTACAGCTTAATGAGTGTAAATGAAGGGTATACAGTTTCCAAAGAGATATATAACTGAAGACAGTACTGTCAAGAAACAGCAGTAGCGACCATTATCATCAAGAATTGATGAGTGATGAGGTTTTATAATTATCCGGTCATGTACGAATGAGCAGTTGGGAACATCCATGGAGGAGAGCCAGCCGCTAACAGCGGACACTAACAGCTTTCTGTCCAACAGCCCACATCGATTGTGAAACATGAACTTGGCGTGCTTTGTGCTCATAATCAAATTATCCATTTATCCCTAATTCCATTTCTTCAGTAAAGCAGTGATGAATATACTGTGGATGAGGCTTGCAGGGTCGAGCAACAGGTCGATGCTTGAGCTGCCCCGAAAGGTACAGCAGAATTCAACAACAATCACGGCCCGATCTCTTGAGGACACATCCCGACGTCACAAGACTTTTTGAATACAATGGGACTATGTACAACGAACTAAAGCAGAAGCACTCCAAAGCCAATGTGTTCAATCATTGGCAAATGATGTCAGGATGCCTGGCCCCGAATTTGGTCACCTGAATCCCATTCTATTCGGCGACATAGAACAAGACGCCTGCTGTGGCCAGGATCCAGCCAAGGTACACGTTTTCAGTAGAAGCACCGCTGGTTTCTAACTTAGCCGCCATTGCGCTTTTGCCGTGAGTGAAGTTTGAGTCAGGTCCCTTGGACATATCTTCAACATTGGTGAATTGGGCATTGTTACCCTTGGCGACCTCTGTTTCCCACTCGTCGTCAGGTGAGGTGTCGGTGCCGTGACGGGGTGAGGCGTCATCCTGAGGGGCGGGTGTGGAGATGTTCTGCGGCTTAACCTCTTCTGTGGGCTTCGGGGGCTTCGGAGGACTTGGTGGCTTGCTGCCAGGGTTTCCAAGTGTCATCAGTCCTGAATAGTTCTCCTCGGCGCCTTGCTGGATTTGCAGGGCATAGTCTGAACCATCGGGCAAGGAATCGTCCGGAACAAAGGTGAAGGATCCGCCTTTCGCATTGGTAGTCAGGACTTGGACGTGGTCGAGGTTGGTTGCATCGCCTTTACGCAGATAAATGGTGACAGGCTAAGCACAGCTATGGTGAGTAAGGGATGATCATCTGACGGAAAGAGAAGGGCATTCGCGTTTACGCACAACATCAGGAGCTCCCAACCAAGTCACCGTAGCTGGTTGACCATGGTCGATGTGGGTTGGCCATGTTGTAAAGGCCAACATCTGAGCGGCGCCCAGCTGAGCCAGGCAGACCCATGTTGCCAGAAAGGTCCTTGACCAAAACATCGTGATTTGGAACGCTATCAGAATTAGACGCCAGTGATTAATCGCTCGGGCAGGAGAGGCACCAACATCAAACTAAGAGCAAGAGCACAGCTAAATAGTTGAATGAAGTCTGATGCACATAAAGATGCCAATGTACCTGAAATGCTGATCTTTGGAGATGGGCCGGGTATTCGAGAACAGCAGCGTGGCGGGTTGTAGATGGTATAAGGGCGCCACCTGAAAGACCAGCGGCAGGCACTATTGACTTTCGAGTTGTCAAGCCAGACTTCAAGTCCAATGACTCCTTCCCTATACCGGCGATGAGATCTCACTGATGAACGAGGTAGCAAGGACGTGACGACTATGGATCCCGCGGAAAGAACGACTGAAGGATCGAACTTCGAAGTGATGACCACGCGATAATTGCGAGCTGCTGAATCCCTTCATTTATGGAAAAACAACAAAAGGTATTTGTCACTCGCGTCGTACATTCTGAACGCATTCCAATCAACAAAATGGCGTGTATCACATAGGTCGTTCTCTGAGGAATGTGCTTCGACAGCGCAAACTCAACTAAACTTGCGGAATGAGATTTGAATGTGCATTTACTTGTGAGAGTGATCAACATGCTGAGCCCTTGGGCAAGGCTTGAAGGGTCTGGCCGACTGTAAGATGTCTTAAGGTAGTCTCCGTACGTCGCTGCTATGATCGGTGTTTGCCCCAGGCGTTCCTAGACGACTATCTCAACCTCTATCATCTGTCAGAGTTGGATGTCTTAAGAAGCCATGACAGGTACTTAGAAAGACAACCTTGCCTGTGGCATGTGCATTAGCAATGAAGAAGGATCTCCATCAACCGATATGCCTAGCTTGATTATCTCTCAGGATCTCAAGCTACATGGTAAAAGAGCAGCCTAAAACCGCTCCCCTCTGCTATGCAACTTGGAAAAAGAACCCAACTAGTACCAGCTTCCCGCTCCTGCGATCAATTGTGCACTCTAATGATGAATAAACAATCCCTTGAACAAATATCCGTCCGACCCTCTTGTTGGTTGACATTCTCGAGTCAGTTGTGTTTTCCTGCAAGGGGTCGGTGAAGCCTGCATTGGAGGCTGAGGGGCCAGAGCTCAGGGGAGATCAACCTAATCGCATGTAATAGCCATGTAACTCACGAAGCTTGAATCTATCTACCAGTCACTGCTTGATCTGCCTAATCCGATCGTGATCAGCCTTGCGAAAGATGAAGTGATATAGTTTGTACTTCTCCCAACCCCCGGTTCTCCTTCTACCACCCAATCTCAAGTGCCAAGGCAAAGTCAATTGCCAGTGATTACTCTTCTCGACGGAGCTCATTCGTGCTCTCGAAATCCCTCGTTTTGTTCCTTAGACTATGATCGATTCATAATGCCGGGTCGAGGCACTTAGGTACTATGACAATGGTAACGGTGACATGCACGCTGGTTACCGAAACCGGAAACAATATCAATGTTGGATAAGACAAGCCCATAGTATGGAAATTAATACAACCCGACAGGAGGGACCCGCCTGACTGGATAGGTAAAGATGTAAGCTTTATTGCTTACTGTAATGCAAGAAGGCCCGGATGCATCGGTCTGTCCTCCATCCCAGTTGCAATTGCTTGAACGCCACCTGCATCAGGGGAAACCCTTCCATGTTCCTTCCACACTTGAGTTCCATACTCCATCCCAGGTAGCCAGGATGTCACAGGTAGCTTAGAGGTTCGTTCCTTAGGATGGAACTTTGCTTCATCGACTACACTCGTTCGCCCATATACGCTCGTTCAGTCATTTTTCTCCAATATCGTACTTTCCATCTTTTTCACTGGCATAGTTGGTTACAGTCATTCGTTTAGAGAGACACTCGTTAAAAAGTTCTTCGTTTTCACCCTCGTTCATCATCGTTAGCATCGGGTCTCCTTTTAGCTTCCAAGCATTTTTGGGGCATGACACAGCTTCCGGCACTGGAATGTCGCAAACTGATCTGCGAAGTGATCTAATCGTCAGCCTTGGGCATAGTGATCGACATCAGCAAACTTGCCACGAATCCGAGCCGGCATCATTTGCTGCAGCATCACAGAGTATCGAGGGGTCACAACGATTCTATCGCTCTTTGGACAGACAGGATGAAAGCCAGGAGGTCGGTCATGAGAGGCCCCTATCGGCCCACTCTGAACGTCTGGTCACAATGGAAGAGACGCGCGATGGGGCTTTGCATACGCTCGCTTTGTGTCGCAATGTCATCATAACCCTCGAATTGACACGCCTGCGCAAGTCCCGGACTGGATTTTCCTATTGGATGTCATTTTGGGCGCGAGTATATCAGAGACCGCTCGCTCGAAGTCTTTGTTCTCATGTCGCGAAAGCCTTGAATAAGGTCGATGCGCTGTTTCGCGCTGTCTCTCAAGAGCTTCAACAACTTACGTCGAGAATGGAACATGCGGTCGCGGTAGCTTCCTCGGAGAAGGAGATTCTGTATCTGCTCGAACGAATGGAGGAGGAAGTGGGTGTGCGCCAAAGACGGAGGCGTCAAAAAGCCCAAAGCATCACGGAGAAGATGCGCGCCAAAATAGAAGCGATACCCGTCAGAGTCACAGACACGCTTTTCGACGATCTGAAGCGTGGAGTGTTTGCCCTGGACGTCTTTTGTGACTATCATCCCGGAGACCCTGTTGCGGAGGCAAATGAGATGTTGTGCGGAAACAACCTCGAATACCCTCCGCACCCATCGTTGGGAACGGTTGGACCATACGACTACCGCCGAATGCAAGAGTCGCAACAGTCTGCAGCGCTCGACGCCTTCATGCCTTTGGCGACCCACCCCGGTAATTTGTACTATCATTATGTCGAGAGATTGATGAATCAGGACGACAGCTTTTCAGGTTGGACAGCGACAGAAGGTTTTTCAACGGACAGTTGGTGAGATTGGCAGGGTTTTGTTCGAAGGAGATCACATTCTTGACTGATGATTTGGTATAGTTGAAGTATCACTCGGGATTTTGGTACGACCTCCTGCTGAGTCAAGGCAAGGAGTAATGACAATGATTAGATAGTATGGATTGCTTTTCGAAGAAGCTTTTTAGCATAGAAGTCTATAGACAATCAAACGGATTTGATAACACCAAATGATATACGCTAGAGGAAGAAAATTACCTGCATAGCCATGCAGATTTCGCGATTTTTTGACCCGTCATGCAAAATTCCATAAGCCTCTCATGAAGTTACCAGGCGCAGTGTCCTGGCCTCCGTCTTCCTCGAGTAATCTGTCGGTGAATATTCGTTTGGGGATATGATATTCAACGACTGGGATTCTCTTGAACGGCTTGTCTTCCGTACCGAGCTCTGCCTGCAGCATGCCTTGGTAGGTATAGTCCAGGAAATCTTCAAGATTGTATGCCTGTTTTGTGAATTGTTCCGAGATAATCCGGGCAATCGCAGCGACATTGGGGTGGTAATGCGACTGGAGCGTCTCGATCTCCCATAGACTGCTTTCAATGGCCTTCGTGCGGGTTGGGTCTCCCTCGTTCACGTCGAACGGGTCATCCATGCCCTCGGCTTCGAGCGTGGCCATTGTTTGTTCGTCGCGGACGACGCGGTGGAGCATGAAGGTGCACGTCGGGTGATTCTTGAGTAGATTGTAGATGAAGGGGACGATGACCACGATAGCGGTGGGGGTGCATTAAGCGCGAGACGAGAAAGACGCTTGATAAAGCTGGCGATAAGCGCAGCGGGAAGGTGGGTGGAGGAGAGGAAAGTGTTCATCAGTCGGAAGAAACGAGAGCGGTGTTTCGAGTGCAGGAGATCGCCGCCGAGGAGGGAATATAGTTTGTGGTAGAATTGGGGATAGTCCAGGTTCTTCTCCTGGATCAAGTAGAAGAGACCAGAGAGGGCGAGGAGGGATGTCGCGCCGCCGACGTTGTATGAATCCGTCAGGAAGTCCATGAGCAGTTCGGGGCGGTTGAACCACGGCTCTATGCTGTAGACCATGTTGCGCAGCAGGGTTTTGCGTTGGGTGTGCGAGAGGTTGTTCTGGAGTATGGCCAGCCAGGCATTCTGTGCCTGTTTCTTGTGCGAGTTCACTGAGAGGAGCTTCTTATTCTGTTTGCTGGTTTTGATGTAGAAGTTCTCAAACATGTGTTCAGGACCAGGGACATTGTCGCATTCAGATAGCATTGAGATGAGGACGTCGAGAACTTCGGAGCTTCGTTTTGTCTCTGCGTAGTCACTGGTATCCAAAGTCAGCATACAGCAGGGTTTCTCGGAAAAGAGGAATCGGGGACGTACGAGACTTGCACGAAGGTGTAGTATCTCACATCCTCGTATGCCTTCGCGAATTGATCCAAAAACTCCGACCTCAACGCCTGCCCGTTCTTTGCTTCGACGACAGCCTCGAATACGTTCTTGAAGAGACCAGAAAGCCAGACTTGGGTATCATCGCCCGGTAGATGGGTTGCGCGTTCGTTGATAATGCGCATGCATAGAGTCAAGGCAGTAACCTGCCGCGCCATCAGAAAATGCCAACCGAGTGTAGGAGAAGCTTGGATAACAAACCTGAGAGGAAGGATCTGCTTCACGGAGTAATGAGATCAGTGCCTTTTGATATTCCCGACAACGCTCCTTCAACCAAGCAACGATGATCTTCTCGTTCTCTGCTGCGCGACTGGTCTCGGTCAAATTCCCCAGGGCCATCAATCTGCTAAAGACCCGACAGAGTGACACCGCCACAGCCAAATTAGGCTTTGCCTCATTTCCATCCGCATTGAGCATCGATATCAGTGTCACAATGTTGTTATAGTACTTTCGCGACTCAGAAATCTGGTCTTCCAGCTCTTGGATCTTGGCCATCTCTCCATCGCTCTGAGTCTCAGCGACTGCACGGCGCTTGGACGAAGGTACTCCGCCTTCTTTGACGTTTTTCCGCTTCTTGGAGCCTGTAGCTCCTTCTGTAGGCATGGGCATTTTGATCGGCAAAATTTGATTATTAGTCTTTGACCTGAATCGTGCTTCTGCAATCAACGCTCTTCTTCCTCGTACCATTAATTTTTTGATAATTCCTCGGCTACCAGTTTTTCCGTCAGCCGCACCAAGCCTAATGTGGCTAGCCTCTTCCGCACCGTCCAAAGCCCCATTCCGACCTCATTCTCGTCTGTTCCGTTCATCCATCACATCTTTCAAGGACTTCTCATCGTCACAATGGCTTCGCGTCTGGCTAAGAGCGCCATTGGTATGCCGCACACGAATTTTTACAAGGCCATGAATCACCTCGTCACAGTCGCTAACCCCAGCTAGGTGCTACCCGGCTCCGGCCGACTCTTCCCGTGCGCAGTGTCGCTGCCAACCTGACTGCCTCTCGTTCGGCCTCCAACGTCCCTGCCGAAGACCCCAAGAAGAAGGCTCAGTCCATCATCGACGCTCTTCCCGGCAACTCCCTCGTATCTAAGACCGCTATCCTGTCCGCCGCCGCCGGTCTTTCCGTCGCCGCCATCAGCAACGAGCTCTATGTTATGAACGAGGAAACCGTTGCCGCCTTCTGTCTTCTCAGTGTCTTCACTGCCGTTGCCAAGTACGGTGGTCCTGTCTACAGTGAGTGGGCTCAGGGTCAGGTCCAGAAGCACAAGGATATCCTGAATGCTGCCCGTGCCGACCACACCAACGCTGTCAAGGCCCGCATGGACAACGTCAAGGAGCTGTCCAGCGTTGTTGATATCACCAAGCAGCTCTTCGCTGTTTCCCGGGTAAATTCGGTCCTATGAATCGATATCTAGCCAGAATGGTTTGCGCTGATACGTTGTTGAAGGAAACCGCACAACTTGAGGCTCAGGCTTATGAGCTCGAGCAGCGCACCGCTCTGGCCGCTGAGGCCAAGTCCGTCCTTGACTCGTGGGTTCGCTACGAGAGCCAGGTCAAGCAGCGCCAGCAGCGTGAGCTCGCCGAGTCCGTCATTGGCAAGATCCAGAAGGAGCTTGAGAACCCCAAGGTCCTCCAGCAGATCCTTCAGCAGAGCGTTGCTGATGTCGAGCGTAAGTCTCATTCGCCCCGAAACCTTCTGGTCCATCGCAAGCTTACCTTATAAACCAGGCATCATGTCCGCCAAGGCCCAGTAAATGGACTCTACATGAATAGCCTCGTTATTAGCATCATGTATAAAATCATTGACCATTTTACTTTTGTGCTCGATTAGACATATCAATACCAGTTTTTTCCCTATCGATGCACAGCCCCGGCTGTCTAAACGCCTTTCCATTCCCGTCTGATCACTGACCACTTGGTCCATCCGCTCAGATACTGGAACCCCTAATGTGTAGTCATACTACCCAAATCCCTAGGTCTCCAGATAGTCGCCCTGCGTCTCCTCTCTTTACCAAGACGTACTGTCTCCAAGTAGGCCTAGCTGATCATCTGCACACTGCAATCTCCTGTAGTGCATATCGCTTACAATCATAGTATACACTTCCTCTTGCAAGACAACTTCCCGATTATTGGTAGAATATATCTCGTCCCTTGTTCGGCTTTCGCGTACGCACACTTTAAACTTATAAGAACTAAACCAACAAAGAATCACTATTTACACAATAAAAACAGTCTTGCCATAAATTCGGACGGCTGGGATTGAGAAACAATCCGAATGCAATGAACATAAAACATAATATATTATGCCATGAAGTGGTTCAGGAGCCAAGACAACCGACACTACTAACCACGGAACGACTCAGGGACACCAGTAAATTATCCCAAGCGATCCGTGATGATAATCGTAAAAAACAGAGCACAACACAGCCACATCCCAGCCTCATGCCGCTTATAGAACACAGGGCCTAAATATTATTTGCCTTGATGATATATAAAGCTTGATAACGCCCTATTTCATACAAACGGCTCCTTTCTTCGTCCGACAGACACACAAGCGACCCCTCGGTAAACTGCTGGGTATCCACCCCGCAAAACACCTCTCCGCGATAAGCCCGCCGCAAGATGCCTCTGCGCAATATCCTTCACAAGAAGGACAAAATCAACGACTCAGGGAGCCAGTATCCGCCTGATGTACCCCCAAATGCTGTTCCCGAGATTAAATTCATTCGATCCGATACAATTTCGCATGAGGTTATCGACCCGCCGAGCAATGGCGGTGACGTCAGTGAGCACCGAGGCGACCACGGTCAATCGGATCTCCTAGAACCATCGCGACCATCTTCCTCGACGCATCGAAGATCATTAAACATATTCAGCCGCTCGAGGTCCCCGTCTGATTCTTCAGAGCCAGCTTCGCCGAGTCGACCGCGTGGGGAACACCGGCTATCGCAATTGCTGCATCGCGATCGGGGCTCGCGGAGTGCTAGCTCCAGCTCAGTCAATGTTCCGTCGGATCTTCCGCAGATTTCGGACGATAAAGTCGACGAGCAAGAAAGGGAAGCACAATGGGAGAAGCGAGCGACGATTCTAGCGCAACAGAGCCCGCTTTCTGGATCGCCAGCAGCATCGCTTCGTTCTTCCCCGAATCGGCTTGAGACGAATGCCGCCGGATTCGTCTCCGGAGGAGCGCGGTCAAGGAGTTCCAGTCATAGTCGGATCAATGATCCAGAAGGCGATGTAAGTCTCTGTGCTTGGTTGAAGCCATTTAGTGCATTAGTCAGTGTCTAATGGTGGGCTTAGGTCAATATCCAAGAGGCGATTCGTCTACACGAGGCTGGCGGTCAGTTCCTGTTCCAGCACATCGTTTGGGTCCATGCTAATGATCGCGTAATACAGAGCTTGAAAGGTCCACAGAAATGTTCCGTCAACTGGCAGATCCGGATGGTGCGAACAACGCTTTGAGTCAAGTGCTCTATGGACTTGCGCTGAGGTACAGCTCGACTACCCTACCCCTCTTGTCCATATCGCTTTTGCAATGCCTTCGTTAGTATGGAGGATTACAAAGGTCTACTTGTCTGCTTGATTCATAAGAGTGTCTAACTTTGAATCGCTCTCCTAGGCATGGTTGGGGCTGCCCTCAAGATCCCGACACGGCTGTGACATATCTCTCAGCCGCAGCGGCGAATTCCGCATCAATAGAGTCTCAAGCACTCCAGGCAGGTATGAGAAAGGGAGGTGCTGCCAAAGGAGAGCTCGTACTGGCCATTTTCGAACTGGGAAATTGCTATCGGAATGGCTGGGGCGTCAAAAAAGATCCGGTTGCTGCCCGACAGTACTTTGAGACAGCGGCCAATCTAGGCGATACAGATGCGATGAACGAAGTCGCATGGTGCTATCTTGAAGGCTTTGGGGCAAGAAGGACAAGGTACGCTATTACTGGACTCCCAACTGCCCGTTCTGAGAGAGCTCTGTGATATCAGCCTTGAAGCCTTGCTCATTTTGTTCTCCTCGGGCATTCATGCCTTCTTTGGGGCTTGAAAATTATCACCCGGGCTCATGTACTTTTGATCTCTTGTTAAGACTCTGCTGACTCCCGATCGCTCAACGCGTAGTTCAAGGCTGCCAAATATTATCGACTGGCCGAAGAAAAAGGGAACAAAATAGTAGGAAATTCCTGGTACGTGTTATTGCTTACTGCCAATTATCTTCAGAACCCCTTTCTCGCATCAGGCACCTCTTACCTCCCTCCCATTTCCTGCTATTCTATTGAATCGCTTCCACCGAGTGGGACGAAGTCAGTTGTCTTTAGCCAAAAAGCCTGCGACTTCGCACTACCACTCAGGATCATGATGTCCGAGTGGTCGGGAATCTGGTTGGAGTGATAGGCTCTGGTGGTGTCTTTGGCAAGCTGCGCCATGCGAGCCGCCGTCACAGTCGCAGCCAACCACAGCATCGCCCACACCAACTCCCATCAACCATCTAGACCCCATCGATCATCAGGCCGACAGCTGACACCCACATGCTTCTCATGACAGGATCTGGAAGGAGAAATACAACCCCAAATGAACGAGACCCGCACAGCACAGCGAGCACGCACTTCGCACGCACAAACCCGACACCCGCCGAATGATACCCCACCCCCCCTTGCAGGCTTTGGCCGTCAGAAATCCCCAGACGCCCTCTCACCTTCTCGTGGGCGTCTCGCGCCCGTTGTCCTTGGGATTATTTACGTCAGTGTCATCTTGGTATCCATGTATAGGGCTGCCTAATGAGACGCATAACCGGCATACTCCCATTTATTATTGTATATTTGGTAATACGGAGCAAAACATGATCTATGATCCTTCAGTGGATGATGCATGGATGGCCCAATGCAGCCTCATCTTTGCACTGCAGCCCGATCGCTGCACATGTACTTTGTTTTCACGACCGTACTCCTTCCGTAGCATTCACATCAGCTGTGCCCTGGTGGCTTTCATAGGTACCTACCAAGGTGATACTCTTTCGTATTGTACCTTGTTTATGTGGTAGCCTGCTACATTCGCTAATTCTATTTTGAGTTGAGGATGAGCAGTAGCCGAGGATCGGCTGCTGCTGCCCATATCTCGAGCCGCCAAGTATACAACTGTGTTGCAGTTATACTACGTCACTGAGGGATTAGATGCCTACGTTGAGGATAGCAATAAGTAAACCATTCATATCATCAAGTCGTTTCATGACAGAGATTCGAGGGCGTTCTGCCCGTAACATTAATATATACATAACATGACATCGTATAATTTTCATGTCCAACAAAGTAAATTCGTCAGAAAAGAGTGGTCAGGCACGAACAACGAGCCCAAGAAAAGAAAGTGCATCAACGCCAGTCATGCAATCTTCCATGTACAATATCAGGACCAGGTGGAATGACCGGGTCATGAGAGTATATGAAAGAAGAAAATCAGGCCACTTCCAGTTGGAAAGGTGCCTGCAGCAGAAAGGCAGAGAAAACGCTCGAATGACCACCTGCAATGGCAGCCCGGCTGTCCAGATCAAAAACCAGATAAGCAGAAACATCAAGATGATAACAAAGAGTCATATACATCGTATCATAATAGTCGTAAGAGGATGGCCGCCGTCGCTCAGTCACGTCCACAATCAAATGCAATAGAATCCCACGCAAGACGAGAAACGTAGAAACGCAACCCCGAATACAAAATAAGAATGGAAGGTTCCTGTCGATCGCTCGACAAACACACTCTGTCCTGTTGTGCCTGTGTCTGTTTTCAAAACCGTGAGTCCCACCCAAAATTAGCATGCCAAACCCTGAGGAAAAAAGAGACAGAGAAAAGCAGAAAAGTACAGATGCAAGTGTCTTGAATGCTCGTAGAAAGCCATTCCCAGGCCCGATGCACGACAAAGGAGAACCAGATATACGCCGACGCAACCGAAAAGAAACATCGCTAATTCGTCAGACCAAGTCGAATAGTGGCTAGTTTGTAGAGTAGATCCAGTAGAAAGAAGAGTTGATGGTGCTGTCTATGCATGCATACGGCTAAGTCTGGCTAAATCTGGCCAAAAGAGGTCGCGTAGCTCGACAGTATAAGGCGCTAGAAGATGTTTGGCTGAAAAAGGAAAAAAAAAAAAGAAAATCGTTGAAGGCGAGAAGAGAAGCGGCAGAACGAAACGGTTGTGGAAATTGCTTTGGTGAAGGGCAGGCAAGCTGGGTAAGGTGACGCTGACTGGAATTGCCGCTGGAAAACGAGACGAGATGACTAAAGTACGCTGTGACGAACAATCTGTCGGTTATACTATTCAGGTCTGACCGAAACCGGCTTGCTCCTCTTTGATAGGGGATGCGCCGTATTCCTGTACCATGCGTTGAAAATCGCGAATCACCTTCTCGGGAACGCGATCCCACATCAATGATCTGGTGTACACGTCGGATGTAGCCTTGTTTGGCAGTTTATTTAGAGCGGCATTGTTCCGCATCGCGGCCAAAGCCTGCTGCAGATTAGAAGGCTGAGACTTGTAGTCGACATGAGACTCGTCGAAGGTGGTCAAGGCATTGTATTGGTCAGCATTGAGGGAGAAGACCTGCTCTCGCTCCTGCTCCTTGGTAGGCATCGCGAGATTGTTGTGAAGCTCGTCAAGGTTGGAGGAGTGAGCAGTGCCCGTAGTCATTTGAGCCATCTCCGCTCCGCTGATGGTCGTCGGCATTGGAGCAGCGGAGGCGGAGGCCACCGCTTGTTGAGTGTTCGCCTGTGCGAGCTCTGGTGGAGAAGCGGCGAGAACAGCCTTCAGGACATTGGCAGACTCAGCACGGTATTCCTCCGACAGTTGCGGAATAGAACGAGAGGAGAGCGATGGGCCGTTCGAAGCCAGGAACGCGCCAAAGAGCAAACACATGTAGAAGGCATTCCAGCTGAAAGGGTAGTCACTGGCTGTGTTTGCACTCTTCTCGGTGACCCTATCGTTCGTTGACATCACCATTGCTGATGACTGCATCGTGGAGGCGGCAGGAGTCGACTCCGCCTCGAGAGGAAGACCATTGGACATGGTAAAGTCTTCCCAAGGCGCATTGTCCATGGTCAAATTCTCAAAGTCAGAGAAATCGGTGTTGAGATTATTGGTAGCCGATGATCTCATCTGTCTCTCCAGCTTCTCCACGGTCTCTTTGAGAATATTGTTCTTCTTTCGAAGCTCAGCCGTCTCCAGAGTGTGCACGCGAAGCATCTCGTCCTTATCCATGTGCAGGCCTTCGATGTACTGGTTGATCTGCTGCTGGGCTGCCATCCACTCGCTCTTTTCACGGAGGAGCTCAGCCTCACGCAACTTCATGTTTTGCAACGCTTCCTCGAGGTCACTGATAACCTGAGTGAAGTGTTTCTTTTCTTCCTCAAGCTTCTCAGTGTGGAGCTTTTTCCGTTGCCGTGAGTCCAATCTAGAATACGGTGCGGTGTTAGCAGAACCAAACAAAACGAAACAGGGATGGGCAGATGTCCAATGAGACAGTCGGAGTACTTACGCAGCTTGACGGTTTCGGAGGAGACGCTTCTGCTGCTTCAGTTCCTTGATCTCTTCCTCGTTCGTCGATTGATTGATCAGCTGGTCGATATTGCTCAATGTTCGCTCAGCGGGGATCTCGAAGCGGGCGTTCTTCTTCCGAATGCCATCACGCCGAACACTCAACGGCGAGCTGTTGCGATAGGTCGGGCTCTTTGTGGGGCGCGAGATCGCATCGGGCATATCCGTCGATGCAGGCATCCAGCCCTGACTGGACTGTGGGGACATCGCAATAGCGCCGGGAGGCGCAAAGCCCATGCCTGGTCGGTATGACATGGACGCAATGTTAATGGCGCTCACTGGCCCCACGGCGCCGCCGGAGAAGGGGGCAGAGGAATTGTTCTCCAGGTCTGGGTGGAAGTGCTCGTACATGGCAGTCGGAGTACATGAGCCGGAATCCCTCGACAAGGACCATGATGTCTGTTGACCATAGGCTGAGGCAGGGTGAGCACCATCGACCCGCATGAAAGGACTGGGGTTGGCATCATAAAGACCATGGCCGACTTGAGAATTGTGGCGCGACTGGGCGCTGGAGACTGGTTGCGAAAAGTCCGACCAGACTGAATCCCGATGCGAATACGCATCTGGCGCATGATCATATGAAGAACGTCGGTGGTCGGGAATGGTAGACAGTTCGGGGGAAGTAGAGTCCAGGATCTTATCATCTAATACACTCATCTCGTCCTCTTCCGGATATGAGGGTTTCGTCCCCATAGTTGATGTGGACTGGTGGTAGAAGTCGAAAGGTGGTTGAGAATATCTCGCCATGACTGCAGATAGCTGTGCGTATGCTCAAATTCTGCAAAGAAAGTATATGCAAAAGGTCGTCAGAGCAGTGATAGCAGTCCGTAGATTTGAGGGCAATCAAGAGGCGGTGTGTAAACTGGATGTACGGAAAATAAAACAAGTCGAGGTGCGGGGCTTTGGTGGTAGATGAGAGGACGAAGAGAAGAGACAAAGGGTCGACAAGAGGATCAAGTGTAACCGATGACGACAGTGAGAAGAAGGTAAAGTCGTTGAAGGTAAGAAGGATAGTCGAAGAGAAGTCGTGATGATCTGAAAGGATGTATGTGTGTAAAGGAAGTAAAGGATAATCGTTTACAGATATAGAAGGAGAAGGAGAAGGACAAGATAAAGATAAAGATGAGGAAGAAGAAGAAGAAGAATGATGAGAATAAGAGGACTCTTGTGATCACAAGAAGAACCTCTTTCGAGATGAGACTTTGAGGCTAATTGATGTTGTATGATGGGACAAGGGCAAGTGACGAGGGAGGGAGAAGTCCATATATCCTCGTTAAGATGACACGATGAGTAACCCTGTGATGGCCGATGGTGATGGTAGATTGGGATCAGGGTATCATGAATAAACCCAAATAATTACTAGAATAGTATAGTATCATAAAAAAAGAAAATAAAAATATATCAGACATAAGCAAAGGCAAGTAAAAACGACTGTTAAACATATATTTGAATAATAATATGAGCTACGGGGGCATCAACCACTGCTGAATAGATCCCACTCCTACCTAACTACGGAGTTCAATACTAACTTGCACCAGATCCAAACCAAACACTCCTACGGAATGATCCTAATCCATAGGAACCAAGCACCAGAGAAATCCGGCGGTCAGCGGGAAAAGTCTAAGACAAGCAAAACGAATTCTGACCGTTCCCGAGTTTAACGAGCTTCGGCCATTGGATGCTTCGTGCGCATTTGGGCAGACGTGCAGATGGCAGGGGGAAAATCCGGCATCGCTATGGGATGAATAATCAGATCCTTGGGACTATTCCAGCTTAAGAAAGACGGCTCCCAATCTGTTCTAGTTTCTGAGAACGTGCTTTTGCTTTTTTGGTCACTACTGTTTATCAAAAATCATACAATATGGGTAACGATACTTATTCTTCTCCTGTTGTAATCATACATTGAGGGTGGCCTATGGATCGTCGTTCAGTTAGATGACTGTACTGTACTTTAGATTAACACTACGGTACCTAGGTAGATACGTAGTACCTTAACTATGAGGACCATGGTTGAGAAGAAAATCGTAGGTATCAATACTGATTGATCACCCAACCAAATGACCAAGCAGTACTCCATAAGGCAATGTAAATTTGACAGACAGCCTACGTACTTCACTGCAGTAGAAGTACAAGGCATAATGAAACTTGTCTTGAAATGTTGTCTAGATCCCAGAAGCCATACACTCTTAACATGTACCCGGGTCCCATGTGCACTTTGAGTGTACCTTATCTGAACTAGTCACTACATGAATCTGCTTACTGTACTCCTGAGTGGGGTCAATGCTTTTTAGTTGTTGCTTATCGATAGCCTATCAACATTACATTATCGCGTCTAGCGAAAACAGCTGATGATCTCCACCCCCACTCTCATCTCCCTCGCTCAAACAATCCAGGGACTGTCTACTATGGTGACCTTTTCACAGGTTCCATCATAACAACTAAAATGGTCGTTCTTTTGACACAAGTTGGAGGAAAAAACTCATTGGTATGTCGCGAGTCACCAAATGGAGGAGAATATTGCCGTCTTGGGCCCATCGGCCCTTGCCCTGAATCTTGAATGATGCCCAAAGACAGTTGATTGTCTGTGCGCTCACCATTTACTAACCGACGATTGTTTGGATTGTCCACCGCTACCATGATCGGCTACTCTGGAAGCATCAAAGTATGTGGATACCTGGTTGTTACCCTATCATACTCCAGGACGATGAATCACGGTCAATCCGGTCCAGTAATTATACATTACCGTACCGTTCTAGACTCGGATCTATGCCAAGGTAGGAAAGGAATCCTGGGACAAGGCACTGATCAGATGAACAGAATGTCATACAAGACAGTATCATGATTTCCTCATTTCAGAACGGCAGGGCCAATCGTTTGACAAGCAGTGTGACGTTCTCCGGGACCTTGAGGAAGTGAATATTATCGATACCTACCAAGTTGGCCCTGTTTGCAGCTCCCTCGGTTCCTGTTTCCCAAGGATTTGGGTAGAATGTCAGCTCCGTGTCAAAAGTACACTTTGAGCTGTTCTCATTGACCCTCCTTCAGCTGTCTGATCCGTTGAGCTCATTGCTCGCTTCACCAACTCCATTTCGGGAATCAATTCGGTGTTGAGTTATTATTGAAATGGGGCCATTTACACGCCTTACACTCATGAAGGCCATACGTGATGCCATAGTAGTTACACAGACGGTGACCTTCCCAATTCTGGAACAGTAAGTAGGGCCGGCCCGCAGGTAGGTTCCATTGATCCCAATTTCATTCCACGATCCACCCAAAGGCTCTTTTGATCCTTTCTGGTTAGTCCAAGATGATGGACCTTGTCTGCCTGTGTGTCACTGCAACCTGCCCGTGCTTCTTCCACTGGAATATGGCCACCCGCGGAAGCAGAGCGGAAGCAGGGAAGCACAGACAGATCGGATTCGATCCTCTTTCTATTGGCAGCACAGACTTTGTCATTACTATTACCTACCTATGATCATACTCAATCCTAGGCACTGCTCTTGTGCATCTTGCATAAGCAAGCTCCCCATATGTGATTCTGTATGATTACT